ATCGGTGAGCTTTAAATATCGAGTGCCCGGACTCTCAAATGTGCAACATTTCTCTTATAGCCTGTCTAAAAAACCTGTCTAAAAAGGGCTACCTGTCTTTAGTGGCCATGTATGCATTTTGTCTCCCTTCAGAAAAAAATGTGTGTTGCAGAACCTGTCTAGAAAGGCCCCCTGTCTATAGTGACCATGCAGTTGATATCCCTCAAGAAAGAAATGTGTGTTGCAGAACCTGTCTAGAAAGGCCCTCTGTCTATAGTGGCCATGCAGTTGATATCCCTCAAGAAAGAAATGTGTGTTGCAGAACCTGTCTAGAAAGGCCCCCTGTCTATAGTGGCCATGCAGTTGATATCCCTCAAGAAAGAAATGTGTGTTGCAGAACCTGTCTAGAAAGGCCCTCTGTCTATAGTGGCCATGCAGTTGATATCCCTCAAGAAAGTAATGTGTGTTACAGAACCTGTCTAGAAAGGCCACCTGTCTATAGTGACCATGCAGTTGATATCCCTCAAGAAAGAAATGTGTGTTGCAGAACCTGTCTAGAAAGGCCCCCTGTCTATAGTGGCCATGCAGTTGATATCCCTCAAGAAAGAAATGTGTGTTGCAGAACCTGTCTAGAAAGGCCCCCTGTCTATAGTGGCCATGCAGTTGATATCCCTCAAGAAAGTAATGTGTATTGCAGAACCTGTCTAGAAAGGCCCCCTGTCTATAGTGGCCATGCAGTTGATATCCCTCAAGAAAGTAATGTGTATTGCAGAACCTGTCTAGAGTCTATAGTGACCATGCAGTTGATATCCCTCAAGAAAGTAATGTGTGTTGCAGAACCTGTCTAGAAAGGCCCTCTGTCTATAGTGACCATGCAGTTGATATCCCTCAAGAAAGTAATGTGTGTTGCAGAACCTGTCTAGAAAGGCCCCCTGTCTATAGTGGCTGCTGTCTTTTTCCCTTAGGTTTGACTGCACTAGTTTAGAATCTGGCCAATTTAATTTTAACAATCTCCACCAATGCAACCCAAACTCCCCCTACTTACTCTAGCAGAAGGGGATTATTTTTTAAGGGCATATCTTCCAGATAATCCTTTTCAGGATACAATTCTAGTTTTATATTCTTCCTAACTGACATACAGAGAATTGAAAGCTCATATATTTATTTTTATCTTTACAAGAACTCAACTTTCTCTTTAAAGGGGAAGTCTACCCTGATATTAAGTTGGTTTTAGTGGAAACAGAAAAATGAGAGAAACAGGTCGTTGAAAGTTAAAGCAAAATCTGATGAAAAACAAGAAAGTTAAGAATAGTTGAAGTTGCGATATGTCAAACACAAATGGGCAACTCTTAGACGTATTTGCGAGCTCCTCTCCAATACGCCATGTGCTGAAAATTTCATAAACTTTCATTTTCTTAGGTATTGATGAAGGAATAGAGTTGCTTCTGACAGAAGTTGTATAAAAACATATTCGCAATAATAAATTCTGGGTGAATGTATGATTGAACATTATCTGAAAGGCGGGAAGTACCAATAGGTCACAGAGTTGCCAATTTGTGTTTGATTGATGGCACCTTCAACAATTTGTAACTTTCTTTTCTATAATCTTTTTTTGCCCAAACTTTCACGACCTGTTAAAGCCCCACTGCACTGTCTACTTATAGCTACTTGCGCCCTCTATATAGCAAACAATGCCCAATCAGTGACCATTGGTCCTCCATGGTCCCCTTTTTCTTATGTTAATTGAGAGCTGATTTGATGAGATAACCACCTGTCAGTGACCATGCAGGGAGGTCTAATCCCTCCTGGCCAAACTAGTGCAGATGGGCTTTAATCTCATTTTTTCTGCTTCCATTGAAAACCAACTGGATATCAGGGTGGATCTCCCCTTTAAACAACAACATCCAAAGTGCTCTTAACTAGCACTTCTAACATCTTTGCATCTTGAAAAATGGCATATCCGGTTTATTGTTGATACTCAAAATGCTCATTCCAAAACGAAACTAAAACAAACCTTAAGAATTCATCGTTTCTTAAGCTATAAAGCATTGTGTGAAAGCACATAGCATTCATTCATGAATACAACTGGACAACGAACAGGTGCACATACTATCTTCTGTGATCGACACCGTACTTTTGAAAACATAATTTGTGCTGCTGCTGTGTTCATGTGTAATTGTTGAACTATGGCTTTGGAAAAAATCTTGGAATGTATTTCTAACTGTGAACGTGAGGAAAAGGGTAAGAAATCTTAGCAGTTGAAAAAGGCAGCTAATTAGATAAGTCGAAATTTTCTTTTCCAATGCATGTATTTTGTTAGTATTACATCCTCTGGCTCTGTAATCTTCAACAAAAAAAAGTATTTTATTATGGCTACTCCTTTCTCGCTATATCTACTATTTCTTGCATAATTATTATTACATGTATATCCTTGTGGTTGTACTCTTTTGTTTCTGATTATAAATTATTTATATTCATTTTCTTTTTTAAATTTTTATAGAACCATATTGTTAGGATATGGCATTGGTAAAAGCATATACCACTTTGATGAGTGTCAATGTTAAATAAACTTTCAGTCTGATATGTAAAAAAAAGAAGTTTTTAATTAACAAATATCACTAACTATTATGCATTTTGCACTCTGGAAGCGTCTTTTCAGTTGTGCCATTATAAATTCCTTCAGTTTCATTAACCCAAATTCCAAAAACTTTAATTACTGAAAGTTGCTATAACTACTAATTATTTCTTTTCAGAATGTTAGCAAGACGCAGTCGACGTGAAATCAAGTGTCAGTTTTTGTTCCCCTCCCCCTCCCCCCACAGAAATATGTGTTTAAAGCTTGTCAGATCATACAGTGTTTGGTGGGCGTACCGTAAGCCTTTTTTCTTCTTCTTCTTCCATGCTTGCTCTCTCTCTCTCTCTCGCTCTCTCTCTATCTCTATCCCTCTCCCTCTCCCTATCCCTCTCCCTCTCCCTCTCCCTCTCTCCCCCTTGTCTCTCTCCCTCCCCCTTGTCTCTCTCCCTCCCTCCCTCCTTCCCACCCGCTCTCTCTCTCTCTCTCTCTCTCTTGCTATGCATACCCATGCTGTTCAGACTTGTGTAATGCTTCTTTACTTGGGATGACTGCATCACTACATTCATTATAATTTATTTTTTCTTCAATTTTTGAGCCCTCCACAGGCTATTTATTAATAATCTTCACACAAATAAACAAAACAAATATATGTGCATGTTTAAACACATTCAAAATAATCTTTTTAAGCAAACAGCAATTGAAGCAACTGCCACTTTACAGCAAAATGTGTTTCCGTTCCAGACAGACATATAACATATTTCTCATCTGTATGATAATGTAAATCATTATAATAATGGTTTCCATCCTTTCTCTTCTTTTTAAAAATTTGTTTCAGGAACATTACCTACCAGAGGTTCACAAGTTACTGTTGTACCAGATAAAGTGAGAGCAGGGGTAAGAGTCGTTTCCATTCCTACTTTGTATTTAATATTGTGGAGTTGTTGTGGTATAGAGTGGTAAAGTGTGATGTCATCAAAAATCTATTTTTAGAATTTCTCAATTTTTTCTTCATTTTCCGAAAGAGCATCAAAAATAATGTCCAAATGTCGAAAACCAATTTAATATGTTAAGTATTGGCTGAGATATAACCATCTGAATAAATTTACCAGTATGTCCTATGGGAACTCAGTGTTATATGCTCTGGCTCCTAATGGTTAGGACATTTGGACATTATTTTTGATGCTCTTTCGAAAAATGAAGAAAAAATTGAGAAATTCTAAAAATAGATTTTTATGACGTCACAGCTTCGGTACTCTATAGTGGTTCATTCACTTGACTCTCGATCCAAGGGTTGAGGGTTCAAATCCCAACGAGAGGTTCACAAGCTACTGTTGTACCAGATAAAGTGAGAGCCAGGGTAAGAGTCGTTTCCTACTTTGTAATATTGTGGAGGTGTCGTGGTATAGTGGTTCAGTCACTTGACTCTCAATCCAAGGGTTGAGGGTTCAAATCCCAGCCTGGCACTCGCGTCACTCTTAATCCTCATTTGCCACTCTCCACCCAGGTGTTAAATGGGCACCTGGCTGAATTTATTCCTTGAATGCACTGTGGGCTGATGATTAAGTCTGCCAGAGCTAAAGCCTGGGTGATAATATCCAAACTTCTTTGGAAAAGAATTGAAACGTTATATCTTTAATGTGATATGAGCTATACAAGAATTGTTATTGCTTATGAATATAAATTTTGTCATTCATGTGTGGCTGGTATTGGAATTTTTGTATTTTGCCTTTACTCGCTTGTGTTAGAAAGACAAGATAATGTGTAATCCAACTTCATATTTACCAGCACAGTCCCATATATTTTGTTTATGTTAATTACAGTTATTTTATGAATAGTAAGATGCAGGCCTATGACTACGTATGACTGAAGATAAAATGTACAGTCTTAGATTCCAAGTTATATTCATTTATAAAGCTCTATATGCAGTGTACTAGTGCCCTGTACATATATTGTCCTGGGGGGAGGGTTCACAAAGATCCATTTATACAAATAAGAACTGCTTTATAGTTTAGAAAATTAATTCCTTTTTGTTTCTTCCACAGGTATCTGAAAAAGTGGTAGTAATATTCACATCCAGCAACATGGTACAGAACTTTGATGGGTCGTATAAAATCCACATCGCGTTTGATCAAAAGAAAGCTGAAGTGGTTGCTAGGGTTCTCAATCCGCATACACTGAGATTTGATTCACCTGCAGGTCAGTATAATTATTATTCAAATCTTTCCTTTCAATCCTCTTTTTTCATTTGCACATCTATGAAGTAATCTTAAAGATAAAGACCAGTTCTGGTCATGCGATTGCATTGTAAAAGAAACGTTGTGGAACCGATCAGAAAAGGTTGATCATCTAGCATATAAGTATTGGTGTGTACTGCAAGGTTCTGGAATCATCAAAATGATAAGAAATTTGGCCCAGTCTTCGTAAAGTTACAAGCACTGTACACAGAAAGATGTATATGGGACTACGCACATGTGCGCGACACGTGCGTTTATCTCTCACACACCAATAGATAAACTAATTTACCAAATATATCAATTAGTAGGCGGTTTCCCGGCAAATTTGTTATCGTCATGTATTAGTCAAAACATATTCTTTCACATGATTGGTAATAAGAGCTTCCATTTCATTTTTTGAAATTTGGGCGTTTCCAATACTGGTCTTTACCTTTAATACCGTAGACCAGTTCACTGTTAGCAAATGTCCCAAATGACCCGGAATATCCACAGATCTACAAAACATGAAGAGGTCCCACTCACTCTTACAGCAATGGAGGTGCTACGTAAAATAGCCTTTGTTTCCTCATTTCAAAGAATACTTCCACCTGTGTATCATGGAGTGCACTGCTTGTACATAAATGAATAATTATAACTTTCATGAGCACGTATCCAGTATTTTGTCTCTGTGTATTTCACAATTTGGTCTGCAATGACCATGCTCAGACTGCAACTAGGAACTGGCTTATTATCTATATGTACACATGTATCCAGCCAACTGTTTGATGTTCTATCCATCCTTCCTTCTATCCATCTATTGAAAGTCAGTATAGTACTGTGGTTATGCATGTTTATATTCCACATACTAAGAATCTTGCTCTACGATTGGTCAAAAGTATATCATGTGATGAAAGATAGTTTGCCCATCATTGATGGGAGAAGAAAAGTTCGTTGCACTGTGTAGATAGTAGTTCTATCTACACAGTGCAACACACTTTCTTGTAATACGCTGTGTATTGCTCTCCTCTTTAAGCGCTTTTAGTGTTAGTACGCGAACTTTGGTGGCGCGCGAACTATGGTCACACCTCCATACTGCATGCACTGTACGTATCGTACACCGTTTGCTAGCTGTTAATTGATGACTTGTTGCTCTAAAATGACGGAAGAAGTTAAATGTTTCCGATGTGGAATATAAAGCAAATAATCACCTTTAGGTTTCAGGTGATGGCCAACTATCACTTCCTCGGCAATCTGAATAAATACGCTAACTTTCCTCACCTTCGCTTCGGAAAGATAGCTACATCCAGAACGCCTCGGAAGTGATAGTTTGCCCCATCACCTTCACCAACGGTAGTTATTTGCTTACTATCCTTTCAATCCTCCTTCTTCCGACTATCCATCTTTTGAAAGTCAGTATAGTACTGTGGTTATGCATGTCTATCCTTTCAATCCTCTTCTTTCATTTTTACTTTCAATTTCTGTCATCCTTTGTAACTTCACTGTACATGTATCTCTCCTCTCTTCCATCTACGATGTATCTATCCAGCTTCCTCTCCCTCTATTTATTTATTCTTCAAATATTCTTTTCTTGCAATTCTTTCAATGTCAAAATGGTACTCTAATATCTGGGCATAGGAAAGGGCAAAATATCATGGCAATTCATGGAAAGTCATGGAATTTGGTTCTCAAATTAAGGAGTATTATATTTTGAACAACACTCTTTTTCTCCGTCTTTCTCGTAACACACAGATTTGCCTGGAGGCATGTACAAATGCACCCTGACCCACAACGGTAGCCGCAAGGCCACCTTCAAGTTGGGTATCCTGAGTCCATCGGCCATCCTATCGGATATTCTCAGCAAGAGCGTCAACCCACTCAATTACCTCTGCGAGGTCCTGGACGTATCGCCGGCCAACAGCAACCAACTCGACAACGAGCTCCACGAACAGTGCAAGAAATACATGCCTCAAGGAGGGTTTAGGGACCTTTTGCCGGTGAAACAGCCAAGCAGTAAGTTGCAAAGAATCTTTTTTAAGACCTTGCTTTATATTGAACAGTAGGAGGCATGATAGCTCAGTGGTAGAGCAGTGGTCTAGTAACAGGGAGGTCCCAGGTTCGAAACCAAAACGATGCGCTAGTGCCCTTTGGTTAGGCATTAATTCTCATTACCAAGACCTCAGAGAGGACTTACAGCCGCCGGTCCCCTGGTTGTTTACTTACAAGCATAAACTTGCTTTCTTTGCATTTGGGTAAAACAAACAAACAAAAAATACAAACAATACAGTATAAGGAGGGTTTTTTGTGAGTGAGTTAAGACATCAAGCAGTAAATGTATATTTCCTTATGATCACACTGACAAACTGACTTCCCTTCAGATTCCCTTCAGGTGCAGCCAAGCAATGAAAATTACAGAAAGTCTGTTAATCGATCTCTACTTGTAGATATAAAATGTGAAAAGATTATTATGAATCTAAATAATCACTGCTGACAACCCTTTTGATTTATGGCGCTATGCCTGGCAATGTCTCCCAGCTCAGTAATCAGTTTGTTGACTCACCACTTGGAAACTAGAATAACACTCAAATTTGTCTGTCATCTTGGTTTGAAAATAATTTTTCTAATAGATCTCAATATGTACACTGTAGCTTATAATAATAATTCCTCCAGTTTTGCTTTGGCGTACCACAAGGTTTTATCCTAGCTACTCTACTGCTTTTAATTAACATTAATGATCTTACACATTCTTCTAAAAACGACATTGTTACTTTTATTTGTGACAAGTTCACAAGCACAAATCGGCACCCTCACAGGGTTCTTGTTAATAGCCGGCAACCGGCTATTTTTTCCGGCTGTAACGGCAATCGTAGCCGGCTGTAAGCCTCTCCAAAAAAAAAATAATAATAATACAAAAATCACATCATATTCGGTCAAGTCGCTATCTCAAACCCTGCTGGTCTTCAGACTGTCGGGCTGAGCATTCCCAGCCCCGGACTATGGCATAAATTGGGTCATCCTGATAAACAGAGACCACTAATAAACAACATAAAACATGTCTTATTATTCCTCATCTGAATCTGATATCATGATTAACCTTGCAAAGTTACTCTGTGAAGATAGCTGATCTGTGACGTGTTTATATATGCCTTTGCAATGCAATGTTTGCACATGGTCAGGGAGAGAGCTCCCTGCATGTATCATTGCCATATGAAATTATGTGGAAGTGTGTATCACACACACCCAAGACACACCCTGCAATGAGCTGATCCAAGTTAGTGACCAATGAGGAAGGTTCTCTAGCTATGTGGGTGGAGTTTGATACCAGCATAAATTACAGGTTGGTGACCGCGCGTGCTTTCACCGTACCCAGTTCAGTGGGAGGTCAAGAAGCCACGCCCACAAGTGTGCATGTGACAAGCATGAGCTCTCCATCTGTGTGTATGTACAGTGTATTTGGGCGCCGGAAGGTTTGTGTGTACATGTGTGTGTGACTGAGAGAGCACGCATGGGCTAGCATGTCCCTGCATGTCCCTGCATGGACGAGGCAGGGACATGAGTAAGACAAGTAAGACAAGTGAGACTCGATAGAAAGGATGGCTGTTAATCGGCTGAATTGAAGAATGATCAAAAACTTAAATTACTCACAATATCCAAGACTTTGTTGATTGATATTTCTAAAAATTCAATTATTATTGTTATCAATATTTTTGTATTTTATTTATATATGAACATTATTTTAGGGGGCGAGTCGGCAAGGGATGGATATTAATATTGAGAGAGAGAGAGAGACTCGGGGGAGAAGGGATGTGAGAGGAACTGACCATCGAATGTGTAAAGATTTAGAAAGTTGTGAGCTGAGAGTGCAGTAATAAGAAAAGGTACATGAGCGATGAACACATTGCAGAGAGAAGGGAATAAAGAGGGTGAGAAAAGAGAGAAGGGGGCTTGTTGTTTTATTGTTTACAAATTCATTCATGGGAATTACTGCTGCCAGAAAGCTGGCGCGCAGCGGCCAGGGTGTAACATTACACTGCGGTTTCTTTGATTATCTTTATCATCGGCTATTAGCACATTCCAAAATGTATGCAAATAACGGTTAACCGGAGCGAGAAATGCTAAACGGTTTTGATGAATGCGGTCGGATAACCGTCGGTTAAACGGTTTGACTCAGGCCTAGTGTGAAACTGTGATTGATTTGGCGATGCACGATTCGATTCAGAATAAGAGCGCTGCACAACCGGTGCGGCACGCTATACACATACACTGTCACAGAGACTAGACCGTAGACGTACGTTCGTAAACAAGCTCAAGCCAGCGAACTCCGCTCGCAATAATTTAAAGAGGCCAGCTCCAGAGCTCGCTCTGCGTCCAAATGATCACCCGCATTGGCATTGCTATTTATACTTCGTAATCCTAAGTTAGATCTACCGTATTGTGAATAAAAAATGAAAATTTGTACTCATATGTACTCAGAACTTTGTCCAACACCGATATAATCCTTATATCTATTTGATAATTGTTTCAATACAACAACAAAAAGGTTTTTTTCTGGATCTTTTCTTTTCATGTTGTAACATTTTTACTTTTACTTTTAGCGATCTATTTTACCGATTCGAAAAACAGAGGTGGCATATTGCATATAAACGTTAAGCGCATGGCGATTGGAAGAAAAGTACCGAAAACTATTTTTTTTTCGTAGGCCTAGAGTCTATAGAAATAATTATTAATTATTATTTTTTAAATTTTTTATCGCAAACGATTTTCTTCACTGACAAGGTCCTGTAAACGTCAGTTAACCGTTTTTGCCCAGGACTACCTTGTATCATTATCATGTAATTCAAAATTGTAGATTCATCACAAATATGATTGATTTATCAGAAACAATAATGGAGCATTTTCATTTCATATTGTATATCATATGAAAAGTAAGTTATTCAGCCAAAATATTCATGATCTTTATCATTAAACTATGGCTCATACAGTGTGGTCATATCTTCAAAAATAAGGCTAAGATAGCACCAGAGAGCATCTAAAACCCTAAAGCTTCCAGGGCCCTTGGGCGGGCCCTGGACCCCGGCCGCAAGGGACTTCGCGCTTCGCGCTCGTGATGTGCGCTTCGCGCACATGGTGATGTGCGCTATGCGCACAGAGATTTTTCTTTTGCAATTTTAGTAGCCTCCTGTAAATCATAAATAGCCTGCTATCAGAAAAATTAACAAGAACCCTGCCTCAACTGCACCTCGATGTTTAATGAAAGTCCTTCCCCGCGCATGTTTTCGTTTCGGCAACAAAAACAAAAAACAAAACTTTTTTTTTTGTCTTCAAAATAGGGGTGTGCCTTATACACAGAGATTTACGGTATTTGTTCTGTTTTTTTTGCTATGAAAACGGCACTATGTTTTTTAATTTTATCATTTTTTAAATTTTATTTGCGTTTTTCTTAATTTCCGATCATGGGCTTTGTGTTGTAAGTGTATTATGCACCTACCGGTATGTCTTCAAACGATGCACGCAGGCGGTGATACGGGCCCAAACAGCGCACATTGCAAACAACTCACGCGTACTGTATACACGTCATGTTCCGATCTGGGTTTGTATACATGTACGTGGCACTGCTGTTTTTTGTAAGCTGCTTGATTGGGCGATATGTTAGGGTGAGAGATTTTTTCAAAAATAATGTTTTTTGCTCTTAATTAAGAATACTTTTGTTGTTGATGAAGGTTGGCATCTCTGGACATCCGTCTGAATAATTTTTATGTCTTTGACAGGTGGCATGCAGAGCACGCTGTTCCCCACGGCGCTGCACTTTGCCGCCAAGTTCGGGCTTCCCTGCGTATGCGCCATGCTCTGTGAGTGGCCAGGAGCTGACCAAGCGCTCAGGATGAAGAACATTGACGGGAAGACACCCGATCAGATGACGATGGATGAAGGAGTGAAGAGCTTTCTCCTTGGAAATAAGGTAAGGATCAGGATCATGTTATCTCTTTGTGGGTATGTGTGGGTTGGTGTGTGTGTGTATGTCAGAGTGTGTGTATAGGTGCGTGGGTAGGTGGGTGCGTGGGTGTGTGCGTGGGTGTATATTTGGGTGCGTGGGTAGAGGTGTGAGTGTGGGTGCATGGGATTGGTACTTGGGACACTCATTAGAACCGTACCTTTACTTCGCCGACCACTCGCAAAAGAGGCCCTCCTCAGTTCGAGAACCCTGTATTAAACATTGAAATTTAATGTTCTATGGTTGCCAATTAGTGACTGGCACAGCAGCCCCTGTATTGCCGATTGGCTACTTTGACAGCTTAGATTTACATGGAGTTGAAGATGCACATGTACGTTTATTGAATTATCCTGTTTTATATGTCATTTTTCCATCTAGATAAGTCTTTGATTCATAACCTATTACCCTATAATAATTGAGAGACCTTGTGCAAAGATTTAGCAAATGTTGCTTTTTGCTATTGAATTAAAATAGATGGCCTCTAGCCAATAATATTCTCTCTCAGCAATCTTCATGAAAAACAAGAGATAATACATTCAGGAAATTTTGCGAGAAACTTTAGAAAAATCAGCCACCCACCTCAATAATAAATGTTTATTCATGCACAATCAGCTAGTCTGTCGATATTATGAAATGGGAATCGTCAATAGATAATGAATGTTTGCACGCAACATTTCTTTCTGATGATTTCTAGTCTGCATGAGTATTCTATTTTTGAGAAACGCAGTCATGTTCACTTGCACATGTTCTTGTGAGCTTGAGCAGGAAACACTTAATCGTGTCGGCTTACAGGAAAAGGAAGGAGTGGGACCATTATCAAGGATAAACGAAGAGAGTTTAAAAAAAAAAATGTGTGTTAAGGTTTTCATTACGATACATATTATATTAATGAGTAATGAGTACTCCTAATCAGATAACATGTCTCCTTATATGACAGATCTAGAAGGAAAGTTTAAGTATGTTTGGCGAATCATTTTGAAATGTTTATGGATGTATCATTAGTATCAAAAGTAGTCAGCATTGTAGACCTAAGTTTTCTAGCAAATATGTTACAAAGAGCTACGACAAGGACATTCAATCATTACTCAGAAGAAAAAGAAAGAGATAGAGAGAGAGAGACAGAGAGAGAGAGAAACAGAAAGAAAGAGAGAGAGAGAGAGAGAGAAAGGGGACTGATAGAGGGTGGGGGATAGAAATATTTTGGAGCACATTATACCTTTCTTGCACTTTGGGCATTGATCAAACAAGTTTTTTTTCTTTCATGGCAAAATATATTGTGATTCAAATCGGCAATACGTGTGCCTTCAAACATACAATAATATTGCACATTCATTTCATCTCATTGAATACATGCATTCATGACCATGTCCGTGGTAATTCAATTAGCCACGATTGCTAAGTCCCTAGCTGGCAAGTCATTCCTTGATTGTACATGATTCAATGTATTAAAGGAGAACTAACCCCAAAGAATAATGATTTATTTTCATGTTGTTTTCATATGTACTGATTTTCATCTGACTATTGAACTATAACTGAAAGAAAATCTAAACAGATCAGATCAAATACTGTATATATTATTTCATAAAGGATCAGCTACAATTTGTTAGGATATGCTCTTTTACTTGACATTTCCTCAAATAAACTTAACCTTTGAAAATTCTCTCACATTTCTAGCAAATAGTATGAAGGCTTTGTTTTAGAAATAGGCCAGCAATTCAGGACTTTATAGGACTTTACACTGAATGAGGAAGTTTACAGAGGAGCGTATTGTTCATTTAAAAGTTAGCTAGAGTTCATTTACACACACATGAAAGTGATGCGGCTGTTTGATTGTGTTGTTTGGCAATGTCAACCAAGTAAATATATAGATGCGGATATTGACATGTGAAGTCCTGTTTTTAATTTTTGATCCAGGTGGTTGCGTGTATTAAAAAAAAAAAAAGTGTTAGTAATAAACCCGATAAACTTTGAAATATATATACTGCCATCATTTCATTCTACACATTCTACTTGGAGTGAGGAATGGCTCTTGCATGTGATCTCACTGAAATTGTAAAATTCCCTTATGTCAACGAAACTGTTACAAGCTGGTCGTCGTCCCATTGAAACGCTTGTCTCAAAGTTTATGTGCGTTTTAGTCAGATATCGGCAAACGTTTACTCTGGAAGGCAATTCATGCCACTGTTTGCTCTCACCGTTGGTCTTTGTGAAACACCCCATGTACTTATGACGTTCCTTATTAAGCGAGGCTCAGGCTATCAGTAGATGATTCACTTTTAGCTCATATTCCACATGCAGACTGTTTGTAAAGTCAATCAAAATAGCATCAGTGGTAGTACATGATATCATGCTGAATTTGCAGCTTTGAACCCACAAAATGTTGACCAGGGAGGTGTTTCACAAAGATTCTAAGTTGAACTTAACTCTAAGTTGGACTGAAATATCATGGAGAGCCATTTGTAGACTTAAAATGAAATATATTCAAAAACAAAAATTCAAGTATTTTAGACTTTTCATAAATTCTACATCAAGATCATGAAATCTCCCATGATAATAGAAAATATGAATGATTTAAATCAACATTTTATGCCTTTTTTCATATGATATTTCAATATTTTCAATGATGCTAATTGCTTTCCATAATTTTTAAGTCCAACTTAGAGATAAGTTCAAATTAAAATCTTTGTGAAACACCCCCCAGTATGTTAAAAGTTTGCAGAGAAATGTGACAGGAGACAAGGGTCTAGGTCCTTGTTCAGAGAGATTTTGAGTGTTTATCATTGACAACATGAATTATGTGTATAAATCACACTTTTTAGCCTAGGGGTGTGGTGAGAAATCTGTTAGTGAATTATGAAATTGTTGTAATGACATCTTGAAAATAGTTGTGAAAATGGTCTGTCAATTTGTGTTTTTAATTTCCTCATTTGATGTTAGACATTCCCCTTTCGATGAGTAAGAGGATTTTGTCACGCATACAAGTATTTCCATGTATCCTGACATTTTCCTTGAAAAGGAAGTCGCATAACAGGGAAGTAAATTTCAGAAATTCTTTGTGAAATTCCCCTTTTGTGTCAGTATGACATACAGTGTAGATATCCATAACTGTCTTCACAAATCCTATATATCAGAGTCATAGTACATAGAGGTGCCTGGGGACAACTACCCCTTAGACAATTATCCTCTAGACAACTAGCCCAAGAACAACTACCTCCAGGAAAACTGCCTCCTAGGACAACTACCACTCAGACAATTATCCTCTAGAACAACTGCCCCCAGGACAACTATCCCTAGGACAACTACCACCTGGGACAACTTCCACCTGGGACAACTGCCCCTAGGAGAACTACCCCTTGGAAAATTACCCCTTGGGCAACCATCCCTCAGACAACAACCCCCAAGACAACTACCCCCTGGGACAATGACCACCTGGTACAACTACCCCTTAGAGGCTTTATAGACAGCTACCCCTGGACAACAGCCCCTAGGACAACTATCCCCCAGGACAAATACTCCCAAGATAACTACCCACTAGGAGACTACACCTTGGACAACTACCCCTTAGAGGCTTTATAGACAACTACCCCCAGGACAACCGCCCCTAGGAGTACTACCCCTTAGAAAACTACCCCCTGGACAACCGCCCCCAGGACAATTACTCCCTAGGACAGCTATTACCTGGGACAAGTACCTTGAGGACAAATACTCACAAGATAATTCCCCTCCTAGGAAAACTCCCCCTCGGACAACTACCCCTCAGACAACTACCCCCTGGATAACGAACCCCTGGACAACTACCCCTTAGACAACTACCCCCTGGACACCTAACCCTAAGCCAACTACCCCATGGGACAACTAGCCCTTAGCCAACTACCCCATGGGACAACTAACCCTTAGCCAACTACCCTTACATGGGGACATTAACCCCTGGGTGACTACCCACTTAGTGTAATAACCCACATGCACCTGTTGTCTGAGGGTAATTTTTGTTATCTTTCAACAGTAAGCTGTCCAATGGCAGTATGTCTCAGGGGTGATAGTACCGGTACTTGAAGATCTATCATCCTAGTTACCTCTTAACCCCCGTAACAAATTATGATTTAACATGGATGATTTAACTTTTTTCTTCTTCTTCTCTCACTCATTGCAGGAACGATCGGTTGCACAACAGCAAGGACATGGTGATATCGGCTATGTGACAATGACTCAAAAAGAGCAGCAGCAGCGGAAAGCTATGATTGGTGGTGAGTCATCGGTAGCAGAACCAAGGGTGGGGGGGGGGGGGGGGGGGGGGGGGGGGAGGGGGAGGGAGGGAGGGGAGGGGAGGGGGAAGGTGCCCAAATACTCGAGTATTTTCTTCCTACTGGGTAGAAATTCACCCGGATGGATTCTTCTTTTTTATGTGCCATGTCCTGAGACGTTGGGAACCATGGAATGCCACAACTCTCTGTCCCATATTCTATGAAGTAATTCATTCTCCCCAAGATCAATTCCACTTTCAGAAATCCCACTCCTTAAGCTACTCATCCACAGAATCCTCCTCCTACCCCTACTCGTCCTCCCCTCTATTCTTCCAGTCAGTGCAAGATTTTCCAAACCATTCTTTCGAATAACATGACCCAAGAAGCTCAGCTGTCGACCTCTTATATTATTCAGAAGCTTTCGTCTTGTTCCTGCCATGGCATATACCTCATTATCAGAAACCCTTTCTGTCCATGAAATTCTAAGCATCCTTCTGAGGAACCAAACTTCACAACTTTCCAGTCGCTTTCTTAGGTCTGATGTCAGGGTCCAATTCACTCGGATGGATAGTGGCAAATTTAAATGAATGCAGCTGCAATGTAGTAACTCTGCTTCCATTTCATTGTTATGATTATTGTATTAACTTTATTGAACCATATACATGATGTAAAAGCAAAACATACAAACATTACCAAACTGAATAGTCCCCTCCTGCTTCTGAATTATTAAATTCTCTTCCTACCAGGTATTATTTACTTCACCTGGGTGGAGAGTTGCAAATGTTGATGATTGCAGCTCATAAAACTATATTCATTCCATTGTTATGATTATTGAATTAACTTTATCGAACCATATACATGATGTAAAAGCAAAACATACAATCAGTACCAAGCTGAATAGCCCCCTCTGTCATTTACTTCACCTGGGTGGAGAGTGGCAAATATTATTAATTGCAGTTCTTAACACTGTATTCATTCCATTGTTTCCATTACATTCTCTTCTTACCAGTACCATTTACTTCACCTGGATGGAGAGTGGCAAATGTTGATGAATGCAGCTCATACATATATAAACTCTATTATCATTCCATTGTTTTGCTTGCAGGACCTCTTGGCCCCCCTGACCAAGATAACCCCCAGAACAGACCTGCGTACGACTTTCCTTTCCCAGTGGCGATCCCCGTCAGCAAAGAAGCTGACATCCATAGATTAATAAGTGGTGAGTCTGCACACTGGGGGTGGTTGTACAACAATAAGCGAGTTCCTGATTAGGATTTGCGCATGGGCAGATAAAGGTCATATGTTCCCAAATAGCAAAACTAGCGAGAGGAATGTTGGTATCGTGCTCATGAAAGTTATGTAATCAGTACTCTCTTATGCACCGACAGTACATTTATCTGATACACAGGTGGAAGTATTCTTCTCAAGCGATAAACAAAAGGTATTCATGAAGCACCTCCATTACTTTGGCAGTGATTATTCTAAAATGCACAAGTGGGACGTTTGCAGATGTAAAAGATCTGTGGATATTTGGGGGTCATGCGTTCCTAAGCTATTTACGAACTGGCTTATTGTGTACTGCTGTTTGGTCTTCAACCAGTTCTTCTACTATGCAATTGGTCTATTCCCATATGCTCTACTCAGAGCCCATCCACTATCCATTGAATCATAATAATAATAATCATCAAATGATTATTAGACCTTATGGATATATACGAAATGGGCATTAGACAAACTTGAAATTAGCGTCAATGGTCATTAAACCAAATGATAAGTAGTAGACAAAATGATTATTAGGCCATGTGGATAGTAGACGAGTTGGGTTAAGACCATATGGGAAAGACTAATTGGGTGGTAGAAAAACTGGTTGTAGTAAAATAAGCTTTTAAACCCTTAAAATGGCAACACGTTGGGAGGTTCAAATTCATTGTATTTCAATAAAAAATATTGGCAATAGTTTGAAACTTTTCCTCTAAGTTCCTAATCATGTACTAAAGGTACTAAGGGTTAACCAAAGACCTCGGAATATGTTAGAGACCTCAAGAACACCTTACTCTTCAAAAGCACATCAAAACATGTCTGCAAATCTGCATCTTGGGGCATCTACAAAATTGAAAAGATCAGGCGACTGCTTGACAAAGCCTCCATTGAAAGACTTGTCCACGCCTTCGTCTCCTCCCATCTGGACTATGGCAACCCCCTCCTTCCGGCCTCCCAATTTCTCATAAATCTCCTCTCCAGCGCATCCAAAATTCAGCAGCTAGATTGATCACATTAAGTAGGAAATATGACCATATATCACCTGTTCTTCGCTCACTATATTGGCTACCGGTCCATTCTCGCATTACTTTCAAAATCCTACTTCTTTCATACAAAATAACACATAACCTTGCCCCTAAATATCTTCTTGACCTAGTCTCCCTTTGATCCTCCTCTTCTGCCAGATCCCTCCGTTTATCTTCCTCCATGGAATTAATTCAAGGCCCACAAACAAAAACCTGTTATGGTGACCGTACCTTTTCACCGATTGCCCCCGCCCTCTAGAAAAAACTCCCACCCCATATTAATAAATGCCCCATCCATTGAATCATTCAAAACCAACCTTTTAAATCAGTTATAGTATACTGGAGGCGCACACAAGTAGTTCATTCCATTCAACTGAATTGTATTGTATTAGGAATATATTTTATTTTATTTTGCTGCTTTTAAAGGGAGTGAGTCATGACTAGACTATGTGTCTTTCCCGTGGGCCTACTCGGGGCCAATCGGGTATAGTACGACTATGAACGATGCGCTGCAGCATTCACTTGCGTGCAACATACGCGAAACCGAAGCATGAGGAGAACTTCGGTCTGTTTCGCTAGCATGCGCTAACCCATTTAATCAAGTCCATTCGTTTATGTGCAGTTGACCAAAAGAAAACGTAGATGGCGTAAACCAGTATTTACCATGATACACTCCCTTTAAACTATTGAACATGTTGAATGACTATACTCAGTTAGACAGTACCACCTGTGCGCTTAGAAACGCCTGTATGAAGCACCCTATAAATGTATAAATATATTATTATTATGTATTTGTTTTCAGAGACTTTACACTTTATTACAATACTGTAGCAATAAAAGACAAATAGTTTTGTTGCCAATTTGAAGAAGAACATGTGATGAATTTAGCCCTATAAATGTTTCCAGTTCTGAAAGGACCAAGGATGCGTTAGCGATTTTCGAAGCTAGAATCACAAATATTAATCAGAATCAAAACGCCGTTAAAAAACATGGTTACTGCGGAAGAGCGCTCTCGCTCATTTCGTGCACAGCCACTGCTCATCACACTGTGCAGTTTGACCCAGGAAGTATAGATCAACTTCGCCGCGTGCTTTCTGTCTGTGTTTACTGTCGACTCTCGGTCGAACAAGAAGCAGGCCACGATAATCTCGTCATAGAATCATGATTGAGATCTCCGTTCGTTCAAGCGAATTTTAGTGACTGTGAATCTTGATAGAAAACGCATCTTTTTCCGCGTATTGTGTTTTTAAACACGTTTATATTTTATGACTGACAAAAAATCTCTTCGTCAACGCAACTGTGTTTTAAACTAAATGTCTTGAAAACCGTCATTCTAGGGTGAAAAAGTGTTGATTGAACGCACCCTATTTCATCTCCTCTGTATTCCTTTCTAGGTGATCCTGATGATATTTATAACTACTACGACAGCTGGGAGAGATCTGATACAGGCACTATGGAGAGAGATGGAGATGATGATGACGACGATGATACACAGGTAGGTGTTTGGTAATGCATCTAGATCATGCGTAAGCAGATATTGCCTCCCCCCCCCCCCCCCCAACAAAAAAAAAGAAAAATGAGGAAAACAATGAACAATGAAGAAAAAAATGAAGAAAAAAAATAGAGAAAACAAGTTAAAAATTGAACTTTAGAAAGGTTTGAATAATATAAAAATGAGAAAAGAAGAAGAAGAAGAAGATATGTGTGGAGGTGTTGGTGTTGCAGATTAATCCACCTTTTTCTTCCACTTTTCCAAAAAATGTAAAAAAAACTGAAAACACACAAATTGTAAATATACTTACATACATGTTCACTACATCAGAAGCCAGCAAAAGCCCTGTTAACTCCTGTTTTAAACACTTTGAAATCATTAGAAAAAAAACAGTTGTTAAATGTTGTCCCATTTATTGTAATGTAAAAAATGCTTGATAGATAGAACACTATATACATGTATATTCCTATTACACTAACTCTTTAACAGAGTAGGTCCTCTGCTCCTATTTAACATGCATGTGTTCGACAGACAATAACATTCACTCTTAAAAACTTGTAGCACACACAATTTTAGTCATTAGATGTGCTTTTCTGTTTTGCTGATCTAACAAATTTTGCCTGCCGGTAATTGGGGGATGGAGCTTAATGATTATGTGAAATATTCCTCATAGCTTTTCTAAATCTGTGCTTTTTTAAATGCTATAGGATAGAGATGTACATGTATATATTTAGAATTAGTGTCTTCTAACCCTTTTTTTAACCAATATTGATATATGGGTTATAGATTAACTCATACACTATGCACGTATCTTTAGTATTCATTATACTTTGTGGATTGAAACTAAGAATTGAAGATTTCTAACTAAGAACTGACATTTCTAACTAAGAAATGAAGATTCCTGACTAAGAAATGAAGATTCCTGACTAAGAAATGAAGATTCCTGACTAAGAAATGAAGTTTCCTGACTAAGAAATGAAGATTCCTGACTAAGAAATGAAGATTCCTTACTAAGAATAAAAGATTCCTGACTATTAATTGACATTTCTAACTTAAAGCTGTAGATTTATAACTAAGAATTAAAGATTCCTGACTAAGAATAAAAGATTCCTGACAAAGAATTGAAGATTCCTGACTAAGAAATGAAGATTCCTGACTAAGAATAAAAGATTCCTGACTATTAATTGACATTTCTAACTTAAAGCTGTAGATTTATAACTAAGAATTAAAGATACCTGACTAAGAATAAAAGATTCCTGACTAAGAATTGAAGATTCCTGACTAAGAAATGAAGATTCCTGACTAAGAATAAAAGATTTATAACTAAGAATTAAAGATTCCTGACTAAGAATTGAAGATTCCTGACTAAGAAATGAAGATTCCTTACTAAGAAATGAAGATTCCTGACTAAGAAATGAAGATTCCTGACTAAGAAATGAAGATTCCTGACTAAGAAATGAAGATTCCTGACTAAGAAATGAAGATTCCTGACTAAGAAATGAAGTTTCCTGACTAAGAAATGAAGATTCCTGACTAAGAAATGAAGATTCCTGACTAAGAAATGAAGATTCCTGACTATTAATTGACATTTCTAACTTAAAGCTGTAGATTTATAACTAAGAATTAAAGATTCCTGACTAAGTTTAAAAGATTCCTGACTAAGAATTGAAGATTCCTGACTAAGAAATGAAGATTCCTGACTAAGAAATGAAGATTCCTGACTATTAATTGACATTTCTAACTTAAAGCTGTAGATTTATAACTAAGAATTAAAGATTCCTGACTAAGAATAAAAGATTCCTGAATAAGAATTGAAGATTCCTGACTAAGAAATGAAGATTCCTGACTAAGAATAAAAGATTCCTGACTAAGAATTGAAGATTCCTGACTAAGAAATGAAGATTCCTGACTAAGAAATGAAGATTCCTGGCTAAGAATTGAAGATTCCTGACTAAGAAATGAAGATTCCTGACTAAGAATTGACATTTCTAACTACGAACTGTAGATTTATAACTAAGAATTAAAGATTTCTGACTAAGAATTGAAGATTCCTGACTAAGAATAAAAGATTCCTGACTAAGAATTGAAGATTCCTGACTAAGAAATGAAGATTCCTGAATAAGAAATGAAGTTTCATGACTAAGAATTGAACATTGATACAAGATGTTGAAAATTTATAAAAATCTGCTTCACTGGGCTACACCTTTGTCTTACATAAACATTTAGTTTTCAATCTGTATTCATGTAATACTAGCATGTAAAGTTGTGATAATGGTTGTTCAGGAGCCTTAAAGTGTATCAAACACCATAACATGTTTTACACTTAATGTAAGTGGCTGTACTGTATTTTTGTTAAATAGCTTCAAATAGTAGTCCTACAAAGAATTTATTGCAATTTAAATAATTCTCAGTGCATGGTTAAATGTCTTGTTTATTAGACTAGTTAATGCATGCGTACACACTTGCAAAGAATAGGGCACACACAGAGCCTGGGTAAGTACAGTCAAACCTGCTTTAGCGACCAGTTGTATAGAAAGACCCCATTTTTTGTTTCCCTTGAAAATTGTTTCTCATTGAAACATGTACTAAAGGAACCTGTACATAAAGATCGCCTGCCTATAAAGACCGCTTTTCTTGTCTCCCTTGTATGGTCTTTGTAGACAGGTTTCACTGTATTTAAATTAAATCAAAAGAAATAAATGTTTACTGTAAGTTGTAGTCATACATGTACATGTAGATGTAGATTATACATGTTAATGTAGATTATACATTTGCATCTACGCTTGTATATGTATGTCACCAAAATATACAATATAAATAAACAAACCCAGACAATGCACTCTTCCCCCCCCCCCCAAATTCAAAACATCACTGTAGAATATAGATCTTTCTGTAAAAGACAGCTCTTTTAATCTGTTGAATGCAGTATACCTCTGTATAGCACATTTTTTTGTCATAGGCCTGTTCGCCTACAAGACAGTGTGCAGTGTACATGTAAAACCCTCCCCCCAAAAAGTTCTGCAATTGAAGTTTGAGCATTGATATCTCTCTTGTCACTATGTTATCATACTTGACATTTATATCATTGAAAAGCCTGTTTATTGCTCTATACAATGATGCCACATTTATACTGATTATGTAAAGATGGACTGTGCAGTACATCTGAATATGGGTCTAGGTCAAAAGTGAAATGTTGCAAAATGCATTGTTTTTCCTTCAAAACACAACCCATCCTTCAAACAAATGAAGAATTCACCATTGTATTACATTACACCATTTTAAGGTGTACTGCAAGGCTCATGAGTATGAAATCAAGATAAATGATAATCGTTACAAATTGGGTATTATTGTAAAGGGGAATTAACAGCCTTTCCCATGATACCCACATCAAGTATGATAATAATAGTCATTTAAAGTCCACTCCAAAATTTATTAAACTGAAAATGGAAATTCTTTTTGCTCAATTGATCATGAGCCCGGCAGCCACTGAGCAGCGCCAGATCGACGTTGCTCTATTCCCTTATTGTTGAACGCCAAACGAGGTAGCAGCAACTCCCGTCTTTTAACGTCTTTTGGTATGACGCGGCCGGGGTTCGAACCCACGACCTCCCGGTTGTGAGGCGGACGCTCTCCTGACTGAGCCAACACATAATATACTAAGAAGAGAGATATCAAACTTAAATTGCAGAAATTCTTTTGAGGAGATCATTTTTAAGCACAATGCAGGTTTAGGTTATCATGAGGAGATATTCTGCAAAAATGAGTACCTGACTGAGGAACTAATGCAGGTTTCTGGGCAATGTTGTTTGTAGAATGAGGAGCTCGATCTCCTCAAAAATTTATGATAAATGTGATTTATTTTTCAGGATTTACCTCCACCTCCGCCAATACCACGGCCGATAGCACGGCCGATTCCACGAGATACATACTCTGGGCCTACTTCGGTAACAATGACTCAATTTGTGGAAAATAGTGCTTTGTTTAATATTACTTATACAAAGCATATTATATCTTCCTGCAAAATAAAAAAAGCAAAAAGCATTTACTACTGAGTAGTACTTAATAGGTGCCATTCATGCAACAAATCTGTGAAATATTTGCTGTGAAATAACAAAACTGTTTTTGTGATGTGTAAAATGGTATTAGATTCATCGTGTTCTGTTCCGTTGTGTGCAAATTATTTCCAAATACTAACACTGTTAATTTTGACCATACTTGTAGTTGTAAGTTTCAAATTTTCCCCAACTAATGTTTGCTACTTTTTTTAAAGGGGGGTTCGCAAAGAACTTGGTAGGAAGTTGTATTTCTGTTCCTGCATGTTCATATTTTTATATTTTTAAATATTTTTATATAAAGAATCTTGTGTGTCATTCTTCATTCTCTTTTCTTCTGACACCCTCTCCGGTACTTTGTTACCTTTCTTCAGTATGTAATATTAATACATGTTATAGAGTAAAAAATTTCATGCGTCCGGTAATTTTTGTTTTGTTTTGGTTTTTGTTTTTAAATTATAGTCCATTCTATAAAACAGACGATACGCAGTTTGATTTTGTGGGTCGGTTGAATTGTGTGCACGCATTAACTTTAGGCAGGTCTAAAACACACTCGACTACACCTTGTGTGTTTAAACCATGCCCAAAGTTACCTTGTGCACACAATTCCTACCGACCCGCTCATAGTGTGCATCATTTGTAAGCATGTTAGAAATGTATTCTACCATACATATTACTTAGCAATGTACAATCTTTTTTCCATCTATTATCATCCTACTGTAGGGTATTATTTATGACTTTGCCATTTATGACTAGTAGTAGTACATGTAGAAGTAGTAGATGAAATAAAGTTGCTGTAAAGTTCTAAATACCCACATATTTCATATTACAGACCTGCCAACCAGTACGATTTAGTCGTAATTCGTACGATTTTAAGAAGCAAATACGACAGTACATTCCTCAATAAGATACAATTTTTTTTTTCTTTCTTTTTTTCTTTTTTTAATAATTTTTATATTTTATTGTTGTTTTTTGTTCAGTATAAGAAATCAATACTTTTAGCAATCATTATATTGATTAATGATTAATTAACTATATCAAATAATTGTAAAATAACCCATATTAGCGAAAATATTTAATTAGTTAAATATGTTCTCACCATTTTTCTAATTTTCATATTCATACACTAACCTAATTAACATTTATTTTTAGAATCATATTTCTATATGATTGTCCTAGTGATAAACAATCATATATCCACATGTATGTAGCCCATTAACCCCTGGTGGGGTCACTCAATGTGACTTCCGGACCACATGACCGTTACCAAAATCGCGGAAAAAGGGGTCAATTTCAAGCAATGTCCGCGGAAAAAATATTCCTCGAAATAAAGAAAATAGGGGTGCACAGGTGTCCCCGAAATTGATAAATAGGGGTCAGGAAAAGGGAAAAGAGAAAACCGGGAATGGAAAAGAGAAAACCGGGAAGAAAAATTCTCGGAGCCGAGTCTTGTCCTTGAAATATGGTAAAATAGGGGTAAATTTGCGAAAGTGTCCTTACAATCTTATAAATAGGGGTATTCCAAAGTACGATTTTGTCCTTGTTTTGACATAAAAAAGGGGTTAAATTTCACAAAATGTCCTTGAAATTGACCGCAAAAGGGGGTTATATGCATTGGTGGTAACGGTCATACGTGTCACTCTTTGCAGGGGAGTGACCCCACCGGGCATTAACACCGCGTCCACACACAACAAATTCATTGTATATACAGTGTACATGTAGTTATACAACGAAATTGTGTGTGTGTACGCTTAGTGACGATACGTCGTATAACGAAACGTTGTATAACGAAACGTGGGTCTGGGCATCGTTTCGAACTAGAACTCGATAACGAATCACGGAATGTGTTGTGTGTGGACGTAACTAGAACGGTATAACTGGGCGGGGCTTAACGTGACCACGCGCGAAAGGAGACCTGACCTCTCATTTCCGCTTCCGTTTCGTGACCACAGTAGCAAACTGCACACCTATATGATGTTTCACTGTAGAGTTTCGGGGTTACATTCTTGTGTGTGTGGACACCCTGGCATTTATATGATGTTTCTTGTGTGTGGACGCCTTGGAATTTATATGATGATTCTTTACACACGGTTTCTTTATACAGTTTCGGGAATAAAAATTTGTGTGTGGACACGCTGTATAGTGAACTATAGTGGAGTGGGTGTACATATTATCTTTTGTATCTGCATATATACGATATATTCTGTTTGATATTGATATGTACATGTACATATACACTTTATTCAAAATTTTCCTTTGTCTTTTGATATTACTTCTTTTATCATGATATAATCACGGCCCTCTAGGCTGTATCTTGCATGGCAGTGTATTAAAACACACTGCATCTGTATACTTCATATTCCGTTAAACATTATGTGACTCTACCTTATGTTTTGTTTACGTTAACATGCAAATTAATTTTCATATTTTGAATATCCCAATGGATAATCTTCTTTTTTATCATGCTATTTGCAAAGTCTTTTCATTCTTTGGCAGTAAAATAGGAGGTCTTGATTTGTTTTGTTGTTGCAAAAGCTTTAACCTCTTTTAAGAAATTTGGATTTTTATCACTTATTTTCATTATTAAAAAGTTATACCGTAAATCTTTGTGTATAAGATGCACTTTTTCCCTCCAAATTTTTTTTTGAAAGTCGGGGGTGCGTCTTATACACGGGTACCCAAAAAAACAAAAAAAAGATAAAAGATTTTTTAGAGTTTCGATTCATGCCCTCCACCTGGCACTGTGCCTGACAATGTCCTCCAGCTCAGTCATACCACTCGGAAACTAGAACAACACTACCTGAATGTCTGGATTTCTGTTTGGACTTAAAGAAAAATTTGCCTGTCATCTTTAGTTTTAAAAACTAATTATCAGAATAATGAACATTGAAATGTTCATTATTGTGATAACTTCATTATTACTAAATGTTCATTATTGTGATAACTTCATTATTACTAAATGTTCATTATTGTGATAACTTCATTTTTACTAAATGTTCATTATTGTGATAACTTCATTGTTACTATTATTTGTTACAAGTTCATCATTCTGATATTAAACTTCATTGTTACTATTATTTGTGACAAGTTCACAAGCAAAATTTGGCGCCTCCAAATGCACCTCGCAGTAAAATGAAGGTCCTTTCCCTTTTGAACACGGACCTGGCTTGCTGCATGGCTACGGAGTCGGGGAAAAAAATAAAAATACATAAAAAATAGGGTTGCGTCTTATACACAGAGATTTACGGTATTTCAATATTGTCCTTGTCATTCTGTGTTTGTCAGTGTCTCACCCGGTAATCATTTGTATTGTCCATAAATGAGAAAAAATGCTTTCAAATTGATGTGTTGATAGCTTTTGTGCAATGCGATTGCAGAATAGACGGGTTTACTAATAAACAAAGGTTGTTCTTGACAGCGTGAAAGCTTGCCTGACATAGCAACAATTAACATAAGGGGATTCGGTACACAGAGTACCAAAGTGCTAACATCATTTTCGCTCGTCATCCAGCTTTGAATAGTGGATCCAAACAACCGAGCCTGTGCATGAGGTTCACGTTGAAATCATTCAAGCAACGGACGGGAGCAGGGCAAATTCAGTGTTTGGGGCTGGTGTGATCACCATGGCATTGTTCAGCAGAAAATTTTTGAAACCAGCAACCTTGACTTTGCCAGTATACATCACACTTAGGTACTCTATTGAGATGCCATGTATCTCAGATGAGTTAAGTACATGTACATGAAACTCGGCCTTCTGGAGAGAAGCATGCACAGATGGAAATACATTTGTAAATATGGTAGGGTTTCACGAAAACCATTATCAGTACAAGTTCACTAACAACCCATTGAAACTTGTGTATTAGATTTAGAACTCGATTCAATAGGATCTCAGTGAACTTATACTTATGATGGTTTTGTGAAAGGATGCATTGCGGGTGCATGGCAGGGCCATAATCAGGAAGAGCAATTAACACTGATTAAGCTTTTCATCTGTATTTATAAGACCTCGTATTAATTGCAATTTTTCTCTTTCTAATTGTAGGATTATGAGACACTGGACAGCGAAGCCCCCTCTGTACCACACCATGACATGCCCCCATCCCTCCCCGTCAGTGCGCCCGATGAACGACCCGAGCCGCCAGCAGCAAGCAGAAAACCAGTCCCACCGATCCAACCTCAAAGCGACAGTAAGATTTTTTAATTTTTTGTTTACAGCATCCAAATCAAATTAATACATCTGTAGACAAAAAAGTAGTTAAAAAGTAGACCTAAAGAAGGATTTAATTCCATCTAAAGCTGAGTTCAAGATAGTAGTCAGGTACTTTCTATCTAATAGCCACCGACTTATTGTTAGCTTTCGTATCAGAACGCTTACCCCCTGGACAATGACCCTAAACAGGTCCCCCAAATCTAGGTCCAGGCCCAAAAAATTAAAAGAAAAAAATTGCATAGGGGTCTTACATACCCCTTCCTATAACCCCTGCATACTGGATGTTGTAAATGTTTGCTTTTTCTTGAAATAAATGTCTCATATTTTTTCTCACAATGTCAATGCTTCCAGACAAAGATGGTCAAAGAGATCCAGATGCGAAACTCCAGAGCCTGATCGACATCCAGAATCGTGTCAAGGATAATGAGATCAGTATGGACGAGGCAGTCAACCTTTTCAGGGAGTGGGAAGAGAGCCACAATCATACACAGTCTATGAGTACAGTGAGTAAAGCTTGTTCACATTGGAGGATATTCGTGATCTGAAATTTGATTAATGCAATTTTAGGGAGTGGGAACAGAATCACAATCTTACACAGTCAATGAGTACAGTGAGTAAAGCTTGTTCACATTGAAGGATATTCTTGATCTGAAATTTGATTAACGCAATTTTAGGGAGTGGGAACAGAATCACAATCATACCCAGTCTATGAGGACAGTGAGTAAACCTTGTTCACATTGGAGGATATTCTTGATCTGAAATTTGATTAACGCAATTTTAGGGAGTGGGAACAGAATCACAATCATACCCAGTCTATGAGGACAGTGAGTAAACCTTGTTCACATTGGAGGATGTTCTTGATCTGAAATTTGATTAACGCAATTTTAGGGAGTGGGAACAGAATCACAGTTTTACACAGTCTATGAGTACAGTGAGTAAAGCTTGTTCACATTGGAGCATATTCTTGATCTGAAATTTGATTAACGCAATTTTAGGGAGTGGGAACAGAATCACAATCATACACAGTCAATAAGGACAGTGAGTAAACCTTGTTCACATTGGAGGATGTTCTTGATCTGAAATTTGATTAACGCAATTTTAGGGAGTGGGAACAGAATCACAATCATACACAGTCAATAAGGACAGTGAGTAAACCTTGTTCACATTGGAGGATGTTCTTGATCTGAAATTTGATTAATGTAATTTTAGGGAGTGGGAATAGAATCACAATCATACACAGTCAATGAGTACAGTGAGTAAAGCTTGTTCACATGGAGGATATTCTTGATCTGAAATTTGATTAACGCAATTTTAGGGAGTGGGAACAGAATCACAATCATACACAGTCAATGAGGACAGTGAGTAAACCTTGTTCACATTGGAGGATGTTCTTGATCTGAAATTTGATTAATGTAATTTTAGGGAGTGGGAATAGAATCACAATCATACCGTACACAAAGATCCCCCCCCCCCTCCTAAAAAAAATTTAAAAATAAAAAAGTGTTTGAAGACAAATATTGATACAAAAATATATAATTTGGTTTTTCTGTTGTATGCAAAACACCTCAATTTTGTATTCTTTCATCAATATTCGACTTCAAACACATTTGTTTGAAAATCCTTGCAGAAATGTGTCTTAATAAATGACATCCTCTTTCACATTATGAGACAATTTTAGTAAAATTTAGCCATGAAGTTTTTGGGGCTCCCAACACTTTAGAGGGGCTTTAAAGGTACTATGTCCCATTTGAAGGCCCAAAAAATGAAAAGGTTATATTCCAATGGCATTTGAAAGATAATACTAATTTAGAACTCCCCTAAAAAAAAGGGGGCTTGAAAATGTCTTTAAATGGCAAAATAATGACTATTAGTTGTCAAATCGACTTAGGAGCTATAGAGCCAATAAGTAATAGTCTTGATTTTCAAACCATTTTGTACCGCATGGTCATACGTTTTATGCTGCGCAAAGATTCAATCAGTTTAATTTTGGCCATTAGAAGAAGTGGGTTATTGATGTAGACAAATGCTCATGTACCCTTTACAGCTCATTTTATGTATGTTATTACCAAAGAAGAAAAAAAAGCCAGTCAGTCACTCAATAGTGTCTGACAGTGAAGTCTAGCAAGTAAACAGGTTTCCTTGCATCATTTGAATATTAGGACACTGCTAACGTTTAAATTTCACAGATAGGATATACATGACATATTCATGATTCCTGCAAAGTTCTACAGAATTTGAGGTTGGCTGCAAAAGGGACATAGTACCTTTAATGCCTGTGTGGCTCCAAACAAATGGGAAAAAAGATGATGTTATTGAGGGGTTCGTTATGGAATGTGTCCAGCGACAAAAAGAAATTCCATCTTTCTTTTCTTTTTACAGAGACGAGGTACTGAAAGGGAGAGTCAGAGCAGCCTACAGAAATTATTCAAAAGGAAACAAGGGCGTCCCTCTACTGGTATGTATCATACAGACTCCCCCAATGACTCCAGGGGGGTGTTTCACAAAGATCCTAAGTTGAACTTATCTCTCAGTTGGACTTAACAATTATGGAAAGCCGTTAGCTTCATTGAAAATATTTTGTAAAAGTTATTTTAAAGGGCATAAAATGTTGATTCAAATCATTCATATTTTCTATTATCAAGGAGATTTCATGTTCTTGATGTGAAATTTATGAAAAGTCTAAAATATTTGAATTTTTGCTTTTGAATATATTTTATTTTAAGGCTACAGATGGCTCTCCATAATACTTAAGTCCAACTTAGAGTTAAGTTTGACTTGGGATCTTTGTGAAGCACCCCCCTGGCCTAATATCTAGAACATGATTTCTCTATCAGAACTTTAAGTGTACCGATCACCGCAACAAGTTATGCTCTTGATGTATAAAGGGGTCCCATGTTTCTGCTCCGTAGTCAAATTATGAGCTTCAAATATTACATGTACTTCTAAAAAGAGCCATTGCAGTCTAAATACACTCTCAATGAGCTGTAAAACCTTTAGTTGAAAAGACAAGTTAACACACTTGTCGCATAGAATAGGGTTCGCACATAACTCAAGTTAGAATTGGGTTCTGTGCAAGCCCTTACACAAGGTTTTATGTAATCCTTTATTTTCTTCATACTCCTTAACCGTTTACATGTAAAAACGCCAGGTCAAGTTTTTCTTTAGGTTGATTTTATATATTCTACCCTTACACAAATTATTTGTTGAGGTGGTTGGTACACTTTAAAGCCCCTCAAGTGTTAGGAGCCCAAAAATTTGATGGAAAAATTTCAATTAGATTGTATCATAATGTAAAAGAGGATGTCATTTAAGACACATTTCTGCAAGGATTTTCAAAACAAATGTGTTTGAAGACGAATCTTGATGAAAGAATACAAAATTTAGGTTTTCTGCATACAACAGAAAACGCAAATTATGTATTCTTTCATCAAGATTCGTCTTCAAACACAATTTTTAGGGGGCAATCTTTGCAGAAGTGTGTCTTAAATGACATCCTCTTTCACATTATGATACAGGTATCAGTGAAATTTTGCCATCAAATTTTTGGCAAATTTGGGGCTCCCAACATATTTGAGGGGCTTCAAGATTATTGTTGATATTATGACTGAAAGCATGCCCTCTAGTGGTCCCCTATTGCAGCCCATCTCCAGACTGTACACTGTCCCAAATAACTTGTAAAGCCATTCTTGCGTTTTGCTCCCCGGTGTATGATGTGCATTGTTGGATGTCCGCAAGAAGGTTATAATAGTAATGTCATGGCAGTAAAGGCCTTCTTGCAGGCAGCCGACAACATTTATGTTTTTGTGTGCATTCTATAATGTGCTAGAAAGTAACCCTGTGAAATGTCCCTGTCACCAAAAGCTCTCCTCCAACTTCACATATATTTGCTGAAAGCGTTTAGTACTTTTCAAGGTTCTTCTAAAAGGGTTCTGAGTTATTCTTCTGATTTTTTCTATATATCTTTTTTCATATTCTCTAAATTTGGCTTCTAAAATTGATGCATTGGACATTTCAACAATCTTGTTAGCATATTTATCTCGGAGACAACAGGGGTTAATACACCTGCCATGGGTAAATCAAAGCATAATTTTTTTTAGAAACAACGTGCAGATTAACCATTCACAGAGGCACCTTTATTAACCCCACCCCCTTCCCCAAAACACCAGCATACACCCACATTTGGAGGCACCTATGTGATAAATCCTTTGCCCCCTTTTATATTGGAGTGAGTTTAGAGGGCCTTTGTGAAAGGTAATATGCAGACATTTGGATTTAGGAGGGTTGCCGTAATGACAATGAAAACTTGTATAGGCTTGAGTCGAATGGATCACTTTTATTGTTCTGTTTGAGATTTGTTATACTCTATTACTCATTACAATTCTTAAACTTTCAATTCACATTGAGATCATAACAATTATCCTAGCTGGAATTATAAATAACTTAGATCATGCCTTAAAGTGATAGTCTGTATGGCCCCATCCAAGATTGAACGCTTGACAGTTATCCTAACCTTAGAATCTTTAAACTTCACTTGATTAAGATGATGAAAGTGATGCCGGTCAGAGAGGTAGGCAAAGGGAGCCCCCACCTCCCCCCGTTTTTGTTTCGTCCGAGAATAAAATGGGTAAGTTCCCGTCAATAACTGGGTCGTCAGGGGTATTTCATCATCACTTCCATGTAACACCATGATCTTATACATACTGTATTTGTTTATAACAGCCCATGACATATGTTGACTATTTTCTGTTTGGTGTATTAACCTTCCATCTGGGTACGACATCTTGGTACTCCATGGGTATCATTCAATTATCAACACTCACCACGGACATGGATGGTTGTACCTCTTCACTCAATGGTGCCCACACATTAATACTTGCATTCAATCTCTGTAGTTTCATAATGGTCGAGAGATCAGCGAACTCAACAAGACTCTACATCTACTATGCATCAATTAATTGTACCTCAGTGTAGTTTTAAAATTGTTCAGGTATCAGCAAAAATTCAATAATTGTACATTAATACTTGCAATAACTCATTGTAGTTTCAGAATACATTTGGGATCAGCGAAATCAATATACTGTACATGTACCCTTGCATTGACTCATTGTAGTTTCAGAATCTGTCAGGGACCAGCGAAGTCAATCTACATTCTATAGACCCACCCTAGGCAATTCGCGTTCTGTTCCTCATGCTTCCTCCTCCACGGCTAATAGCAATTTTAAGGGGGCTTTTGGTATAACCACCTACCTTTATGCATCTCTTCCTGCACTCTGAATGGATTGTTGGTCAATTGCATGCCATGTTCTGTGTTCTGCATTGGTATTTATGTTTCATTGGTTTCTAAAGGATATTTTTATCTTGATTCTTGCCTGTCCCGTCGTCTGAGCAATAAACTTCCAAGAAAGAATAATTAAGTTTTTTTAGAGTCCAACAAACTTGTTTTAAGTTCTTTATCTCATTCTGTGGGTATTTTTATTGATTGAAATCATCTTCATTAGGAAACAAACTTTTCAGATTATTGTCCCTTGTCTGCTTTGTGAATCAAATATAGTTTTTTGCATGAAGGTAGATTTTATCAAGAATTTCATCTCGTAGGCCATTTTCGTAATGTAATCAAATTGAATGCACAAATCTGTTACAAATAAGTGTGTTTCAATAGTCAAAATGCAAATGGTATACATTTCGTTAAGTTTTGTTAATTAGGACAAAGTCATATTGTTTGACCTAACTAGCAACAATAAATGAATGCATTTTGCATTCTGACTTTGGAAATACAGTCAAACCTGCTTTAGTGACCACCTGTCTACAAAGACCACCTGTCAACAAGGATCATATTTTATGTTTTCCTTGAAAATGGTTTCTCATTGAAACATGTACTTAAGGAACCTGTCTACAAAGACCACCTGTCTACAAAGGCCACTCTCTGTGTTTCCCTTAGGCGGTCGCTATAGACAGGTTTGACTGTACAATTATTTGTAACAAGTGAATGAAATAATATGTAACGAGGCATTTAAAAAAAGATGTATGCATTCAATTTGATTACATAACGAAAAAGGTCTATTAGAAGCATGAGAGACACCTGTACCATCATGGTTCTTGCACCCCTTTCATTCTTTCTTGCCTGGATGCCTTTCTCACCTGCAACCCTTAACACTGCATCCATGTAACCCCATGTCACTCAGGGGTGGATCCAGGATTCTATTAAAGGGGTGGTCAGGGACAGGGGGGGGGGGGGTTCGATAAGCCCCCCTCCCAATTCATATGGGGATAGGGGGTGGGGGGTCAGACTCCCATTACCTCCTGGATCCACCCCTGTTTATTCATTACTTGGGTTTATCTGGAATCTCTTATTTCTGATAAATATTCTTTTTTTTTAATGATAATGTCACGTTTCATCTTTATTCAATTACTTTGGATTGTTTTTTCTTGCTCTGTCTAAAATCAAGGTTTATTGTAAATGTTTATTATAAATCAGTTAAATGAATGCCTCATGATTGTGTACGGAATGAAATTGGAATCAGCATGATCTGATTAACTTTGTTAGTTCAGTATAAAGTCAGCATTGAACAGAATACTCAGCTGAAAGAGAAGATAAGACTATTTATGTAAACCTGTACATACAGGCATGTATTGCAAATATCTCTGAAAGCTTATCTACTATTTTGGTAACAAACGGTTGTGACATTTATAGAAAGGTGATATTTCATTGACTCTAAGTTGATGCCTTAATACCAAAATTCCTAAAGCCTTGAACAGAGTCATAAGTTGACACTTTACCAAAATTCCTAAAGCCTTGAACAGAGTCATAAGTTGACACTTTACCATAATTTCTAAACCCTTGAGCAGAGCCTAGATCTGTCAGTTTCTGGCTGTGTCAGTAGAGAGCCTATTGTAGTCTCACGGTGCAGACACTGTTACGCACAAAGACTGACAAGGGATGTGCCCAGGCGCAGATCCACGGGCTCAATTCTTCCGGCCCGGCTATGGCAAGCCCTTTGTGTAAAAACTAGATAAACTCTGTTTTTCTCAGATAAACTCTGTTTTTCTCAGATAAACTCAGTTTATCAATAGATAAACACAGTATATCAGAAAAACTCAGTTTATCAGTTGATAAACTCAATTTATCAAGAAAAACTCAGTGTATCAATGATAAACTCAGTTTATCAAAAAAACTCAGTTTATCAGTTGATAAACTGAGTTTATCATTGATAAACACAGTTTTTCTGATAAACTGAGTTTATCTAGTTTTTACACAATGGGCTTGCCATAGCCGGGCCGGTAGAATTGGGGCCGTGGATCCGCGCCTGGATGTGCCTGCACACTAGGAAACCATGATATTGGCCTTTACAGACAGGTGGTCTTTTCATACAGGTGTTTGCTTCTGCTGCTATGAATGTACATGTACATGTAGCATATGTGTGGACATGAGTTGCATGCCTGCATATACAGGGATTGTTTCAATGAGTAATTTGGAGGTTTGATTAAATGATTGATTGATTGATTGATTGATTGATTGATTGATTGATTCACCAGTAACAGTAACAAAATGTGTACAAAATATGTCTTTACTACAGTAAAGAAATGTTACAGAATCAAAATATATGCTAAAGGATGGTATTGAATGGGACCACAAAGTAGCACATGTGTGAGCCAGCCTTGCTTCTCTACATTTAAATTCACAAAATACAAGACGTTCAATTTGAAATCACAAAACACATAATAAAACAATTACTACTCAGTTTACAGAGTTATAAACAGAGCAATATAATATATAATATATGATTTTTAAGTGAGTTGAAACTGCTTCTAGATGTTTTTAATTTAACATCACTTGGTATTCTATTATAAAATCAAGTCCTTAAGCAGTTCTCGTTCTTTTACCCCATAAATCATTGATAACAGCATCACAGCAGGGTGGGCGTCGTCTACGAGCACGATCAGAACCGGTGGCAACGGGTTTCACGTCGCTAAGTAAATCTCTTCGTGAGAATCGCACGTTCCTATTATATCATGAATGTCACTGTGTGTTGTGCATCTTGAATTTTATGGCCATTTAACAACTATACCCAGGAGTGTTTGATTGTTACCTCTCCCTCATACCCCCTAACGCCTCGATGTGTGTTTTCCATTATCTCTCTCTTCTCTTTTCTTCTCTCTATTCCTCAGAGATGTCACAAAATTTGCTATACCGTAAATCATTTCTATATTTCAACATTTCTTTGGTGAGATCAAAGTTTAATTTCCCCTCCTTCTGTGAGAATACTTTGTTTTTTCTTCATATCTTTGCCCAAATGGGCAATTTTTATTGTAATAACAAACAAAAATCATGTTTACATTTTATACAAACAATATGAAAACATTATTTGTATTCATCATTTATCTTCTGCAAGAATATTGCCTCTTTTTATTCTTTCCTCTTTTTATTTTTTCCTGTCCTGAAAACAAAAAAATTAATACTTCTTCCCCTTCAGAACAAATAAGATTTCCCCCTTTTCTTTGGACATAACAATTTCTTTTTTTACTCATCCCCCATCTCCCCATCGATGAAGTTACATCCTTCTAATATCTTCTTTTTTTTTAAATTGGATTTGCCAATGTTTTTTCCTGACTTGCTCATGACTTTGTGAATCCTCTACATATTGTTGTATCCACCTTGTGTTGAAGATGATCTTGTGTTCATTTTTACCCTTGTCCTTTCAACTATAATACCTCCCTCCCTCTCTTGTATGTTGTATCCCCCCTGCATTCTTAACCTCATCATACCTTTTGTCAAATTCCAAATTTCATGGATTTTTCAATGTGTGATTTTCACTGTATCTTTGAATGTGCATGAGAATGACATATTTGGTATATAAAAAGTCTAACATTGACAAATCTGTCAGTCAGAGAAGTGAATTCCACTCTCAATTACGCATCTTTATTAGTGTATAATAGTATGTAGATAGTGCTTCCATGTAAATCCCCATAAGATAAGAGCTAGAGAGTTCAAATCCTAACACAATCTACAGCTGCCTCTCTCGACCCAGGTGTACAAAATGGGAGCCGTTAGCATTTATTCCTTGTACTGGGCTACATGTATGCGGCGATAATCGCAACAGGAGCTAAAGCTAGAGTTACACTAATCTTTCTAAAATTCATAGAACTTTATTGTTGTTTCATCTTAGGTGCTATACTAATTGCTATTGCGATTGGTTTTATTTTTTATTTTATTATTGATACTATGAATAATATTTAATACTTATAGTATTTGTATTATTAGCATTATTGATATTATAATTATACATTATTATCATTGTTTGTAATTTTATTATAAGTATCATCATCATCAACAGTAATATTATGACTATCATTATTTCTATCAATGACATAACTTTTGTTGTTATTATTGTTTTTATGAATAATAATGATAATAACAGTAATAATAATAGTAGTAGCAGTGGTAGTAGTAGTAGTATTTTTTTTTAATTTGTATTTTTATGATTAATGTTATTAACATCATTATTATTATTGATAACATTGTTGTTATCATCATTAACATCATCCTAGCTCATTGGTGTTTTTTATTGCTATTATTGTTGTTTTTAATTAATTTTAATGATATTTTAAATTTGATATGTGCATATTTTCTAGCATCGAATCTCACCCAGGGCTCTACTTCCAAAGTGCCCATCACACAGTACCCCAACCCTGGGTACATGCGCGGATGTGATATACACGGTCTAGGTATACCTCAAACTCTGCTGGAATTCCACATATATCACACCCCCACTCAAAGGCTTGTACACTTAAACTTGCTCAAATTTAGTAATGCAGCCACGAAAGCTAACTTTGAACTGCACAAAGAAATATAAACAATATATTATGATCAAACCTGTGTGCACTATTTACATTTGTGTTCTAATCTGTGCTTAATAGACCTATTTACTTATTCCATGCAAAATACTTTTTGAACAAGTCTTTCTCTTGACAGCTGTATGCTAGCCAGAAGCTTGCCCGACATTGTTAGGTGTCTTTCATTATATTATCGTACCTCCTTAGTCTATGTTGCATTCATTCTCAATGCTGTGTTAAACATACTTGTAGTAATTGAAATAATTTGCTGAGTGCGCGATGACATAATCTTGTTTAATTTGTCTCACGATGTCCACTTGAGAAACTTTTTAACTTTGAATGTAATTGTGAGTTTGAAGTCATCATTTGCTGAAGCTAGACACGTATTACTGTACTTTTACAGAGTTACCATCTTTCTAGCTCTCAACAGAGGATATATTGTAGGGAGTCCAGCATGCATAGTTTAATTTTCTTCTCGATTTTGCAGTGGTTTTGTTTTCCCAAATACTGCACAACGCTAAATTACCAGATGCAAATATTTACATGTAGTAGCTATTTTTTATGTTCATTGAAATCCCGCACATTAGGCATTCTGCACATTTTGATTTTCATATTTTGCATCAAATGAACTACGTACTCCACATCACTGTAGAAGTTTTCCACAAAAATTTAAGTGCTTAAAAACAGATATAGCAATCACAAAAAATATGTCACATATTTATATCAGTGTTATACTCTATGCACTCATAATTATGTACCATTTTCAATGAATCTATTCCATAAGACAGATGATGACCTCACTATTTCAGACATACAGTAGTTTAATTTTGTATATGGTTTTGTAGATACATAAGTTATGAAGTATAACAAAACATACATTTAGTTAGATTACACTGCATGAAATTAAGATTTAAGGAATGACACTATTTTTCATAAAGATTGTTTTAAATATCAGGATTAAGAAAGTTAGAGAGAGAAACTTACAGTTATTCTGCAGATAATATACCTTTTTTCTATTGAGGTGATAGTTTCTGTGTACAACCCTTTTTTGTTTTGGTTTATATTGCGCAACTGTGAATGAAAGACAGTTAAGGTATCACCAGATAATTGTTGCCAGTTAGTTACACCAGCAGTCCCTGTAAGGAGAGCCCCAAATAGGCTAATCAAATTGGTTTGCTGCTCCTCAGATGATGTTGTATATCACTAATATATTAAAAACAAAAGTAACCAAACATCTCTAACACTTGTAACTTAAGAAATTTGTGGAACACACAAAGTGATAGTATGGAAGTTAACACTTATATTAGAGGTAGATGACGTTGCATGGCATAAAACAACTTGATCTAAAAGCAAGCCTTAGCCCAGCAGAATAACAAATTTAAGAATAAGTCAATTTATAAAAAGTTACTGTAATTGGGTTAAAGGTACCATTTAGTTTCAATTCTTCATGTCATTAATTAAGCCTGTCATTAACTAACTTATCAAAACATTGTATTCCCTTTGAGTTAGACTCCACTTTATGAGTGCATGAACCTCATCATAATTAGTCCAAAAGATTAAATATCACTTTCAAACTCTCAGGGAAATGCACTATATCGTTAGTATGTGAAGGAGTTGATAATGATATTAACAGGGTAATTAATTTTCCTTTTATTCTGAGTGTCATAATTAGGCCTGTCATTTATTATCATAACCCCTTTGAGCTCATAGACAGTCCACTTCAAATTCTGAATTAGACATCACTTTATGAAAACAATATTTATTGCACAGAGTTAAACCTCGAAAGGCCAATGGCCTATGCAACACCCCATTCCACATGTCATTTTCTTCTCTATCCCTTTTGAGGGGAGAATATAATGTACGGTAGTATAATGATATGATACTTACGGTAATTGCATCTTTATGCCAGTTTTTGTAATGTCTTGCTGATATTTGTCATATATAACGGAATGTGGAGAAGTAAAGTTTAAGTTCAAGTTCAAGATTGATTTACCGGTAATCGACCTTTCTAACTGTCTAGATCATGCCTTGCCTGGTATGTGAACAAGCAAATACATGCACATTAACAGGTTTTTTATTTTTATTGTGTTAAAGTCTCTACCTAACAATGGCATGGATTCTATGATGTGAGTTTTGATGTCTTGCAAAAATGTCAACAGTTTAGATTATAGCAACAGATTGCATGCAGTCCAAATGTTGTGATTGGTAGTGATGAACATTTTTTTTTTTTTTTTTTCTGCATGAAGTGCATGTTTGTTTGTTTCTCTGTTTGTTTGATTGAAACATTACCTTGCTTTTCATGTACAGATATGTATGTGTACATGTATTTCTATCTTTCTTTTACACATCGATATGCATGTGAGCAAAACAAACATTAATTTTCTCATTATCATTAGTGTGTACACAGGGGGATATACAAAAACATTCTGAGTAAAAATTGACAATGTGTAAAATTACACATTGTTTTAGTAAAATTTTCTTTTTGTAGGTTCTTGATTGAATGTGTTTGTATCTGTCTGATAAACCAAGAAACAAGAAACCAAGAATCTACATGTACATTACAGTTATTCAAATTCTTTGAATCGTTTTAGCCAAAGTTTGTTTGACTTTATGGCTCCTTTTCAAATTGAGTTTAGTTTATCGTTCAGGAATATTTCAAACATCAAACATACTATTCCACTTTGCACTCAAGATTAATTAACGTAATGAAAATCATTAAATTTCAGTTGGAGTACGTCTTTTTTGTTTACCGGTACTCTTATTGATAACAGTTTAAAGATAAACTTGAGTTCTGGTAAACAAAGAAAATTAATTCTCACAGAATCTAACGAAACTTACACTGAATGTTCAAGATTACAAATAAATGTCATGTGCCAAACAATTTTGGAAGAAAATGTATACTGGCTGAGTAATGAGCATAGAAAGATAAGGAAATCAGGGTAGTACTAGCCCCGACACCATGTGTGTTGTCCCATATACATCTATCTGTGTAAGTGATTGTTACTTTACCAAGACTCTGCCAAATTTATGATGATTTTGATGACTCTAGAACCTTGCATTACACACCATTACTAACATGCTATATGATCAACTTTTCTGATCCATTCCACACCTTTTCTTTCACAATGCAATCGCATCACCAGTACTCAAGTTTATCTTTAAAGATGCTTAGTGTTTTTCATATTCATGCAAATGTTCATCTGTCCTTTTTCGTACTTTAATTAGGCGGTATCATCTGTCAAGCATTCAAACTTTGCTTCATAATTTACCTTGTATTTATATCCATGTATCCGCTTATAATCCTCATTTTAGCATCCAAACATCACAAGGAAGCGGCCTTGCGGTCGGTGTCGGCCAATTCTTATGGTATTTCATCATTTCTTAGCTTGAATATTAGTTTGCCATGTGTTTTTGTGTTCTCCCGCTTGCCTCCTTGATGTTCTTTTACGTGTACATTACAGTGCTTTGATGTTTGTTGTAGACATTTTGCTGATTGACCTATTCCATTTGACTCTTTATATCTGTTCCTGTCTCCATATCTCTTTCTCTCTCTTTCCCTCTCTCCCTTTCTCTCTCTTTCCCTCTCTCCCTTTCTCTCTCTTTCCCTCTCTCCCTTTTTCTCTCTTTCCCTCTCTCCATTTCTCTCACTTGTTCTCTTGCTGTTTCTTTGTCTTTCTTAGTGTCTCTCATTTTGTCTCTTTCTCTGCCTCCTGTCTCTTCCTCTGTTTGTTTTTCTGCCTATTTCTCAGTTTTTCTCTCTGTCTGCCTACCTTTCTTTTTTATTCTGGCAGTCTGTCTGTTTGTTGCTCTTAGTTTGTCTCTCTGTTTCACCCCCCCCCCCTCTTTCTCTCTCTCTCACTCTCTCTCTCTCTCTCTCTCTCTCTTTGCCTCTCTCTTTGCCTCCACCTTTTCTCTATCTATGCATCATTTGAGTTATATTAACTTATTTTGTTCAGAATTTAGATCAGCACTTTACACCCCCCCCTCCCCCTCCTCCCCTAACCTATATGCTCATATCTGCATCATACTCACCCCTAATACGGAGTTAATGTACTTCCTCCAATATTTTCTATTCTTTTTTTTTCCTTCTAGATTTTGCTTTATGATTTGTTTGTGATTTTATTTCCTGGTTTGATCACTGTTGCCCGCACATGTAGCAGACGTTATCCTGTACTGTTATCATTAAAAAAAAATTACCTGAATAAATTTGTTGTGAAAAGATTTGAGTTGACTTTATTAGATGTTAGGGGAATTCTTAAAGCACGACATGTACATTCACATGTATGTTGTTTACATTATATCCTATTACTTGTGTTGCTCTAGGTTGTTTTGCACTTACGAAAAGATGAACATGTTGTAATTAATCTCATACTCCTGCACTTAAAGCCATTCTGTACAAGAAGCATTGCCTCGATATCCCCTCTAGCGCCCTCTCAGGTCAGCTGTAGCAGTATGGTCCCGTAACTTGCTGCTGCCCTAGCTAGCTGCCGTGTTGGTTCTCGCGTTGAGTTATGCACTGTTGGCAAGTTGACCATGAGATGGGGCTGTGCAATAAACAGCACTTAAGTGCAGAAATTTTATCCGTGCAGTATCGCTTTAAGCTGCTTAGTGTGCTCTTTCTGTGTAGTGACAATAAATTAATTCGTGAAATGTCTTGTCAGCTGAGTACTGAGTTATCCTTTGTACACCAAGTGCCCTTATTGTTCTCAGCCATAATCATCTCAAAGCTTTGATAAAGTCGGAAAATGAAAACTAAAGATGTCTTTCTTTGAGTTAGAATGTAATACTGTAAAAGTAGAAATATTCGCGGTACATTAATTTTCGCGGATTTTGCGCCGAGATTGCCAATCGCAAATTTTAGAACTCACGAAAATATAAGCATGATTTCTTATGCGTGTTTTGAGCTGGCTGAATTGCACTTTCCGTGCACCGAAAACAATGGAGCAAATTTAAGAACCCGTGAATATGTTTTAGGGTCCCAACACAACAAATCACACAAATCACAACAACAACAAATCACAGCTTTGAAACACTTTCACCTCACAGCATTTGTTTTGGTTTCCTTTTTCAAGGTAGAATTACTTTGAGCGAATAGAAGGTTTAACTATCGTATTCAAATATATGGATGTCTCTTTCCTGTGAACCTATAGTGACGAGTTATTCCATTAACCTGTTATTTTTTATTTATTTGACTTCAATACTTAGAATCCAGTCTACATACATTACTTAGACAACTCTCAGGTTGTCAAGAACTAGCTTTGTTAGTAGATTATGCACAAAATTGTGTCAATTGTGTTTGGTTAAAAAAAGTTTTGTTTATGTGTACAGCTGCCTTGTGATGTATTTGTGAATGTCTCTTTTTTATACCTATTTATTAATTTTATGTATACTTCATAAACAACAGTTTCTAGTAACAACTCAAAACCTTGCATGGGCTTTGCCAGACATAGCAACAACCATACCATTACACACAGTACTGTGAATTGAATAGTCAGAATTAAACCAGGGATTCTGAGAAACATGCATATATTGAAATACATTAAATAGATTGATTGTCATATATCATTCATTATGTTGTAAACCTTGCAAGGGGTTTGCCAGACATAGTAACAACCATACCATTACACACAGCACTGAATTGAATAGTCAGAATTAAACCAGGGGTTCTGAGAAACATACATAATATGAAATACATTACACAGGTTGATTCTCATATATCATTCATTATGTTGTAAACCTTGCAAGGGGCTTGCCAGACATAGCAACAGCCATACCATTATACACAGCACTGTGAATTTCATAGTCAAATTTAAACCAGGGGTTCTGAGAACCATCCATAAATTGAATACATTAAACAGGTTGATTCTCATGTATCATTCATCATGTAATGTTGTATGTCGCTATGTCATGTCATAGAACACTACCGTTATTAAAAATTATTCACTATACTAAAAAATTGACATTACTTGTTCTTATTATATATAGTTTCTCATATATATATTACATAATTTTACAATGTGTGACCAAAACAAATTGCCATGTATTCTTGTGAACTCGGATGAAAAAAAAGAATTGAATAATTTAATATCTTTCCCTCTTTTTCCTCAGGAATAGCACCCAGCACAGCTAGAGGGGGCAGAGGGGCTGATATATCTGTAAGTTGACCCTTTTTTATCAAAAAAATCTTTCTTCTTCTTTTTCTTGCCATTTGCATCTAATTCTACATTTCGTTTTTAACAAGGGTTGCAGAGTGCAATTGAATATTCAGTTGTTTCCAGACTGGTTTTCCTTTTTTATTTCGCTTTACTTCCTCATAAATCAAGATCATTCTTTTATTATTTCATTCTACTTTTGTTTTTGTTCTATACCAGGAGAGGCCAGAGAGGTCCCCAACAAGTCTAGGTAAGTTGACGATTATAGAAGTAGTAGAAGTAGTAATGTAGCAGGAGTATTGAATTTAAGATGGGAAAAATTCTGTCATAGTAGTTGAAGTACAGTAGCAGGGAGCATTTTAGTATTGGTAGGAGTAGAATTTGTGTGTTTTTGATGCTCAGAACTAGAGGAGAGTTCAACAAAAGATAGGAGGAAACTTGAAACTGTCCCGAAACAAGCTACTAGGTTAATCTTTGCCCTCTGATCGCTGTATCGTACTACTCCCTTGATTAAGGAACTCCACTGGTTAACTCTACAACGCATGTCTTCAAAATTCTAAATCATATGACACCTGAATTTTTATATTTAGTCAGATTTAATTGAAACTTTCATCAGTTTGCTTCTCTGATTATTCTGCTTTCTTTTAGAGTAGTTTTCTATTTGGGTTGGATTAAGCTCATCATATATTTCTGTATCACCTAACCAGGTTCTTCCAGACTAAATGCAATGAACGGCTCCTCAGAGAATTCAAATGGGCCTTCCAGTGATACGAATAGGGTAAGTGATTGACATACATACATACGTACATACAAAAGTAGTGGTGCTGTGGTCTAGTGGTTATGCGACAACACTCTGGATAACCTGATTTGAGGTTCAAGTCATAGTCCCAGCACTAACAACTGTTGGCAAGGCGTACAAAAGAATTCCTAAAATGCTTGCAACGCCATAGAGGCTTAGAGCAACTTGCTAAAAGCCAGGGTAATTTGTAGGCGCCTAGAGTACCTCTTGAGTTGGATTTGTGTGATGTAAATGTACATTATCTCTTGCAATTATTGTATGACTGTCTACAGTTTGGTTTTCATCAATGGTTTGGAACGGTCTGATATTCTAGGAAACACATTTAGAACAATGATGGTCCAGCAACTCACTGCTCTTAGTCGGACACTGCTTGTACCTTTAGCTGCTTTCAGAATTGTTTCATTGTCTTTATTTTTATTTATTATCTTGGACAGAATGAGAATGGATCCAAAGCAAGTCCAATGGAACCACCCCCTCCCAGGTCTCCCAGACCACATAAAGCAAGAGATCCGGTAGGTTTCTATCGTTGTCATTATTATCAATACAATCTTCATGATCATGGTCATTAACATCATTATCATCTTCTTCATCAGTAGTAGTAGCATTATCATTATCATCAACACTCATCATCATTTATCATCATCAATATCATCATCATCATCGACTGGTATCATTCTCATTCTCCTTCTCCTCCTCCTCCTCCTCCTCCTCCACTACCTTCTCCTGCTCCACCTTCTTCTCCACCTCCTCCTCCTTCCCCTCCTTTTCCTCCTGCTTCTTCTCCACCTTTTCTTTTTTCTCCACATTCTCCTCCTCCTTTTCCTACTTCTCCACCTTTTCTTCCACCTTATCCTTCTCCTCCTCCTTCTCCTCCTCCTTCTCCTCCTCCTTCTCTTCCTCATCTGCCTCCTCTCCCTGCTCTCCCTCTTCCTCTTCGTCTTTGTCTTCTTCCCCCTCATCATCATTATCATTCTCATCCTCTCACTTGTACAATCTCAAAATGATTTTTTTTCTTTTCATAACTTTTTTTCTGTTTTTGAACATCTGTGAAAATTGCTAAAATTTTGACCGTAGATGAAGTTGTCATACATATGTAATGCCATTATTTAATTTCCCCTACCCACATCCTCAGGCAAAGCGTGTCTCGTACACCGGGCGAAACCAGGGCAACTTCAGCCAGGATTATATTGACCGCCCCATCCCCCCGATCCCGCCCCGAAACACCTCGGCAGCCCCCAGCAACTACTCTCGCCTGCCCGGAGCCCGCCCCGTCTTCGCCCCCGACCAGAAGGGTAGGACCCCCTTGCCTGGCATGGTAACGGGCGTCGGTGGTGGAGTAGGAGCAGGTGTTGGAGGAGGAGGAGGAGGAGGAGCAAGGGGCGTAGATCTGGTGGAGAGCGACGCCATACCGGAGCATTCGGAGCACACGGCGCCCCCGACCCATGAGGGAATACCTGAGAGGATGGCCCCCCTTCCCCCGCGGAGGAGGTAAGATGAGGGCTAATGACAAGGGCAGGCTGGGGCAGGCTGGGGGAGGGGGGGGGGGGGGGTGAAGTGAGCTTACGATAGGGGCACTCAATGGGGGCGTTTAAATTAATCATTTTGAATAGTGAGGGGAATTTTAGTATTCTACAGGAGTACTAATTGGGGGCAGTGGGTCCTTCATAGGAGAGTGACAGCTAGTGTGTATGAGATAGTTGTGGATTAATGCTGGGGATCAAAATGGGTTCTTAAAAGGGAAACTGAAGAGGGCAATTTATTGTTTGTTTGGGTTTAATGAAGGGGATGGAGATGGCAGGGTAAAGTGGGCCATCACAAAGAAATCATGAAGAGCATACAAAATTGAAATTGAATTATTTATTTATTTTTTATTTTTTTACATTTTTTTTACATTTTTTTTTTATACATTTAAAAAAAAAAAAAAAAAAAAAAAAAATTATTATTATTATTATTTTTTTTTTTAATTTTTATTTATTTATTTATTTATTTTTTTTTTTAATTTTTATTATTTTTTTTTTTTTTTTTTTTTTTTTTTTTTTTGGGGGGGGGGGGGAAGCACGGGAAGGCTATCAATCAAAGCACTTAAAAGGCATTCAAGATGTAGAGGTGGGCTGAAAGGGGGAGGGGGGTGGTTGATAGAGGGAGGGGGAGGGATGCTCGAGCTATCATGGAGGTATATGAGAAAGATACAAAGTGATGGAGAAATGAGTGTTAACAGAAACAGTAGAACCACTGCACTCATCCAACAAAGATGGAATTTCATGTTCATTATCCCAGAAATCCATAACTATTCTAATACTTTAATTTCAACAAATTATGGCTGAAACCCTACCCCATCTAACATTAAAGATTAAAACCATTGCTTCTTACCCGTCACCTCGCCATAACCTCAACTTCTTTCTTAAAGTCAAATGCTAAAAATTGATTGGATCAGAAAAAGTGTTGTATTTGTAACTCTGAAGTGTGCATGAAATTTGCATTTCCTTTCCTTTTTTGGATTGACTTGGCCTTTCCTTGAACTGAAAGAAATACCAACTAACAAATTAACAATCTTTTACTAATTTTGAGGTTTCTTTCCCTTCTAGAGCCCCAAATTGAAAAAAGACTTGTGCAAGCTAGACCTCATTGTGTTATATTATTACTAACTTGAAAGGTTCTTAATCTATCCCCATTTACATATATGTAAAACTACATAAGAAAAATTTATATCAATTATTATCGGGGTGGTTGAGAATTTTTTTCATAAGACATTCATTTTAAAATAGTTCTTTGCATTATCATGTCATTTTATATAACATTTTAAAGTTTGCCAAATATCTATGGTTGAAATGTGCATTAACTTTTCTAAAATGGAACAGAATATATTTGGCAGTTTGCAATCATAACATTCATTATGCCTTATTTCAAAGGAAAAAATGAAAACATATTTTTAGGGTTTTTCTGTCATTATTTTGTTGGTACAAGCATAACAATTGTATTTATTTCATGATCGACTCTTTTATATATATATGAAAGTACATTTGCAACCTTTTACTTGATAATTTACCATCAGAGAATTCCTTGCTCATGTCATGACAGATATACCTGTATATGTTTATGATTGGATATCCATGGAAAGTTATTTATATCATCTTTCTATTTATCTATTAATTGACTTTGACATATTCTAAACAAATTCTTCTTCTATGAAACCATTTGCTCTTTTTGTCCCAAAATATATTTCCAAAGATTATAATTTGGTATTACATGCATTTGCCAATGTTCAGTTGACCAGAGAAATGATTTTCTCCCAAATTCCTGCTGTTTATCACATACAATTTTAGAGACAGTATTTCTATTATTTTTTCCAAGCTGGGTTTAAATGGTTCATTAGAGCCAAAATTAAAGAGTTTATGAAAACAAAATAGTAAAATGTTTGCCATTTTGTTTTTGGGTGTGTGGCACAGACATAATAAACTTTAAAAAATATCTATAGACAAACACAAAAAAAGTATTTTTTTTCTCCTTTCTTTTCTTTTCTTTTAGCTTGTTGAATACTTGAAAGTACATGTATGATAACTTAAGATGGGAGAATTTAGAATTGAATCATAAACATATACGTTAAATAAATCTATTACCTTTTTCAGAGTTGGAACAACTGAATTTCAAACACTATCATGAAGACGGACCCTGTACATTCACATTTTCAATTCCACTGCACTTTTAGTTATCTTTCGTTACAAGAGTTAAACGGCTAGATCGGACACACATTTTTTTAAGGAACTATTCATTTTTAGAGTTGCTCTTTATAAAAGTATCAACAATTTTATTTTCCCTCTCCTAGTTGTACATGTTTAGGTCTTAATATGTGAAATTGTTTGGTTAATTAAGAAAAAAAAAATATTTGAAATTGCACAAAGCATAACTGTTGTAAGGATATGAATCAATGTCTGTTACTCCTTCGCAATCTCTCTCTTTATTTAGGGTCAAAATTGACGGCCGGCATTAAAGAGATTTTACAGTGTCCCCCAAAGTTGCCAATTTGCAAACCCAGGTAAACCACTTGAAAGAAATACATGCATCCTGGCCTAGTATCAAATTGGCAATGCAAAGATGAATGGAGCACAGGTTGTTGTTATGTATTTATAGTGCACTATCTTCAGCTTTCTTGTGTTTTACTTTGTTGAGCTCATTTAGATCTCTGCAGATTAAAATTCCACCAAGTTAAATGAACATACATGTACAAAAAAGTAGATGCTTAAATTGTTTTTCTTTTTTCTTGTTGCATTCTGTAAATTTGTGTGTTCTTTGTATTTTTTAGATGATTATGCCACATTACACTGTTTTAGCCAGCTTTGATATAATAATTAAATACCCATAGCAAATATATTCTTGACTAGATACATATATTATTTAGGATTTATCTAGATAAGGTATTGCATTACTGCTATGCACCTGAATACAGACCCCTCCCAATTTCTTAAAATTGTCTTTGGGTTAATAAATAATCCAAAAACTCTTGATTTTATACAGTCTTTCTGAAAATATGGTCCACAAGGTATAACAGCAACTTAAAGCCCATCTGCAATAGTTTGGCCAGGAGGTATTAGACCTCCCTGCAAGGTCACTGACAGGTGGTTATCTCATCAAATCAGCTCTCAATTAACATAAGAAAAAGGGGATCATGGGGGACCAATGGTCACTGATTAGACAAAATTTGATATATAGAGGATGCATTTAGCTTTAAGTAGTGCAGTGGGGCGTTAAAGATTGTGAAAATATAGATTTTCCCGGTAAATTACAGATTTCCTTTTATTTTATTTTTCTTGATTTTTTTCTTCAGGGAGGGTGGAGGGGGGGGGGGGGTCAAACTTCCATTACATTTAACACATTCTTACTGAAATATATGCAGTGCTAACCGTACATATTACTAACGTGCATTCTCGTAACGTGCAGCTTGCCTTATCATCTGATCTTGCTCCTGTTCATGCATGTAAAATGCTTATAATGTTTCATTTATATTTTTACCATGCATTAACTGGTATTCATAACTTTTGTTATGCTACATATAACATTGAAAACGGCTCAAGTGACCACCTGTATAGATAAATCACCTATCTATAAAGACCTTGTTTCTCTTCAAAAATATTTTGTCATTGAAACCTATGGTATGCTAAAATAACCTATTCATAAAGACCACCTGCCTATATTTTATTTAAAAAATTCTTGTCTTTGTATACAGGTTTCACTTTAAATTGTTCATGGAAGCGAGTTAGATTGATGAGTTTTCTCTCAAGTTCGACAGGAACATGTTTCTTTGAAATAGTTTGATTTCATTTATCTAGATCACTTTAATACATGTATAGATTTGACAGTGAAAATATTCAGCAGCGTGCAGTAGAAATATCTTAGGTAATGTGTGGATGAACCGTAATAGTCTCTCAGTTTTAAACACTGAAGGTGTAAAATAGATTGAATCAAATGATATTTGTCATGAGGTAACAAACAGAATTACTGTGACATGGACTCCATTTTTAAAGAAAATAAGAATATAAACGCAAACTTTGATGAAATAAATGTGTGTCTATACTCAAAAATATCAAATACGGTAAAGCATTTTTTTTTAAATTACTTAAAAATGCCATGGCAAATAAACTTCTTGAAAAATGTATGCTATCATTATTGATGATATATTATTTTTTTCAGCAAAGAAATTACTATAAGAAATGTGACAAAATCATCAAACTACAGAAGGTATAAATCGAGCTTGTGGCTCATTTTAAATTCTTTTAATGCCCATTTTTCTTGCTTTTTGAAGAGTGGTGTGGATTATTTGGAAGTTGCATTTTGAGCATGAATTTACTTTGCATTTTAATCGTTTGTCTGCTGAAAATCATGATTGTGAAATCCTTTGATAGCGTTTGTATCATGTGAAGTTTGTTGTAGGTTTAAAAAAAACATTTTGTTGTCTGTTTTAATATCAAATATGTTATTAAGAAGAAATATTCATGTAAATCAACTAAAACATTTCTTCAATATAATGTTTAGTAACTTAAAACTGTAGATAAAGAGTTAAAGACCCTATGACTATTAAACTAGTTTACATATAACAGTATCTATAATCCTTTTGGTTTTATTAGTCAATATATGTTTAAGATCATTTTGTGTCATGTGTGATAAGTCACAAAATAAGCTTTATATTATTTTTAGTAAAATGAAATGCTGCTTCACATTTTATTTAAAACAAATATTGCATTATTGTTTATCACCCACCCTACATTCTGTCTGCTTTAATAGAGCATGCAGGATGTTAATTCATGTCGTTAATTACAAAGTTAGCGCCCTTCTGTCTCTTAACCTATACATAACAAGTGTAATGTACATCTTCATCCCATTTGATGGGTCACCCGTTGCCATAGCAACCGTGAAAATTCAGTATTAAAGGTGAAAGACCGAAAGCATATAAATTTTATGAGATCATAAAAGAAAAAAATGTTTTTATGTTGATTGAGAAACAAAAGTAAAAGAGAGGAATTTAAAGCAGAGACGATAGTAATATGTGGTACTTAGATTTAACTTAATCTTCTAATAGGGAAAAAATATAAATATTTGTTTTGCTCGGGAAATTATGACATGTTGTGTATTACCAATAGCTTGCAACCAGCCACTTTATTTTTGTTTCTATGGAAACATGTGACACATGGCAAATTCTTCCTCTAAGCAACATGTATGATTTTGAATAATACATGTAAAGAGAGAGAGGAATTAAAAACAGACGATAGTTATATATGTGGTATATATTTAGATTAAACTTAATTTTCAAATAATGAAAAATATAAAGATTGTTTTTGCTTTGGAAATTATGACAAATTATGTATTTATTACCAATAGCTTGCAACCAGCCATTTTATTTTTGTTTCTATGGCAACATGTAACACATGGCAAATTCTTGCTCTATTAAAGCTACATGTATGATTTTGACAAAACCATGGTATAACCATTAATTAACCTTCCCCTAATCATGTTCATTGCTTCAAGCATCTCCCGTTCACAATCACCCCTACGCCACAGCCTGCGACCAATTTTGCTGGGACACAAGTTTGTAACCTCCATGCGTGCCGGCCGATCATCCACATTCTCCTCCTCCACTGACAGGTTAGGATATTTTGCACCCCTCCCTTTCCTCATCCCCATCTTCCGTTTGCCCCGCCCTTTCCTCATCCCTATTTTCTGTTTGCCCAACCATTTCCTCATCCCCATCTTCCGTTTGCCCCGCCCTTTCCTCATCCCTATCTTCTGTTTGCCCAACCATTTCCTCATCCCCATCTTCCGTTTGCCCCACCCTTTCCTCATCCCCATCTCCTGTTTGCCCCGCCCTTTCCTCATCCCCATCTCCTGTTTGCCCCTCCCTTTCCTCATCCCCATCTCCTGTTTGCCCGACCCTTTCCTCATCCCCATCTCCTGTTTGCCCCTCCCTTTCCTCATCCCCATCTCCTGTTTGCCCGACCCTTTCCTCATCCTCCTCTCCTGTTTGCCCCTCCCTTTCCTCATCCCCATCTCCCGTTTGCCCCGCCCTTTCCTCATCCCCCTCTCCTGTTTGCCCCGCCCTTTCCTCATCCCCATCTCCCGTTTGCCCCTCCCTTTCCTCATCCCTATCTTCTGTTTGCCCAACCATTTCCTCATCCCCATCTCCCGTTTGCCCCTCCCTTTCCTCATCCTCCTCTCCTGTTTGCCCGACCCTTTCCTCATTCCCATCTCCCATTTCCCCGCCCATCTTCTGTTTGCCCTGCCCTATCTGCGGAAGGATGCATCGCCATAGACGATTCCTTTGCATGGATGGTTTGTTTTTATTTCCAGTTGTGATACCACTGTGAAAACCAATCACAGGTTAAGATATATGTTGCACCCCTCACCTCATCCTCATCTCCTGTTATTGTTTCCGCCGCCCCCCCCCCTTTCCCGGCCCTTCCCTCGGCAGGGTCGGTCTACTTTCATGAACAATCCTTTTGCATGAAATATTTGTTTTCAGTTGAAGTTCTGATACCGATTAGGATATTAAATACCCCTACCCCTTGTCCTCTTACCCTTTACTCCACCCCCTTCCTACTTTATCAGGATTCTTCTGGATAACCAACACCAACAATCTTGCATGAGCTGATTCCCCTATGCTTTTGACATCAGTTCTTTTATGTCTCCTGTCACCTACCACCTGTAGGTTAAGATATTTTGCACCCCTACCCCTGTCATGTAACCCTTTACTCCCCCTCTGACATCACCAGGATCCCTCTGGATACCCTGTACCAATCCTCTTGCATGAGTTGATACCCCTTTGCTTTTGGCTTCAGTTATTCATTGTCTTCTACCACCCTACATTGTTAGTTTAAAACATTTTGTACGGTCTCAGTCCTCCTGCATGAGCTGCTTACTCTTATTAAGTTTGCTTTTGGCTCCAGGCGTATTATGTTCTGACTTGTACCCCATCTAATTCCTCTCTCTCAAATAATTTGTATCCCAAAGTTCTCCAGAACCCGTTTGGATGCTCATGCCTTGCATGAATGGACTTTTGTTGCATCCCATTGAAGTCCAATTCGAGTACTACTCGCACTCTAAAAACTACAATGTTAATTCACCATTTAAAGGGCTAAGGATCGAGTAATCAATTTTTTTCAATTGACAAAGTAAGCATGCTAGATTCAACCTATATTGTGTTAGATCCAGCATGTTAAAAGTGAAAGTGTTTATCTACCATTTTGAAAAAGTGTTCACTCCTTTAAAATGGTGATTTTTAAATTTCAGAGTGTAGCTTCAGCTGTTATGATCCTTCATGTACATGTGTGTTGTCATGGTCTAATCTATGATGTATCCTGCTTTTTTTCCTTCCAACTAGCAGACTAATCCGACCTCTTTTCAATTATAATCAGCAATTTGTATTCATGATGCAAAATGAAATGTCGTGCCAAATATATATTATTTGTCAAGCTAATGCTTATGCCAGTTTAATCATTTGCTTAAAGCATTTCAAGAGCATTTTTTAATGACCTAACTCATACTTAATCATACTGCAATTGTACAATGAATAACTTTGGGCGAAAAAAAAAAACTGATGTACTTGACTTTTGTATGTTTTGTATGTTTTGTATATTTTGATGATTTACATAAAGAGTTCTAAGGATGTCAGGCTTATCACATGCGGCAAAGTACAATATACATTTACAATAAACATGTACATTAAGGATGACTTGATACAGTACATAAGGAAGGGGCAACAGAGACCCCTTATGCATACCGGTATGCCATTCAGGCAAACTTCTGTATCATCGTATAGAACCACTGTCTCTGTGTCCTTCAGATGACAAAGAAATTTTGCCTGTTTTTGGCCTTGGCATACATGTAGATGAGCAGAGAGTAGATATTCAAAAATGACCGCTCCTAGCCTCTCTCACTTTTTTGGTTGGCACCTGAATGATTTCATCATTCCCCCAGCTTTTTAGGGCTCCTTTTAGCAGGAGATGGACACCTAGAAACGCCCTGCTTTATTAAAAGCAGAAACTGCTTCACCCTTTTAAATCTCACTTTCGCATACAACCTAATGCTCTTCTGGCTCCAAACAGACGATAGGCTGTACAATCCATAATCCTTCAATTCATTCCTTGTGTCTTTCACCCTGCAGTAGCAACGAGCCCGCCCGTAGCACCCTCGTCGAGCCCCTCCGCCGACAAAGCGAGCCTGCGGTCCCCTCCGGCAACGACGGAGGGGGCGAACCCACCTCCCCATCCAGCGAGCGAGACGCCTCCGGAAAACCCAAGAGACCCGTGCCCAGACCTCGGGCCCCTCGACCAAGATAGTCAAGAAACCCTGCCTGCTCTTTCCATCATCTCCCTTTCAATGTCGTGCCACTTGATGAATGGTTACTGGAGTTTGCTGCACCTAATGCAATACGACATAAGTCTTCCAATCTCCCAGAGTTATCTTTTATATTTTCCCAAATATGCTACAGTATATACAAGTACATGTATCTTGTTGAATATATATCTTACTAAAAACTGATCGTTACTGGAGCTTTGCTGCCCCATATGCCCAGTATATTGTCTTCCAATCCTATTACGCTATTTTTATACTTGGCCAATATAATACATGTTTGTATATTGTAAACTTATAGATACTGGAATCTTCTTATGCCAAATGCCATGTGATACAACCAGTGTAAAGTCTTCCAATCGCACAGAGTCATAGTCCGTTTGAAAATATTTTGCGAAATACATGTACGGTCAAGCCTGTCTATTAAGGTCACCCAAGGGAAACAGGAAGACTGGCCACTGTAGACAGGTGGCCTAAATAGAGAGGTGACCACTTAGACAGGCTCGACTGTATACATGTACATGGATCAATTGTTGATAAAGATTTTTGTTTAAAGATCATTCATAAAATGAACAAATCATGCTACTCTGCATTAAAAAACATGGTTACTGTTGTGATTAGGTCAAGAAATCATACATGGCACGTTGATTTAGTTTGTTAATGTTTTTTCTTTTTCTTTAAGTAATTCTTGCCCTTTTTGTGCCATACAATGATTGGATATAATGAATGTTGCTTTGTTAAATGCTGTTTGTGTATGGTCTAAAAAAAAACAGTTCATGTATTAAAATTTCATGCCCTAAACAGGAATCATATATCTGATTGTAGTAGCATCTTCTGGTGATGAATTCATTTTTTTTTGTAAACATGGGGATGCAACTTTAATAGCCTCTTACCAATTTACAATGGTAAACTTTCTTTTGGTTGAAGATATCATGAAAGGATAAAATAATTTGTTCAATTGCTCATCTTTATTTGTTTTTAAAAGAGAAAAAAATTAATTACATTTATAAGCTTACACTTGTAATTTATATCCTTGTATTTGATGAAGTTAACGATTTGAGACAGCTCTTACCAGAAAGTGTAGTAGACCATATATGTTGTTGCCTTGATTTGAATTTGTGTAATAGGATTCTAGTCATTTGAATGTAAATAATGATTTTACTTTATTATTACTAATGTTGAGAAAATGGTATTGAAGAAGAACATGGACTCATGTTTCTATCATCTTTCATGTTCAGATCTAAAGAAGTATATTAGGCAACCTGTTTCATTGATCATAGGCAAAAGACAGTCATACAAATGACAGAGGGGTGAGAGAGAGATTTTGCTGCAAACACATTGTTATTTAGTCCATATTTTTCTCAAACTCATATTCCATTTGTTAGTTTTGTGTATTGTGTTTCAATAAATTTGAAATATGTTATGGGCACAAATATTCTAATCAGTTCATATACGTATTGATGTTTTTGTAAATTTATATTTATCCCCTAATTTTTGTTTTGCCAAAGAGTACAAATCTCTGGTAACTCCTTAGTTTAGCTGTCAAGTAAGAAGTACATAAAGAATAAAGAAGTATATTTTCTCATTGAGTGTTTGAATAGTAAGTTGGAAGTAATAACAATAATTTTGAACAGTGACAATTACATGTATGTGAAATCTTGAAGATGAATAGATTTATTCTGTTTTTATTCAAACTCATAGACCTTCCATGACAAAGCCTCAATTTTTATATTGAAAATATCAAATTGTTTTTTAACACAATGAAAGGTAACATCAGCAGCTATAGTGTACATACATGTGATATTTAAACAATATTCATGAATTGGCATGATTTTGTCGCATTTTGACAATTTTCAAATTTGATTACATTTAAGGGTATCTTCAAAACTATTAAAGAGAGAAGAAAAAAAAATCTCTTACCTTTTTTTTTAAATATACGTGTAGAACTATTCATGTAGAGTGCAATGAAAAATTGTGAAAAGAAATTCTTTCAAAAAAGATACCTCAGGATATTTTGTTTTAAATTTCCTTACATAGAAATCTCGTAATAAAATAAGATGTTTTGTACTTAATAGTGTAGCCTTTCATTTCTGAATTGTTATTGATTGCACAAATTTTGTGTTGAAATTCTTAGTTTAGAAGAATTAAGAAAAAAACATTTGTTCTTTGATCTATTAAGATTGTATAAAAACATAAAACTGGACTGTCTGTAAAGAATTTGTTTCAACTGAGCTGGTAAAAAAATGTTCATGACCATCTACTTAAAAATGGAGGTACCAAAGTTTTCACTGTGTATAAAATTATTGTGAAGTTAGTATTTCCAGTTCACAGTCATTCTTAACTTGCATGACATTCCTTCATTGTTTGCGAATATGTTATAGCTCGCTAAATTTCAAATGGATTCCTTCAGAGTGGAAGATTGTATCATTCGTCCTGTATAGGCATTGAGCACAAAGATTGAAGTATTTCTACCTTAAAATTGTATTTTTTTTTTAATTCCTTGTCGTGAATGACAAATTATTGTGTTTGAGATGAAGATTCCAAAATCATTAGAATTAAATATAGAAAATATAAATTTGAATCTACATGTAAAACGTATTAATTACACTTTTTAAAAAGAAGAAATTGTAAATATTATGGAGAAAGCAACACTATTTCCTTTCAAAAACCCCGATTGTTTGAGAACAGCGCAGGTTTTGATTTTGATAAGAAACGAGAATATTATAATAATGTAATGCTTTGACTTGTAAAATATGTAATTTTACAAAGAATTTCATTATTTGTTGTTATTTTATTCCTCCCCCCCCCCCCTACTCAGAATAATGCCTTGCCCGAATGACTGTGTAATGAAAGTATAAATAATTGTTTTAATAATTGTACATTTTATTTTTCGGAAAAACAAATTTGTTTGACGGTATTAAAGATTCTGATGATATTCAGCCATTGATGTACATTTCCAATAGATATTCTATGAATAGTTTATATTGCACATAGTTTACATGTAGATGCAGCATTTAAAGGCAGTGATTTCAAGGGAGAATTCAAACCATGATTTGTTTGATAATGTATAATACATTTATATTCTTTACTTAAAGGACTTGCAGCTTTAGAAGAGAAGGGGGAAAAAAACCTTCCACTTTTTATGGGCTTATATAACAACAAAGATATATATTTATTGTCATGTCTTGAATTTTAAGTAGATAGGTACAATGTACAGCAACTTATTGTTTTAATATGTGCTATAAGTAATTTACTTTTTACAGTTGTAAAGTCAAACATTCTTTAACAAATGTTCAAACAATTTAAATACTTTTCATAACCAGCTCAAATTGTAAAATAGTGTTGTTAAGAGTTGCTAATGTGACAAACAAGTCCAATGAATTGTTTGAGTCGCTGATATGAGATGAAGAAATCTTGTTGACCAAATATTTTGATGTTATAGGTTACGTGCATTTTGTTTTTTGCAATTCAACAATTATGATATGGTTTGGTGTATAGTGTATGATTTGAGAGTAAATCTACTTTTTTACATGGAGTTAGTGTCGAGACTTAAAAAATAAAAAATCATGTTTTGAAATGTGGCGTTTTATTTCACTACTTCATTTAAATCATTTTATAATTATAGTCATCTGTACCATAGTTTTTATTTTTCTAAATTTATACCCTTCTTGTTAACAACTAGTCTTTGACTTTTAAATATAATAATTTGTATGGCAGATACACTTACGTTACAATAAAAATACATGTGTTGAAAACCTGAAATGTTTTGTGCTGTAAGAACTACTATTGGCCAAAATTTGTGACCAAGTAAGCATATTGATGTAGTAGTTTTTCAGGTATCATTTAAAACATAGACTTTAGATCGAGATGTGTATAAAAGCCGATGCATAAAAGCTAAATATTGAATTATGATTTTTTTATCTGTCCCATTACGCATTTTTTATGTGTGTATGCTGTTTTGTTTTACCATGTACAAGTATGTGTTTAACTGTTCAATAGTTGTAACAAGACACACAATAGTCTTTCAATTAAATGTCAAAATGTTGTTAGCAGTAAGAAGAAATCATGAACAGAATAATAATTTTCAAATAGTCAAGAGTTATGTACAGTAGTTATTTACATGGAAACATCATGGAAATTGTGTACTTTGCCTGTAAATATATTGTGCAGGGTTGGAAAAATATCTCTATTGTTGATGACTTTCAGAACACAGAAATAAATAAATATGAAATGCTTGATATGAAAACGGTGTTTGTGTTGGACTCTTCCTCCCTCTCAATCCACCCCCCTCCCCCCTCCCCCCCCCCCCCCTCCCCCCCCCCCCTTCCCTTCTCTCCTCTCCTCTCATATTCACCATCTACTACATTTGTAGCTACCTACCATTCTCCCTCCCTTTTCTCCTCTCTCCTCTCTCCCATTTCTCATCTCACACACTCCTGCTTCCCTTTTCTTCTCTCCCTCTCTTTCTCCTCCTCTGCTCTCTCTCCTCCTCCTATCTCTCTCTCCTCCTATCTCTCTTTCCTCCTCTCTCTCTTTCTCTCATCCTCTCTCTCTCTCCTCCTCCTCTCTCTCTCTTTCCTCCTCTCTCTCTCTCTCTCCTCCTTTCTTCCTCTCTCTCTCTCTCTCCTTCTCTCTCTCTCTCTCCTCCTCTCTCTCCTCTCTCTCTCCTCTCTCTCTCTCCTCCTCTCTCTCTCTCCTCCTCTCTCTCCTCTCTCTCCTCCTCTCTCTCCTCCTCTCTCTCTCTCTCCACCCCCTCCCTTTCCTCCATCCTCAGCCTTCGTTGAACTTGATTCCATTGGGAACTATGAAAACCCCTAGATCAGAGATGAAGTCGGTTCAGTCAGTCATTGTCTCGTGTGTTCATCTAAACAGTTCATATTTGCTCTTTAATATCCAGATTTACACTATTCAATATAATTTTGTACATACATCTGATATACACATTTCATGACCTCTACCCTAAACATTACATAAAACAACAAAATCAGATAAGGAAAAAGGGGGAAGGAGGCAAAATGGCGATACCTACATGTACAAGGCCTAATTGGCACTCAAATTAAGTCAAAGAGGGAGCAATTACTACTGGCAGATCATATATATGAGATATAGTTAGGGCGAGAGGTTTTCATTAAGCATGACCCTGTAAAAATAAGAGTAAAATAAGTTGTTTCATACGAATGGCAGATGCACCAACTTCCTTATCCTTCAAGGCAAAATGGGTGCAATATCTTCACTGGAGCACAGGATTGGGTACAGGTTAAAAACGTGGCCCCCATAACAATCTTGCTAGTGAGAACCAATATCTGTCTTGACAAACATATCATACCATATATATATCATAATATATGGCAAACTCCTTAACAGACTTGAAAGATAAAATGCCCACAGTACATTGTGCAATGTTGAGCATTTCGATGCAATTTAAACTGGACAATATTTTTTCTAGAGGATCAAAGCTGTTCTCCTGGTATAAAGATATGTGTTCATACAGTGGTAGTTCACTAACATACATGTTTGGTAAAATGATACCAATTTTTCAAGGATTTCATACTATTAAGTATTAAACATGGAAAAATATCTTAAAGTCATCTAAATTAATCATTGATTAACAATAGCATGCAATAGAGTCGCACAATTTCTGTACTCCCCGTGCAAAATCATAGTCACACACATTTACATAAAACACATATTTCTTACTATAAAACAATTCTTTCAAGTTAGTTTAAGGTTTTAAAAATAGCTATGTATATACGCTATGTGTACCAACACATTACAGAGTCTTATTCAATACATGTACAGGCAGCTATATTTTTTTTTAAACCTTATTTCCAGTACATGTTGCAAAGGATAATATAAATCATTGTATGTTAATATATTTTGTAAATGGCATCCCCTCCAATTCATAAAACAAATTCTGCTTTGGAACATGTAATTAGAAATCTAAAAACAGTCAAATATCTAAATACTTTTCTCTTATCCTACAATCCACATGCCTTTGGAATGCCTGAATTGTAAAACAAATTGATGCTATCCATGGGTGCAGTGTATGAACCAATATAAATACATGTGCACGTACGATGTACCGTAGTACGCGACAATAAACAAAAACATTTTTATCACAAAACCCTACAAACATATTTCTGGATGTATGCACATTTACATCTCATATTGAAAAGTATTTGTGAATATTAAAACCCTTCTCTACAAGCAGTACTAAACGTATATGTAAGTTTATTCTTTATTACATATGGTAAATGTATTTTAATTCGCTTCCACTAAATATTTAAATCGCATCAACATATATTTCCATACAGTACTTGTTAAAACACCCCAGCTATGCAAATTCAATACCCATAAAGTCAGATTTACTTATACATTTTCTTTTCCTTTTTGTATGCATGGCAAGTTCACATATCCATAGTTTATAAAGTATGTGGTTTTTAATTTTCAATATATTGTATTTCAATGCCTGTTTAGTATGTGGCATATAGGATATGCATGTATTAAAATACCCAGTATTCCATGTACTTTTATGAAATAACACTATGAAATTGGAAAAAATGAGGGTAAATATATGTAATAGAAAAAGTACTTACAGTACATACTCAAGAAAATAATTTCTTTATCTTTATATCTTATATCTTTATATCCTAATCTTGCAAACTTGGCATAAATATTCCTCTAAAGTAGTGAAATTCCACATTGCTATTTTTTGTACAATAAATATTACTTTTTAGCAAGCATTTCTGAGAAAATAACACTAGGGCAGTAAAGAAAAAGAGTATGATATCTATCTACAAATTTGGCTCAGTATATCTAAAACGGGAGATTTTATCATAGCTCTTTCTTCAAGCAGATTTTCTAATCTGAACTGTCCATCTAGAAAGCAAACGTTAGCACACGCAGTCCTAACTTACACAAATTCCTTGCATTCAATCATTTATACATTGTCATTCAATAAGTGCCTTCTTTTAAAAGTGCTGCTAAACAAAATTTGTCAAATGTTTACTTTCCACACATTGCACAAAATAAATAACTCACATTAATTTAGCCAACATTGAATGCTAAAGTAAGACAGTACATTCAAGCATAACATTTTCATTTACATGTACATATGATGTTCATTCCTCTTTCGGGAAAGGCATGAAGTATTCTGAATGTAGCAAGATCGTTAATTTTTCAATTGAATCACAACATGACGTAGAGTATTGCATTGTCATAATGATCTAGGGTGGATGAAATAAATTAAAATCATTTTTTGTCAGTCAAGGAATTCATGTTATGAAAATCGATGCAACTACATTCAATTGACAAGCAAGGTCTTATACTAGCCCGTAAGTATCATTTTTAATATCAGTTTAGAAATCATAAAGCTACACTAGTAAACTAATTTTGCAAAGTGTATTGCAATCTTAATCATGTCTTTAATATAATTGGCACGCACCATTAACTTAAGAATAAACTATATAAATTCATAGGTAAACAGAATTTGGATACAATACTACAGAGAAAAAAAGATTAATTCAATGTACCGGTAAGCAGTACTTTATTTTGCCAAATGGCTTTAAGATCAAATCTTTGGGGTTTATACATATTTTAATGCCTTTCATCCACATCAAAATCAGATATCACGGCAACTTTTCACAGTGGAATTGCAATATATGATACAGTATACATGTACAATGGTAGTCTATGCACAGTTTACTCAACTATTCAAAAATATCTTTCATCTGTCATGTACATTATTTAAGTCTCTCTACATTACACTCGCATAACCCTAGTTTGTACAATATACATGTATCTAGAACATAGATTTCCAACTGTTCATGAAAGATTTACATTTACCAAGAGGGATACAGTTAATGTGGAGTTAGAATACATAGGTTCCAGGAAAATCTTGTCACTCGATCCTATTATTTGAGCACTTTTATATCAGTGTGTTGAAATTCACAAGCCTTCAAGTTGGAAGGAGAAAGGAGGTATAGTATAAGGCCGAATCTTAATCCCACGCAGACAATGAGGCCGAAACTGAATTCCTATGTAGCAGTATGAGGCCGAGAGCTGAATCCTATGTATCCTACATGAGGCTGAATTGACCTCCACATGCGGTCCAATGTTAGGCATGTTACAAGCAGTACAATGTTCGACTTTTTACAAAATGTCCTCATCTAGAATCAGTCACACCTGATGGAAATATTAGTTTCAAGTTCTAGGGATACATGAAATTGAGAAAGTATTTTTTTGGGGGGTAGCAAGCACTCTCTCAACGTACAGGGCTTGCTATTAACTGGTGCCCAGAATGCATGGGCACCTAAAATTTAGGTCCCGTCTTTGAAAGAATTTCAAAACTGAGTCCCGTAATATGCACCTCCCTTTTGTTTAAATACATGCTGCCTCACTAAACGCTGGTATCTTTAGGAGCTCCCTGTTGTTGCGGTCTGGGACTGTGACACTGCTATGAATGGCACCGGTGACCCCTGAAGCACGCTGGGGTCCAGCAATATGGGGATGGTCCCTCCGATCTCTTTCCCTGTCCCCGGGGGCATGAGGTGGGGGAGGGGCGGCTGAAGGATGATGTTGGATTGCACGGTGTCTGGGGCAGCGGGCATGGTCTGTGGTGCTGGTGGTGGTGGTGGAGAGGGACTGGAGGCCGGTGGTGGAGGCGTGGCATCGGTAGACTGGGTGGCTGGGGAGGGGGAGGGGGTTTCAGAACGGGGAGATGGTTGCTGGGCAGTAGCTGGCATATCTGCATCTGAAATGTGAAGAGCAAAGACAAGGAATATCAAACCAGGACACTGAAACCTACATGTAGTCTGCATTCGGACTATGGGTTAACAGAAAATCAGATGCAATACTTGAAATGGCATTCAACGGTCAATGCCAGCACATGCAGAATAATACTAAATAAATCTAACCCTACCTTACTATGGGAACCAACATTGTTATCATTTATTTTGCAAATCAACATTTAAAAAAAAATTGAATATAATTATACAACATATGAATTTGAGATTGGTTTCCTATGTGTATTGACTCGTTTCCAGGAATATGGCAAGCAAACTAATACATCAAAACCATTAATTGTTGGCTGAGAGCCAGAAGGGTGTTTATTCTATGTCAAGTTATCTGACTGCCCTAAAGGCTGTTAGCTGTTGACATGTCGGTTGCCGTATTTTTTAACTTCAATATACTACGGGGAGTAGGATTCATTTGATTGCGTCCATAGCTAGTGGATACAACAACATCAACAGAAATTGTGCATGTTCAGAGGTCTTAAAGCCTGTCTGCACTAGTTTGGCCAGGGGAGATTAGACCTCCCTGCAAGGTCACTGAAAGGTGGTTATCTCATCAAGTCGTCTCTCAATTAACATAACAAAAGGGGGATTATGAGGGACCAACATACACCGATTAGGCATTGTTTGCTAGGGAATATTTGTGGCTCCATAACTTGACCGTTGAATGCATACAAGTGTGTGTGTGTGTCGCAACTATCTCTCTAAACATGCTATGGTTATGTCTTGAGATTCCTACTGTTGGGGGTTGCTGCTTGAGAAGGTCCATTCTGAATGGGACTCACAGCTCCATCTCTGGGGATGACATCTGGCTTCGGAACGTTGGCTTCAGACTTGGGCTTGGAAACGGGAGCTGAGCAGAGCAAGAAAAACAAAGTAAACAAATGGTCTGAAATTTATGGTTGAACAAGATATGTGTTCATAGTACAGTATACAAATGATGCACAGGTTTGAGTGCGTCGGTAGGAATTGTGTGCACAAGGTACCTTTTAATAATTTTAGACCAAATTCAAAGGTACCGCATGCACACAATTCCACCAACCCACTAATTAAACCTGTGCATCATCTGTTTTATAGAATGGGGCCCCAGAAATCATCAAAAATCTTTTTATTTTACAGATTTACTGGGTGCATGGCAAAATCATGCTTTCCGGTAATTACCGGACGCATGATTTTGCCATAGCCATGTATGCAGTTATTACCGGAAAGCATGATTTCATGAAACTTATCATGAAACCCCTACCCCTGGCCCATACTCTTACATGTGTTCGTCTATCAGACCAATTACAGGCCTTTCTGATCAGGTTCAATACATACCTGTTTCTTAGGGGGTGAAGACCTGATTCCCGAGGCCTGAAGCAGTTGATCCTCATTCAAGTGTTCATCCATATTTGATGGGAAGTGAAAGCCCAACTTACGATTGGACTCAAAACTAAGGTTACTGTAAATAACGCTTAATCTTCCATATACAACTACATGTATCAGGGGCCATTCTGGACAGGTTTAGCTAATGGTACTTACCAGTTTCTTGAGGGGTGAAGACCTGATTCCTGAGGCCCGGGAGGAAGCAATCGATTCTCTCCCAGGTGTTGATCCATAGCTGATGGCTTTGGGAACCCGGCTCTGGATACCCAAACACTCCGGCAGTGTCCATGACAAGCAACATGTTCTTCAGAGATTCAGGGATAGCTTCAAACTGCAGGGAACAAAACAATTTCGGATAAACTGCATGAAGACCAGATTCCATTACCAGATGCCAACATATATATCAAAGATTGCTTTACATCTCATAAACCATCTCGGCCTAATCTTTGCTCTTCTCGAGACCCATTTCTGCTTACCGTTCCCCAAGACAAGTAAAAAAGCTGGTTATTGCAAATTTACCGTTATCCAAAGAATGGAATAATATCCCCTCTTTTATTAAGCAGCAAATTCCACAGACCAATTTAAGAAACTCTTTAAAACATACTTTTTCTTTTCCCTATTCATTATAAACATTGTGTTTGTACCTATTTTGATGAAATTCAGTTGTATATTATGTATGATTATTTTGTGTAAACTCTGTGAAATAGTTTACTATGGAGAGCATACTAAAAATACTAGATATTACTATCATTATTAAAGGTAATACAAAGTTTTGGGAAATTTTGAAAATTGGGTAGATAGTGATTCTTTACAATTTTGATATATTTGGATGCCCCTGTGGATGTATTATAAGCACTAGGAAATTCAGCCCCTAAAACACTTCTGCTTTCGAGAAATATTGAATATAAAAATTTACCGGTGCTCCCGGTAAATTTGGATGAATTTCAAATAGCGCCTACAGCCGTATGATGGTAGCTGCGACCATGAAAATATCAGAATATGTAGTTGTGATATATAATTTCCAAACGGGAATAGCTAATCGGTCGATTTTAGTCAAGAAACATTGTTTTATAGCTTAATTAATATCTTGACCTTGAGAGGGAGCTATACAACATAAGGAGTTTATTATTTACAATTTCATAACTTTAGACTCGATTTCAACCGCGACAACGATCACTGAATATTGTAGGATCGCATATGCTTCCAATATGTTCATTTGAACCAAATCCATGACCCCATACCAAAACTTTGTATTACCTTTAAGACCAAATATACTCACAAAATTCTGCAGTCAAGGTCTACAAAATACCAACTCTACCAAATAGATTGACAATTACATTTCTATGTCACAAGAATCTACCTACCTTGAGCATATAAGACTTTGTTTGCAATGTCTCTTATAGAGAATTAATTTAAAACAGACTCGGACTAAATGTAACACTTGACATAAATCCTGTCCTGAAAGGAGATTTTATGAAAGAATGCAGTAATTGACTTACCAAGAGGTCACTCTTGTCCGAGTGCATGTACTTGTCCATGAAGTCCAGTATAGTCAGCCAGAGGGCAGTGAAGGTAGACAGGGAGAGCAGTGGGGTCAGGTGCTGAAGAAACACCTGTGTCAATCAATCAAGCGAGAGAATGAATACTCGTTTGCCAAATCGTCTTGAAATACTTCATTAAAATACAAATAAAAGCAATTATCTGTGTAATATTTCAATGCAGTCTGAAACCCTAGATTGATTGCCACATTGCATTGAGTATACAGTGCACATTCCTACACATTGTACATTGTATGTGTGACTGAAGTTAATTGTGGCAGTCCATCATTGTGTTCCATGAGTCAACATAAGCGTACAAAGAGTTGAATAATGTAAAATGAGAATCAACCACAGTACAGAAATGAGATAAATTCTAATTTTGTTATTGTTGCTGAAAATACCAATGAATATTCTTCTAAGGTCTAAAGCCCCCCTGCACTACTTATAGCTACTTGCATCCTCTATATAGCAAACAATTCCTTATCGGTGACCATTGGTCCCCCATTATCCTCTTTTTCTTATGTTAATTGAGAGCTGATTTGATGAGATAACCACCTGTCAGCGACCTTGCAGGGTTGTCTCATCCTTCCTGGCCAAACTAGTGCCGATAGGCTTTAAAAAATAATACTGATTTTAAGAAAAATGTTATTTTACCTTGCAAAGCAGAGTAGCAGCTCTCATCCTCGTCTCCTCCATCCCGACGGGATCGTGCGTATCCTCCAGCAGAAGAGTGAGGAGGGGAAACAGAACCTTGTTGAAGCACGACTCCCACTCCACCGCAGACAGGGTCTGGAGGTCATGGACCAACAGCGCCCTCTGGAGGTAGGTCAGGGCCTGCATGCGGACCTGGCGTCGGGTGTCACAGCACAGCCTGGCAATGCCTGCATGAGAGTGGAAATGGATATTCACGATATGAATCGTTTCTTTCCCTTTTTGTTAATTGAAAGATGTTACATCTTGTGGCACGACACAGGATGGCAAAGATTCAGAAATAAACATAAGTATGTACAGTGAAACCTGTCTATAAAGACCACCCAAGGGAAACAAGAAAAATGGTCTTTGTAGGCAGGTGGTCTTAATGTACAGGTTCCTTTAGTACATGTTTCAATGAGAAACCATTTTCAAGGGAAACAGAAAATGTGGTCTTTGTAGACAGGTGGTCACTAAAGCAGGTTTGACTGTACTAACATTAAAGATTGACCAGGACACCTTATTCCAAGGGAAGAACAGAGGACATTTCATATTTTTACAATTTGTGATATTTTTATTTCATAAAAAGGGTTAAATCAAAACTAATCTAATAATGGAGAAGCCAGGCTGTACATGTAGCCCCACAAAAGTTTTGTGTCCTTCTGTTCAACATGGACAAAGAGAGCGAGAAAATGATTTGGCAAATAAATTCTAACATCATTGATATCAATAACTGATTAGCACAAGACACAACAGGAGACAAAAGAAGACCACCCCCCCCCCCCAAAAAAAAAGGTTTAAAGTAGTCACTCAAAGAATCAAAAGTGTTTTGAATTGATGCAAATTTCTATCATTGCGAAGGGGAAGCCTTACTGATCAAATATAACAACTTCCCTCTTCAAAATATGTTAGGGGCCCGCAGTAATCATCTCTCAAAAATGTTAATTTTGAGATCCAGATTTTCTGCCTTCAGCGGTCCACCGCAGAGTGTCAAGATTTGTGACGTCACATGCGACACACATCTAGCCACAAAATTACATTTTACGCCTTTCCATGATATCTATATGATTTTTCAGCAAATTATTCATGTTTTTCAAAAGAAAATCTTTCCATCCATATATAATTTGTCCATAATTATCCGTTGTCATAAGTTTTCTTTGAGTGACTACTTTAACAAAATATCAACAAGATAAAAGAAAGTAGAGTATTACCTTGTAAGAGTGGGCACCAACACTTGACCCACAATGCACTAGCTCCGGCATCGATGGTGACCTGCTGACCCTCTCGCTCCTCCTCTTCGGCCCACGAACTGAAGATGGATGCTGCCCTCGTGTGCAGGGTATGCATCAGATCAAGGAGCTGCAAAGAAAGAGTAAAGGAAACAACAAAATCAATTAATGCACACCATCTCCATTACCCAAAAAATTCTTTACAATTTATAACTTTGATTTACATGTGAGATTGGAAGGGAACTTTTAACTACTTGACAGACTTCTGTGAGGCACCAAGATGACCTTACTTCAAAGAAAAGGAGCTGGGAAGAAAGAGTAAAGGAAACAACACAATCAATTAATGCACATCATCTCCAGTTGCCCCTAAAATTGAACCTTGATTCAAAGAAAAGGTGATAGGGAAAGGGAGGTTTTCCTTTCTTTCATTCTTTCAACTATGGCAGGCTTTCATGCCACTGGTTGCTCTCACTATTGGTCTGTCAATTATGATCTTTAAATAATATGTTTTCCTCAAATAATGAAATATCAACCAGTGTAAACTCTGTAAATTTGTGACGATTTATACGTCCCTTGAGAAACCAATGCCAGGAATGGTTAGAGGAACTAGTGGCATGAACGGCCTGCCATAGTTAAGTCCAACTAAAAGTTGATCTTAGTCTTTGTGAAACACCCTCTGCAAGTTGCTACTCACCTGTATCGACAATGCCTGATAGCCGCCCGGTGGACCATCATCCTCACCCTCGTCTCCTTCACCACCCATCATCTGAGACATCTTGTCCGGCACTGACCTCGTCTTGGACATGTCGCGACCTTTGACCCTAGCACTGCCCTTGTGGCTCTTGCCAGACTTCCGCTCTTTAGGGTGCTTTCGGTGCTCATGCCTCAGTTTTCCTGCAAGATGAAATTATAGACGATCATTTCTTGTTTATTCTGGTTAAAAAAATTGCTCTTTCTAACAAACATGCAAAGTTCATGCCATGTATAATCATAATGTCACTTCTAACTGATAAAATTGTTCCTTTTCACATAGACATACCAGTGTGTTTAGCAATTATCAAATGTTTGCTTTATTTCAATCTAGAATGACAGCTTTTAACCCTTTCTAGCCCCCCCCCCCCCCCCCCCAGGGGGGGGGGGGCCTTTAGAAGCCCCCCTCTACATTTTTCGCGATTTTTTATAATGCCAAAGAATCTTGCGCTCAAATTTTACGACTTTTTTTCTTTCGAGTCTTGCGCATCTTTTGAAATAAATTTCGAAAATTTGACCTACCATCACAAAGTCACGTGATCTTTTGTCTTTGCATGTCAGCCAATTGCACAATTGCCCATATTTTATTTTTATTTTATTTTTTTAAAGCAAACCGGGTTAACAAAGAACAGTATCAAAAAAACATCAGTAAAACATCAGCAATGCTCGGCTGTAACCTCACCCCCATTCACCGTGGCCTCTACAAACATCCTGATGGCATGGACGCAGGATTCAAAGTTGGCCGGAGTGACGTGGGCAGCGTCCCTGACCAGGAAGGCAAGGGATTCACAGCACTTGGTCAGGGACTTGGTGTCGTGATGGCAGATGTCCATCTCCAGGGCAATCTGGAACTGGTTGACCAGTGGCCGGCTTGACTCTTCACTTGAATTCTTGACCTAAACAAAGTAAGAAGACATTCAATTTTCTTTAGAATTTGATAAAGCGATATCATACTTTTATACTTCTAAATCAGACTAAGAAATATTCCCCTGATTATAGATTAGCTTGACCTGAGCTTAAAGCCCCACTGCACTACATGTACTTGCTACTTGCAGCCTCTGTATAGCAAACAATGCCTAATCGGTGACCGTTTGTCCCCCATGGTCCTCATTTTCTTATGTTAATTGAGAGCTGATTCGATGAGATAACCACCTGTCAGTGACCATGCTGGGAGGTCTAATCCCTCCTGGCCAAACTTGTGCAGACAGGCTCTAAGGTACTACATGCATTGCAAAAGTCAACTAAGCAGAGCTGTCACAAGAAAATGAACAAGTAGTCAACTTACAACGAGCCAGCTGCTGGTGGTGCTTCCCTCTGACTCACTGCCACTCCGTCTAGACTTCCTATAGAGCTCACTGTCCGAGGTGTACCCATGGTCAGAGGCAAGGGTCTCTCGGCTGGCCGATAGCTCACTGTCGGACTGGGCATCTACATAAGAAGATTCAGGAACATGTCAATATAGTCAGTATTATACATATTCTTTTGATACTAAAAATAAAGTTGAGATTCAGGAACATATCAATATAGACAGTATTATACATATTCTTCTGATACTAAAGATAAAGTTGAATTCTGGGAAAGAGTAAAAATATGTTTTGTGAGCTTTTTCATTCTCTTTATGTTTAAGTGTGGATTTTCATAACACTACAGTCTATTGGGAAAAACAAATATTATAAAACCGATCACTCAAAGATCTCAGATTTAACATTATTCAACGATGCCTTTAAAGAATTGACTCTACCTGGTTCGCCCAGTGACCGCTGATCGATCTCTCCCGACCCGCTATCCTCCATGGGATTGGTCTGCTGCACCAAGGGGCGCAGCGCCGCACCCGCACCGACACACTCCAGCAGTGAGAACAGGGTGAACCAGTCCTGAGAGGAGTGGATGTTTGCAGCGTTGGTCCTCAGCAGGTCGAAGAGACCGAACGCAATCTGACGGCAGTTGGCAAAGATGACGGTTTGCTTCATCATGAGCAGCATGCGTAGCGAGGTCAGTACCTGATACAAAAAAAAGAGAGGAAGTTGCAACTGAAAAAGTTTTGTATAATGTTGTACATTTCTTCTACTGTCGCACTTCTAAAGCAGGTCCAAAATAACTGATAACCAACAAATATTGGCCATTTACATCTACTCTACTTACCTATCCAAAGAACTTCTGAAATGTGCTCAACCTATTAACCACTCAACTAAACTCAAATAAATTGAGCTACTTGTCCATTGCAAACTCAACTCACCTCAATTCTACTGAACTCAACTGAACTAAACTTGACTCGACTCAATTCTACTGAACTCAACTTAATTCAACCTGACTCAACTGAACTCAACTTGACTCAACTCAATTCTTCTGAACTCAACTTGACTCAAATGAACACAACTGAACTCAACTCAAGTCAACTCCATTCCGTTCAACTCACCTGCCCTGAGAACTCCTCCCTCCTAAGGAGTCGTATTGCTAGTCGCAGCAGACCAACGATGGCGCGCTCAACCAGGTAGCTGGGGGTGGAGATGGTCACCACCAGGGTGTAGAAATGATCCCTTACAGCGGTCCAGAAAGCACTCACTCGATCTCTGTCAAGTTAGGAGAGGACAAATACAAATCTTTTTACTATTGATGCATAACATCATTGAGTCCCTACAATTGACATAATGCCTGTTTGGAGCCAGAAGGGTAAGTAATCATACTTTAACACATAGTTTAATGCTCTTCTAGGCCTGAACTGACAATATTTTCTATGATGGTGCAACTCAAAGAGAAGTCATTTGTGAAAAAGCTCCATATTTTCCACAAAAAACTAATAAATATAAATTAACTTTTTTTTATGACGTTAATATACTACGCTTCACATTTCTGTATCTTTTAATAACAAAGAGCTCAGTGAGACTTGATAAGGCATTAATCCTCATTACCTAGTCCCTCAGAGAGGACTTAAAAGCCGTCGGTCCCCTAGCTGCTTACTTACAAGTATACAAATGCTTTCTTAGCAGTCAGGTAAAATAAACCATCAACCCAAGAATCCAGATTTGTTCTCACCTGTTTTCTAGGATGACCCTAAGAAGCAGCTCCAGGTTGAAGATTGCCGCCTCCTCGTCAAAGACCAGGCCTAGGGCGTCGACGGCCTCTGGACCCTGAGAAGCACAGACCAGGGCCTTGACCAGCTCCTGGAGCGATTCCAGACGAAGGAACTTGCTCTCTGTTATCAGGTGCTCCGGATGGCAATCCTACGAAAATCATCAAAATACAGTTATTAATAGGCGATCCTACACATGCTGCAGTAAAATTTGCATCAGGCTCTATTGCATTAAAGATAAAGGGTTAGGATGAAGAAATTTGCTCTCGTTTATCAGGTACCCTGGATGGTGCGATAGCTTAGTTGGTAGAACAGTAGTCTCGTAATCCGGCGACTCAGGTTCGAAACCAAGGCAATGCGCTAGTGCCCTTTGGTAAGGCATCAATCCTCATTACCAGGTCTCTCGGAGAGGACCTAAAGCCGTGGGTCCTCTGGTTGCTTACTAACAAGCATTAATGCTTCTTAGCAGTCAGGTAAAACAACCACCACTACTACCCACTAAAAAAATTCTTATGAAAATACACAATATTTGGTACTGATAAGTGAAGAAGCCTCAATAAATATGAATACATGAGAAATAATCATTAGACCAATTCTATTCAATGAGTGCTCTAAATATAGATCCTTTTTGCAAAAGAATAAAAGGACTCATGACATAACAACTACATCAGTAAATTCAGTCATATGTGTAGTGGAAGGTATTTTAGAAACTCTCTCATCCTACAAAAGACTGGTCTTCAAAATGATCTGAGAAAAACGAAACACCATAATATTTTGAATATAGAATACCAGCATGGAACCCCAAACATACAAGGCAAAAACAATTTTGAATAAGTCTTCTTTCATAGTACGGTAGATTAATTGATCAGTGCCTTACCTCAACACAGTTACTGGCTTCTTCTATTGCTTCTTGATCTTCAGGGGTGGGACCCTTGGGGGCGGACGAATCAGGAGAGAAGTAGGAGTAGAAGGAACCCAGGAGAGACATATCAGACCTAAACAAAACAAATGAAAAAAGAGCAACGCGGATGAGATTAATTCAATGCTGTACAAACCAGAAGCAACAATGATAAACATGCACATAGGGTCTAGATCGATTGTTGTCAGGGCGTTGGGTACAGTAGGCCAAAAGCTTCAGTCTCTTGTATTGACCATTGTTCCACAGAGATTACCTCTAATGAGTGCCTCTACACAGAGACAGAATGGCATTGAATAATGTAGGTTAACGTGGAGGTTACATGGGTGCAGTCAGAGTTTGACTGACACTCTCATCATGCACAGCAGCCTCACGAAATCGGACAGATTAGCTGAAGGTAAGTCCTGATATTCCCAAGTTTCAGATTGATTTCCAATGTTATGATTATAGTTATAAGGAAGATTAGATCTATTCTTTTTAGATTGTAGATCTCTAGACTAGTCTTGTCAATTTAAAATTGGTAAATAAATAAAAACTGGAGACAAAATTTGGCTAGCTTGTGGCCAAAATTATGATTTAATCTCCATCTTATTTGGCGGCTTGTAGGACCATTTGTATAGGGGAAAGATTGACAAATGTAAGTTTTCCGAAAGAATTCCCTATATCAGACATTCATTTCTATCAAAGGCTACAGTAACTTACTTGACTGTAGGCATCTCTTCCCTGATGAGGGATATCCTTCCGGACGGATCCACAAAATCCATCACCTCCACCATCTCGCTCGGCAGGAGTTTGGCACGGAACAGCTGGAGCATGCAGTCTAGGAGGTTCTTCCAGCCTTCTGCCAGGATGTCACCATGACGATGCGCAAGGCTGAACACAGTCTTGGCCGCAACCTGGGCTTTCATGTTAGACCCAAATGCAATGGCTGTCGCCTCTGGTGTCTATGAAGTAGAAAAACATAACATAGATCAACATTATATGGGACAACACATTTCTTGAGCACTATAAAGCAACAATTTAGCCATGACAATGGGCTATGGATGCTGTCTCGGCTGCAACGGCTTTTCCTACCTCTCCGCCAAAGATGTTGCCAGGATAATGCGCTAGACTGAACCTGGGCTTTTCTGTTAGTCCTAAAGGCACTGACTATCAACATGGGTGTCTATGGACCTGGTTCATGCAATAGGAATTTTTATCTTAATTATGTTCAATTAGCCTCAACACATTTGTTAATGTAATACCCACTCTTCCTTTTCTCTTTACTAACTAAGTATAATTATCTGCGGCCATAGGAGCCCAGCCTTTGAAAGGCCAATGGCCTCTGCTGGCTCCTCCATATTCTTTTGTATTGTTTATAGATTTTCTTATATGTATTATATATTGTTGAATGTATTTTTTACGAGAATTAGAAACAAAACGAATGAATGAATTAATAGGTTATGAGTCAGGCAGGCTTTTCTTATCTATTTTCATGTCATCATAATGAACATGAGGTAAAAAAAAAAGTGTGCAAAACTGAGAGAAAAGACCATTTCTTACCTCTAGTGAGTTCAGAAGTGTAGTAAACTTGCAGAGGGATATGACTAGGTTATCAAAGACATCGGTTAGGCCATAGTGGGCAGAAATCATTGCACATTTTCTGCAGAGGAGAATAAAAAGGAAAATAAATTAGCAGAAACACATTACTCTGCTTAGCTTGACTTCCTCTTCCAAACCATTTATGTGAATATTAAATCAAGAAAAGGCACAAAATTCAATTTGAGGACGGACATCATCTAACCAAAATTCAATATCATTGTTTAAGGTCATTTTACTCAAAAATTCTTTCCAATTATTGTTTGCTGAGAAACAGAATGGTGTGATATTACTAATATTCAATTACTTCACGTGAATTACTTTCTGACACTAAAAGCAGACAATATGAGCTCTCAAAATTGAGCTAATTGTTAATAACAGGTGATTTTGTCTTCCATAGCAATATTTTTAATTGGTATATTTCTTAAAACTGGCAATACTTGTGCTTAGATACTGGGATAAATTCAAGGTAAATGGTATATAAATCATTTTTAATTGGTATATTTCTTAAAACTGGCAATACTTGTGCTTTAGATACTGGGATAAATTCAAGATAAATGGTATACAAATAATTTAAAATTGGTAAATTTTTCTTAAAACTGGCTATACTGGTGCTTAGATATTGGGACAAATTCAAGGCAAATGGTGTATAAATAATTTTTGATTGGTATATTTCTTAAAACTGGCAATACTTGTGCTTAGATACTGGGATGCGTTTAAGGCAAATGGTATATAAATTAAATTTGTGTCCAATTGAAATGATTTGGTGATTCTTTTACAAAGGTAAATTTCTTTTAAGCACCTCTACACCAGTTTGGCCAAGGGAGATTGGACCTCCCTGCAGGGTCACTGACAGGTGGTTATCTCATCAAATCACCTCTCAATTAACATAAGAAAAAGGGCGCAAGTAGCTTTAAGAAGTTCAGTGGGGCCTTAAAATTTGAATTTTACCTGAATCCAGCAAGAGCCTTCTGTGTAATGGAGTCATCCATACTCTTATCAAAGACAAAGGAGAGCGCTGCAACGGTTGGACCCCAGGCTAGAAGGAACAGGTCCTTGTCCAGATGCCCGTCGTCTATGTGGAGGAACTCACTGCCCGGCTTTTGCCCACGCTTGAGGAGAACCTTCCAGAGATAGTTCTCTTTGACTTGACCGCTCTGTTCGGCAGGCATCACAATCTCTTCGTTTCTGATTACAGACAAAAGGAAATAGAGGCGGAATTTGTAAAGGGAGTTTAGGAAGTTTTCATGTTGCAATCTAACATTTTGTACGACATGATGCTAAATCACTTCAATAAAATGGAGTTGTGCGTTACATGAGGTAGACGTGTCGTGGTCGAATGGATATGTCACCGGACTGTCGATCACAAGGTCCTCGGTTCAAGTACCGCCGAGGCACTAATGTTCTTTGGCAAGGCATTGATCTATATCTGCTACACTCGACCCAGGTGAGGTAAATGGGTACCAGGCAGGACTTAATTCCTTGAAATGCTAGAGCGCCGTAATGGCAGCTAGGCTAATAATTTCCAAATTTGGAAGCGCACAGAGACGTTTAAATGTGATATGAGCTTTACAAGAACCAAATATTATTGTTATTATGACTGAACTTCGAATGTGTTTGTAAACATATCACACGTAAAATGGGTCGAATTGTTTAATAAAGGGATTTCAGAAATTATTTTAAAGACTTGATTTTTATCTCACATTTGAAATTACATAATAAAAAGTTAATTCAATTATTTTGTTTAAGCATTATGGGGTACATGACTGAATTTTCCAATGTTTTTCCAAACATATCACAAGTAGAACAGATTGAAGCATTTAATTCTAAACATGGCAAGACATTCACACTCAAGTGTTTTGACCTTCAAATGCAAGAATGTACATTAATGTACCATGAAAAATAAACTTTATTTCATTACTAAGAAAATCATTCCCAGTATTGCTACATGAAATGTAAATAAAATTAAAAGTTATGAGAATGTATTTTGACTGTGAGAATCAACTTTGTTTTTTAACAAATTTCACACAGATACAAATATTTTGAAGCACTATGGCCTCTAACTTACTTGATTGCATTATATATCTCGCCTAACATATCTTGATCAAAATCATTCCCTCCGTTCACTTTGGATACATTCTTCTTGAAATTCTGAAAAGAGAAAAAGAAAACATACAAGTTTGACACCACTATTGAGGCATGGATGACATGAGTATACCGAAGGAGATTATAATACTGTAATCCTTTAGACAAGAGTTTAAAGTTTTTGGAAAAATGATAACTTTTAAATCAAATGGTACATCTATATTTTCCAACAACCGTCTTTCAGGAGAACTGTGAAGACCAGGATTGAGCTAGTTTCCATCAAACTTTGAAATATTGTTTTAAGAATACAAACACTCTTTAATTACAATAATAATAATAATAGGCATTTATATAGCGCCATCTATTTAGACAACTCTATTACGAGGCGTTCAGGTATTGTTAAAAAAGATGAGATTCCAGCTTGGATTCAAAGGTCTCTTTGCTATTATTATCCTGGTGTACATGTAACAAGGCAAGCTCTTGATTTCAAAGATATACATAATATCTTGTAGTTGTTAAATGTAACTGATTAGGCATTTGCAGGTTCTAGCATGGACAAATAGAACATGATGTGAGGTAGCAATGTCTGAACATGGAGGCTTTAAGAGAGAACCAGTAACATTTGCCTCAGATTGTGAAACAAAATCCCGGATTTAGCTCATGCTGCATTCATAATTATAACCTTTAGGTCAGTCAGGAATCCCATGACTTTTACAAGCCGATGGCCTGTCTGATTATCAACATATTTATGATTGGAAATCGAAATGTAATTTTTCGTTTTCCTAACGGTTTTTATAACACTACAGTCTATTGGCAAAACCGGTCACTCAAAGATTTATATTGTTATGAGGCACTTCATGATCATTTAGAAGCAAATTTTTTTTTAGGGCTTCAATATTACACCACATCACAGACACTGATAACATGTAGGGCCATGCATCTCAGATTTAACGTTGTTGAACAATGCCTTTAAGAGAGCTCCACTTACAGCTAACGTCATAGGAATGTTCTGTTTCTTGGCGTTGTCGTTGTGCTGGTCCACGTTGAGCATGATGATAGCATAGGCAAGTGTGAACGCAGCGTCATGGTTGGCAAACGGGTGGCCATTGCAAGTCTGAAATGGGACAGTTGAGAAATAATACGGTGAGAAATGCACTACAAGAGAAACTGTCAGATTCATATTTTAGGATGTTTGGATATGAAAAATGTTAGAAAAATACATATGCATTTCCTAAACATTCAGTTAGCGAATATTGCAAAGACATGGGCCCCGTGTTACAAAGAGTTGATATTAATCGCAACTATGTACATAAGAGATAGGAGACTGCAAACTTGCGATTGATTGGAAGACTTGCGATTGATTTGGATTAATCGTAACTCTTTGTAAGACGGGGGCCCTGGTTGCCCAATCAGACAAGAATGACACAATATTTTTTTTCCAAGTAGTCATGATCTGTCACGTGCTGTCATGCAGTGGTAGTACCGGTATATCAATACTACATACTCATATCCACTAAATAGGTGTACTGCCTTTCAACAATACTTGATGATTAAAAATGATGCATGATGATACATGGACACATCAAAATTTTACTTCATCATGGCATTCGCTTAACGTAGCTATTACTTATAGTAATTATTTTTGGTTATACAACGAATACATCAATAATGCAGTATTTTAAAAATACAAGGTATATTCATACTCATACTTTAGGAAGGGGCCATTGATATTGCCATTAGACATGATGGTCACACTTACATGCCACTTATCAGCAAAGCATTCTAGAAGATGTTGAATGACTGGTGCTTCTCCGGGTAACCTGAAAGCTTCCAAGAGCATCCTTAAGGCTTCATCGACCCTGGTGTTTGCAAAGCCAAACAAGCTGAAAGAAAGGCATGGTAAAAGGGATTAGAATAGCTGGTACAAACAGGAGGAATAATAATATACCGTACTTATATAGCGCTGGGGAATAATCCCGAAGGGGATATGTGGCACTAAATATAAACCACTTGGAGAAAGTTCCCTAATCATAATATCACCATCTTCATTATCTTCTTCCTCATTACCACTATTATCATTATTATTGTAATCATCATCATCATCAACATCATTATCAACTCCACCATTATCATTACTATCATCGTTAATATCTCCACCAATGTCATCATCACCACCAGCATCATCATCATCACCATCAAAACCATCATCCTCAACACCAGCATCACCAGAGCTGCTAACCTTGTGCGACCAAAAAAAGGAATCATGATGGCCAAAAAAAGGAATTTCAAGCAAAAAAAAGGAATTCATAAAAAAATGAAACTTACAACCACACTCAACACACTTCCGATGCAGAAATTTCATTCCTCATCCTGTTTTTTCCATACAAGCAGGTATTTTTTCTTTGGTTATTTTGGTATTATCGGCATTTCATTCTTTTTGAGAATATTTTTCTCTTCAAGTATGTTTTCAAGTATTTTTAAAAATTAGTTTTTTATTGAATTTGTGATCAAATCACCATTATAAGGCAGTTGTTTGATGTGTTGTATGTAAAAAAAATAAAAAATAAAAAAATAAATATTAAAAAAAAATTAAAAAATTAAAAATTAAAAAACATATTTTATGAAGAAAAAACGTAATACCCTAATTTGGAGGAAAAAACAGAGTAATTCCGGCAAAAAATGGAACGGTTGGCAGCTCTGCATTACCATCATCGTCATCTCCGATATCATCATGATCATCATCACTACCACCACCGCTACCACCACCACTAGAACTATCTACACCACCAACATCACCATCAATATCGTTCCTTGGCATATTTTCTTTCAACTTACTCTAGGTAAGGGTCCAGGATCTTGGCATTCTTCTTGGCGCTGATGTATTCACCAATTTGCTTCTTATCCACGTGGGGGTTGTCCTTGATGAACGCTGCAATGGCCTGAGGGTCCGAGGGGTTCGGCAGGAGGCCATTCTCCTGCAGGAATGCTATCCCCTTCGAGGGTTTTTGGTTGAACAGCTCTGTACCACCATTCAAGAGCTAATATATCAAACAAAAAAGATTCATGACATTTAATACATAACACTTCATAACACTTCATAATAATAATAATAATAATAGGCATTTCTATAGCGCCATCTATCTAGAAATTCTATTCCGAGGCGCATTTATTATTACCCCGGCTCTAGCCTAACTGCCATTACAGCGCTGCAGCATTTCAAGGAATTAATTCACCAAAGGACATTAGTGCCGTGTCGGGGATCGAACCACGACCTCTCAGTTTCAAGTCAAGTGCTTAAACCACTCGACTACGACACTTTATAGTAGACTGGTGCAAATAGACTCTTGTCCACACGGGGGTTGTCCATGATGAATGTTGCAATGGCCTGAAGCTGTTCTCCTGTAGGAATGAAATTCCTTTTGATGGTTTCCAGTTGAACAGCTTGGGAAGAGCATTCAAATGTTAACATGGACAACAGAGAAGATATGGAAGATAAAGTGCACTAAGAACATATCCAGTGTTCCCGATGCAACTAATTGCTATTTGACTCCAAATTATTACCCCTCCTTCACCTCCTCCCCCGCCCCCATAAGAACCCCGGGAAGACAATTAGATGTAGACATACCCTGACCCTTGACTGCCTATATGTACAACCCCCAGTGAAAACTAGCATCCTTGGAAAATAGTGCCCCCTTTAACTATTCCTGCTCAAAGCATTTTCCCCCTTGTTAGGGCTCGAGTCCAATTCTTAAGCTGCGCACACTCAGCATCGAGTCCTAGCGCGTAACAGGTGGCAAGCTGTTTATACTACAGTGAAACTGGTATGTGAAGACCGCTCAAGGGAAACAAGACAAGTGGTCTTTATAGACAGGTGGTCTTTCTATACAGGTGGTTAGAAGCAAGCATGTTTGAAAGTATTGTGGACTCGGCCTGGAGCAGAAAACTGATACAGTCAAACCTGTCTATAACAACCACCCAAGGGAAACACAAAAAGTGGTCTTTGTAGACGGGTTTCTTTAGTACAATGTTCAATGAGAACCCATTTTCAAGGGAAAACAAAAACGTGGTCTTTGTAGACAGGTGGTCACTAGAGCAGGTTTGACTGTAGAATACATACCTTCTTTCTGTGTTTGAGCTGAGCCAGCTCCTCCTGAGTAGGTAGGTTGGGTGAAGACGAAAACCGGCTCTGTTTTCTGCTTGGTGTTGTCTTGGGTTTGATGTCCGATGCATGTTCTTTACCTTTAATTATGAGACAAAAAGAAATGGAAATCAATTTTTTAAATAGGACTTCAATGAAATTATGATGTGACATTTGTAAATGACAAGATTTAACCATTTGATTTTTGATTGTTTGTTTGATTTCTTTAAAATGAAGTTGATTACTGGTCGTTCACGAGCGAGTGTTGTTCCTAGTGCAGTCTTCAAAGACAAGGGTATCTACCAGGGCAAAAAATAAAAATTTCTGGGCTACTTTTCAAGCTAGCTTGCATGAAAATAACACTCTTTAATTTGTTTTGCATTCTATGCAAATTTTGAGAGACTCTTTTATGACTTTCGGGGGCAGCTTTGCCCGAGCCCCATGTATTTTTTCCCTGGTATCTACCACTTTGACTACTCAAGACCATTTTTCAAAGGACATTAAGGGTATTAAAGTATATGTGTTAATATCCTTTCTGGAGCAAAACAGATGATATCACCAGTGTAGTCTCCAACGACCTGGGGGTGTTTCACAAGGATCCTAAGTTGAAATTATCTCTAAGTTGGACTTAACAATTATGGAAAGCCGTTAGCATCTTTGAAAATATTTTGTAATAGTTATTTAAAAAAGCATAAAATGTTGATTCTAATAATTCATATTTTCTATTTCTAGATTTCATGTTCTTGATTTGGAATTTATGAAAAGTCTAAAATACTTGAATTTTCACTTTTGAATATATTTTATTTTAAGGCTAAAAATGGCTCTCCATAATATGGAGTCCAACTTAGAGTTAAGTTCGACTTATGATCTTTGTGAAACACCCCCTGAACAGCCACCTACCTGGTGACCCTTCCTTCTCCTTGAGTTAGGCAGTTCAGGTGATTTTTTTTTTGTAGGAGATAGGGGGTGATTTCAATATCATTTTAAAGATCACATTTTTATTTACACAATGCACTTTGAGTTGTTCAATTTGGACCAACGGTTCCAGAGATACGGATTTTTAAAATAATTTTCAGAACCATATTGATGAGGACAAAAGATCAAAAGGTCTAACCTATTATAATTGTATTGAAGTCAATTAAACCTGTGTTTAAGCAGTGGCACCATTGTTTTCAGAAGTTTGTGATCTGTTAAGCCTCATAATAGTCATATCTCTTCAATGCGATGACCAAACTCGCTGAAATTTGGCAAATATATTCAGTGATGTTTGGCAAATATGAAATTTAATATCTTTAAACAGCACCGTAATAAAATATGCAAATTTATGCAAATTTATGCAAATTTCCATGTTTTTGTCATCATATTGTTATAAAAGGTAAATAAAAACCCTTTGAATCTAAACTTTTACCAAATGATCTTGTCTATTTATTTCTTTCTTTCTCTCTCTCTCTCTCTCTCTCTCACACACACACACACACGCACACACACACACACGCTTTCTCTCTCTCTCTCTCTCTGTTTCTTTTTTTCTCTGTTTCTTTTTTTCTCTGTTTCTTTTTTTCTCTGTTTCTTTTTTTCTCTCTTTCTCTCTCTATTTCTTTCTTTCTTTCTCGGTCTTTCTCTCCTAGTCTCTCTCTTTCTCTCTCTCTCACACACGCACGCACACGCACACACACACACACCACAGGATGAGGTGACAAATCGTCTATGTAGTCTATACTTGCAGCAATCTTGCAGTAAATGAACAGTTTTTTCGAAAAAATATTGTTACTTTACCCCAAAATATAACCAATTCATGTTAGACTATTACAATATTTATTCCAAATATTAAAATAAATATCACAATTATCAATAAAATACGACATACAATAAACAAAAATTGAAAAAACAAGTCAATCAAGTCACAAACGGGTCTGAATTCTAAGACTACGAAATGGTCTCGATGTCACTCACACAGCTGTTTCATTCACGTACACACTATGTACACGCATCACGCGTCGCATCGTCAAAATCAGTTCGTGCAATTTTCAAAAACTGCAATCATATTATCATATCTACCATAAGATCTACTCATCATCATTATATGAAACTTTCAGGAAAGAAGGTAAGATGTTTAATTTTGTTAATTACGGAGTTGTAAGTTAGTTGAAAAACTCCTTCCATCTGAATTTCATCACATTGTCGGCAGATTTGAGCAAAACCATCTACTACGATGGCTATTCAACGTACAACTCACTTCCGATGTGCATCGATAATTGTCGAAGAGAAATGACGTCATATTTTATTGTTTTAACCAATCAGAAGGCAGGGAAATCCGAAATAAACCGAGTGTTTTTTTTCGGCAGAACCACGAAAGCTCACGAAAGTGTGGCCGAAAGCGCGCTCACCCTGATGTATGTGGATTCGTATAGGGAGCTGAAATGCGCACTTGCGTACGTGAATAAGAAGTTGTCCCCATCGCGAAGGTCTAAACTGAACTGCCTACTTGAGTGCATGTGCCATGATCTGTCCTTCATCTGAAACTATTACCACCCAACAAACAACCCTCTCCTAATCAGGCTGATTAACCAAGACTACTGTCTGTACAGAGCCAGAAGGGCATTAAGGGTATTTGAGTATATGTTTTAACTTAATAGCAACTAAACCGCCCGAAACCACCTCTTTTTTTACTCACTGAACCGCCCATCCTTTTTCAACGCGCTATAGTATCCGTTCTAGGGTCTACCGTTAATAATGTTATACGTGCGTAATCCTTATGATGTCTACAGTAGGATTCTGCATAGAAAAAGAGCGGATGTTTCATATTGTTCACAAAAATGTCGAAATGAGAGCAATATTGCAACATCTTCCAGTGACTAATAGGCCATTTGTACAAAATCTCTAGTTGCTAATGGGTTAATATCCTTTCTGGAGCAAAACAGATGATATCACCAGTGTAGTCTTCAAAGACAAGAACAGCTACGTACCTGGTGACCCTTCCAGTTCCTTCTCCTTGAGTGCATGCGCCATGATCTGTCCCATTGCATAACCAGTGGTTGGAGGACCCACATTGGCATAGTGATCACTGCGGGTCGACTCCGAATCGGATGTTTCGTGATGCGATGGGCTCTCAGATCCGTTCTCTTCATTAGGCTGTTACAAGAAGGATTTAATAACATAGTCAACAGGGTTATAGAAAGTGAAACGCAAAAAAAACCCCACAAACTTAAACTTTCTTGTCTGTCAACTAAAAGAAGAACGATTACTTTTTGAGAAGGATGTAATAACATAGTCAACAGGGATATAGAAAGTTAATCAAACCTGTCTATAAAGGCCACCTGTCTACAGTCACCACTATTTGTGTTTCCCTTGAAGCATGTTCTGCAAGTGAACAAGTTACATCCATCAGGGACTGCATTAGACAGTTTAGACAACAATCAAACCTGTCTATAAAGGCCACCTGCGTACAGAAATGGACAGGTATAACTGTACGTCAAAGTTGATGCATTGTGCTTACCTCCTGGACCTGTATCATGACACCAGAGTCAGGGACGGTGGTGGCAAACCTCTCGGTAGCGTCCGATGTCACCGAGGACATTGTTGAGAGTATCCTCTGCTGGCAGCTGGCCTCGATGCTGTCCACGACGGCCAGTAGGGCATCCAGCGAGAGCAGATGGGTGGTGTACAACGATCCTGATACTGGAAACGCATTCTGGATAGACGATTCAAAATATGGAGTAATGTTACAGCAACCACATGTATTAAACCCTGCTGCACTACTTGTAGCTACTTGCACCCTCTATACAGCAAACAATGCCTAAGCGGGGACCATTGGTCCCCCATGGTCCCCTTTTTCTTATGTTAATTGAGAGCTGATTTGATGAGATAACCACCAGTCAGTGACCATGCAGGGAGGTCTAATCCCTCCTAGCCAAACTAGTACAGACGGGCTTTAATACAAGAGACTGATATATATATACCAAAGCGGTTGATAATTAGTTTTCTAAGCTGAAGCAACAAATTTTGAATATTGATATGCTTCTATAATTTCTTTGAATGTTATTTTTATGTGAATCATGTGCAATTTGCCATTATTGCTGCAAAATCTTAAATCTTTAAAGCCCCACTGTACTACTTATAGCTACTTGCACCCTCTATATAGCAAACAATGCCTAAGCAGTGACCATTGGTCCCCAATGGTCCCCTTTTCTTATGTTAATTGAGAACTGATTTGATGAGATAACCACCTGTCAGTGACATGCAGGAAGTTCTTATCCCTCCTGGTCAAACTAGTGCAGATAGGCTTAGTTTAAATAAACCATCAATCAATCAATCTATCAATCAAACATGATATCGTACCTTTGAAAGGAGATTGGTGAGGTTGTCGAACAGGTTACTGCAGTAGAGATCGCAGTCATAGTTGAGGTACAGTTCTGATACCAGGGACGGAATCTTCCACAACTGTAAAACAAGGAAAAATTCTCAGCGATTAAAAACAAACAATAACTATTGTACACAAAATACTCAGCACCATGTAAAATTGTACTAAATTATAATTTCATGCCTAAAAGACAATATCCAAAAGACCAAACACTAACTTTTGTCAAGTCTGGATTTTGCACCCTCTCACAATGTCAATTTATAATGTTACAAATTTACTTGAAGAGTGCCCAGTGCCATTTCCTTGAGACGATGATGTCCATGAACTTATAGTTTTTAACCCACAATCCCCAAGTTTCCACATCAAATGAAACTCCCCAAACTTCAAAACTCCCAAACGTTTTGTGTCACTCTTATAGTGTTGCCAATTTACCTGAACAAGGGTGTCCAGTGCCATTTCCTTCTGTTCGTAAGGGATGCGTTGAGACTCCGAGACGATGATACCTGTAAGTTTCTGGATGAACATCTCCAGCTGTAGCTTGAGATGGGTCCTCATCGACTCGAAGAGGAAGAAACAAACTCGGAGGGATGCGGCAAAGATGGACAACCTTTCCGTCTGGAGAAGCTAAGAGTTAAAGCGATAAATCAATTATTTTAGGATTTACAAGTTTACACACAAAAAAGGAAACAAACTCAAGAAAGATTGTCTTTCAAAGCTCACTTCTTCTACATGTAATACGAACTCAAGAATGTGATACCATCAAAAAAAACTTGTCTAAAGTTAGATAAATGTTCTGCATATTGTCAAATATCATGAAAGACACAAACTGTCTGCATCATAACTTTGCTAAAACATAAAACAGGAAAGGAAGTCTTAAAAAATTCTCACAAATAATCCCTGATATAACTCAGACATACATATAGTTTTAAAAAAACATCCATTTGGAAATCTCTACCAAGTGCTCTTTGTTCTCAAAATAACCCTGAGCTCTTCAAGAAACATCTCAAAACATATCTTTTCAATGATGCATTTAATTAATTCATGTTTCGTAGATTTATTTCAGATCATTATTTTTCTTGTTTAATATTGTTTTTTATCTTAAGTGTAGAATAAGATATTGATATCGTTTTGTATTTTTAAGTGTAGAATAAGGTATTACCTTGGATGTAAAGCGCATTGAGAGTTCTGTCAGTTCTGAAATGCGCTATATAAAAATGTATTATCATTATCATCTCTGGAAAAAGGAAATACTCTATCTGTACTTACTGCAAAGAGGTTTTTGCACATCTCATCTTTGATAAGAGCGATGAGGGTGGAGAAGGAGGGAATGTGATCGCATCCCGTTTCTACGGCGATGGTAAGGAGGCTTAGACCCATATGCATCATCAGATCAGTGTTGTGCCTAGGATACAAAAAAGATATCAATTCATTAATCAGAGATGTTCATACGTCGGTATATAATCGTCATGAAGTAGGGAACTTGGCGATCACCCCTGATCACTACATAACACTGAGCCAATGGGTATTACACTCCCGTGTATATGTCCGTGTGCTGCCTTCTATATACCCATGCTTAAGCGACTTTAAAGTCCATCATCTGTTCCTAGGGTGGTATTCTGAAATGGTTTTACCTTTTATGTTAGTCAAACAATGTTAAAGCCAGTGGGTCAGCAGTTTTGATGTCCTGAAGGTCAAAGTTTACTGAGGCCAGACTTGATGGAAACACCATTAATGGGTGTACACGTCAGCTCACAGCAGACCCGTAGGCCAATCAAGAAATACCCCCTCGTCTCTCAGAGAGTCTTTAGGTGATGCAAATGTTAGATAAGGACTTAACCATTTGAGGAACAGACAGAGCATTACATAAAGCTTGTTGGTCATAAAACAATAGGCTAATCCTGGTGATTGACAACACCTGTTATTGGGTAAACACACAAACAGTGTCAAATTTCCCATGAGAGCCCACTTTTAATTGTCAGAATAAATCAAAATTAGGACAGGACATCGATTAATGTCTGCACAAAGCTGGTTGCCTTTGGGTAATGTTAAAAGACAAATCTGTGCAAGCACCAATGGTAAGTGTTTGTTCCATGCAATTTCAGTTTGATGTGACAATTAAAATAATACATAAATATACTCTACTAAAAGCGAGGTATCCCTTTGCATAGATCAAAATGGTCAGGACTGCAATCAATAGTTTGACTTTGCAAAATTCAACTTAGGAAGTGTAAATAAGACATGTTTTGCATACTTTGGTCATAAAAAACTATTTGACTTTTGCATACTAATTATCTTATCTTAGGGACGTTGCGCTTCCAACATTTTTGTTTATTAAATGCACTGTTCCTACTACATGTATGTATTATATCACAACGTAACCCACTGAATTTTATTATCTGTAAACAATTATTTTGGTGCATAAATAAAACAAACAAACAAATAATAATTATCAGCTATGTTATCTTAGGGACGTTGCGCTTCAATCATTTTTTGTTTATGCACTGTTCCTACTTTGTATCATATCTCGATGCAACCCACTGAATTTTGTTATCTATAAACATTTATTTTACATGGTGAATAATAAAACAAACAATCAAACAAAAATAACAATAACAAAAAAAAATTAACAAACATCTAGTTATGCAGAATTGAGTGTACTTACCTGTCATGGGGGTTGATGAGGGAGATGAGAAACCTGAGAAGCTCCCTTACACACGGCAGGCCATACGGGATCGGTGGTCCTGCTCCTAGTTGGGAAAGAATATAATAAAATTAATAATGATCTGGATCTATATAGCTCTTAATACGGAATACCATCTTTAAGTGCTTTACAGATATTATTACCCCAGTCATCGGATTCATTCATGCACAATGTGCACCATCTCCACTGTCTTGGGAGTATTTCTACCATAAGGTCACCGTGAGGGCATGGGCAATTACTAACACAAATGTTTTCGTCATCCTACCCGGTCTCCATTTCTCTCTTGGGGATTGATTGGCAAATGTAGAGTAATGCCGTGCCAAAGGACATTAGTGCCGTGTCGGGGATCGAACCACAACCTTTGACTTTCAATATACATTCAAGCCATCTTGAATCATAAATCTACAAACAAATGGTAATCATTACAACATGTTTCATTCTCGATGTATGGGGTTCAATGTGTATTTTCAAATTACTGATGAACCTTGTTTTTTTATGTCATATATATATATATGAGATTGAAAATATGTTTAAAATAAATTTGACCCAGGTAAGTTAAATGGGAATCTTGCTGGAATTAATTCCTTAAAATGCGAGAGTTCCATAATGACAGTCATGAGAACTATACAAGAACCCACTATGATTATTATACATTAAATATTAAATTCATTGAGAAATAACATGCATTGTATGCTATTTAAATGGTTTTTGAAATTTCGAATTTCAATCATAAATATCTTGATAAACAGGTTTATAATTATGATTGCAGCATGAGTTAAATCCAAGATTTTGTTTAGAATCTAAGACAAAGACACCCGATCTCTTTAATTCACATGGCAGAGCTTAAAAAGATGGAAACAAATAAATTGAATTGCATGGTGGTACTGCTTACCATGTTTTTGTTTCTGTTGCGGTGTGAAGCGGATGCCCTGCGGATTGACGTACTCTGATTCGTGTAAAGACGCAGAGTCCGTGTTGGACTCAGTGTCTTCTGCACCGTCCACACCAGAGTCCGCCATCTCTTGGTCCGCTGAAGAAAGTTTGCCATCTTCAGTCTGGGCGTGCAGAGGGAGATAAGGGATATGAAAAGTCAAGTTTAAAGCCACAGTGTACTACTTTTTTTTATAGAAAACAATGCCTAATCGGTGACCATTGGTCCCCCATGATCCTCTTTTTCTTATGTTAGTTGAGAGCTGAGTTGATAATACATAATAATAATAGATAAGATTTGTATGGCGCCAAATCCACATGACAATCAAATGCTCATAACCACCTGTCCAGTGACCTTGCAGTGTGGTCTAATCCCTCCTATAAACTAGTACAGATTAGCTTTAAGTTACATTTTCATAACTTGAGAATCAAGTTCATCATTTACATTTCACGTTTTCAAATGACAAACCTTAAAAAGGTCATCATTTATATTTCAAACTTTGAATGCCAAGGCAGTCTCACTGCCATAATTGCAATATCTTATCACATATTGGACTCAGAAGAGCTTGTCTTTTGATTTATCATTATTCTGAATTCCCTGTTGAAACCAATAGTCCAATGGCTTCTATTGGTAAATCAAAATCAAAGTTAAAAACGGGCTGATGAATATCAACTTTGATACTATCGAACACTGTTTACATCACAATTATAATGAATAAATGGACCACAAAGAAAAGCTCTATTCTATAAATTTTAGTTCAGATACATGTTTGCAAACATAGTGGCACTAAAAAGGGGTTAAAGGTAAAGACCAGTATTGGAAACGCCCCATTTCAAAAAATGAAATGGAAGCTCTCATTACCAATCATGTGAAAGAATATGTTTTGAATAATACATGATGATAAAAAAATTGCCGGGAAACCGCCTACTAATTCATATATTTGGTAAATTTGTTTCTCTCATGGACTGTGAGAGATATAGGGTAGTCCCATATACATCTTTCTGTGTATAGTACTTGTAACTTTATGAAGAATGGGCCAAATTCCTTATCATTTTGATGATTCCAGAACCTTGCAGATGCTAGATGCTAGATGATCAACCTTTTCTGATCGATTCCACAACGTTTCTTTCACAATGCAATTGCATGACCATAACTGGTCTTTACCTTTAAGATAAGTTGCTTAACTCTAGGCCCCCCCCCCCCCAACGATCTCGCGAAGATTTGCATGCATGTCAAGTGAAGTGTATAGATTACTATGGTAATTTGCATATTTGATGGAATTTCAGACATTTTACACTATCATATTGAAAATCCTCAAGAAGTGTCTCATATAATGGAATGTCTGCACTCAGAATTTGGTATCTATTTACTTCAGATCTTAACAGTCATCTTCTCAGAATCAGTTACATTAATCCAGGTCCCAGAGTGCTGGATGTGATTAATTCAATGTGTGCACGCATTGTGAGTATTTATCTGCATTGTGCTATGCTCTAACGAATCTGATTAAGCTAATCTCTTAATCTTGACGGTATTATCTCGGGGGTTGAAGCGCTATTGTGTACTTACAATAGTATGGAAAGAGGTAATGGTCTATTAAAGTCAAGTAGTGGCAAAAAGCTTTCTGGATACTGTCCAACAAACTGTGGGTGCCCGGGCACTCTTTGACTCACCCTGGGGCCTGCCTTACAAAGAGTTGCGACTTATCCAAATCAATCACAAATCCTCCAATCAATCGCAAGTTTGCAGTCTCCTATCTCTTATGTACATAGTTGCGATTGATATCAACTCTCTGTAATATGGGGCCCAGGCCTACACAGGCAGCATTAATTCATTTAGTCTCTGCTCCCTAGAGACCAATATAACCCCATCCATCTATGGTGTCTCACACTCCCTGATATAGGCGCACCCTTTTCATATTCTCCTTCATCTACATATACTTTTCGTATAAAAATTGTGTATCCTACCTTGCTTTCATCCAGTCGCTGCTCGCCTGAAACAATTATGACCCCACCCATTTGTGTTAAATCGCTCTCTGAAATTGAGGCATCCTTTTACTATTTCCCTCCATCTCATATACATTTATATTTATACTTCAACCTTTATTGAAATTGTGTTTCCTACCTTGATTTCATCCAGTCGCTGCTCGCCTGAGACTGATATGACCCCGCCCATCTGCGGTGTCTCGCATTCCGATGCAGAGGCATCCTTCCCATCTACCCCTCCTTCTCCCGTTTCTGGTATTGCTAGGGATGAGGGTCTGTCCAGGTCCTGAGCTGACTGGGATTCATCTCCGCTATCTGTATTCAGACAAAGCAGATACTCAAAAGAATTAGATACTAATTGATGTAGGTTTCAAATTCTAAGCTCTGGTGGGTGTTTCATAAAGCTGTGCGTAAAGTTACAAATGACCTTACAAATGATTTTAATATGAAATGCCAAATAGGATGCCCCCAAAAAATTCCTGACATTTTAACAAAGTGTGACTGTATTCCCATAATATCAATTAAATTGTAGCCAAAAATACACTTTGCATTAAAATGTTTTGTTAATAATGATAAGCTTAGTCTACATCTTCAGAGTGCAATGAATTAATCTGGACTTCATCTCCACCATAATACTTCATTCTCGATGAATACTGAATCTCTATCTACATACCTCTTTCTGAACTTTCCTCTGGTATACTCTCGGCGACGCCCAAAGACTGTACCGAGCCCGTCTCTCCCTGAGCCTGGGAGGCGGGACCTGAGGACTGAGGACTAACCACTGTAGCAGCAGCAGCAGAAGGGGAGGGCCCATTGGAGGGTGCAGAAAGGGAGGGGGAGGTTTCCTCGATAGGGGTGGTGGAGAGGCGGTTCTTTCCCTGCCGGACCTTGGGGGACTGGCGGGACCTCCGCCTCCTTGAGGAGTCTCCGATGCCACCTGCCCGCATCTTCAACTGGAATCGGAAGAATAATTGAAATTCACTTTTACTGATAAAAAGTCAAGATATGTGGCGACAATATGGCTACACAAAAGGCATATCCTACCGTTGATAATTAACATGTTGATTACTCATAATTTATTCCATCAGAAATTTGTTTTAAAGCCCCACTGCACTACTTATAGCTACATGCGCCCTCTATACAGCCAACAATGCCTTAGCGGTACCCGTTGGTCCCCCATGATCCCCTTTTTCTAATGTCTATTGAGAGCTGATTTGATGAGATAGCCACCTGTCAGTGACCATGCTGGGATGTCTAATCCCTCTTGGCCAAACAAGTGCAGACAGGCATTAAGTGAAATTAAAATCAACCATTAAAAAAAAATTGGTAATGATGTGCATTATATATATCACTTTGCCAATTCATACCCATGCAATATACTGAATGTAAGGAGATATTAACTTATATGTTTGTATCTTAAATATTTCTGGATACATTGCTAAATTCCTGTCAGGAAAACCCATGATAATTTAGAGAAAGCAAGGAGTCTTGACAAAATAATAGCAACACAAAATCTGAATCACTTTGTCATAAGTTTCCCTTTATTCATTTAAAATCTTGTTACATTGAACTTTACTCATGACGCCTTTGAAAGAAATACATATGTAGAATGATAGGCATGGCCGCATGGGCAATGTTTTTTAGAGATATATTTACCTTTCTGACTCCAGATAGTTTCTCTTCCTTGAATTGAGGTAGTCTTGAAAACAACAATTGGACCATATCATTCAGCGTGTGCTCAGCTGACTTCCTTAACAGTTCTACAATCATACAAACAAAGAAAAGTATCGTCTTAAAAAAAAATAATCTTGGAATGATAGTGTAGTTATCATGATGTAGTATAGTTATCACACCTTCACAAGTACAAGTACAGTATGAAAAGTTTATTGCAACATTTTCCACACATCTCTGTACTCTGTCATTCAAGTAATTCATCTACCAAGTTATTTTAATTATAAACGCGCATATAAAATTTATAATACATATTTTTAGTATTGATAGATTAAAGAGAAGGTTGAGTTCTAGGAAGTGGTGAAAAATAATTTGTGAGCGTTATTGTTGCAAGTGTGAATGTCCCATGAAAAGCATGGCTCTTCCAATGCCTTCATATTCTGAATATGGCATGCAACATCATAAAAATCAGGAAGGAACTTTATACCACATGATCGTGTAGTCCCATATACATCTCTCTGTGAACAGTGCTTGTAACTTTACCAAGACTTGGCCAAGTTTCTTATCATTTTGATGATTCCAGAACATTGCAGTACACACCGATACTTATATGCTAGATGATCAACCTTTTCTGATCGATTCCACAACTTTTCTTTCACAATGCAATCGCATGACCAGAACTTAACTTTATCTTAGAGTTTGATACGACTGATAGTTGACTTACCACTGAGTCTAAGCTCAAAGCAGATGCGGAAACACGATGGCATGATCTCACAGACGGCTTCATTGGACAGTAACATTCCCACCGGTGTCAGGAGCAACGTTCTCAGAACCTTGACAAAAAAATAATAAGAGTAATACAGAACATGGTAATTTTAAAAATAAGGTCTGGCAATGCATACCAATATCAGGAGGGTGCAGTCCCTTTTGCAACAATCATTTCACATTTTGTGGTTTGACTCAATAACTCTTGATTCATAGCCCTAAAAAGTATGCCAGATGCATGATTACACAAGTAAAACTCACTACACACTAATGTCTACTGAGCCTGATCACAAAGACTTTGGAGAAATCAATTCGGGCAATTTTTATACCCTATGGTATGTCACAATATATTACAATAGCTGGTAGAAGGCTACTTAAATTGCCACAGGTCTATCTTTCTTAATTTATTTTTCAATTCATTTATTTCCACAATCTCATATAATATTCAAAATACATATGAGATATCTGAAGTGGGAGGATCATGAAAAGCACATAAATGAATTGTTAAAAATGATCCTTGCAAAATATACAAAGAACAATAACTTTTTTACATAAAATCAATATTACCAAAAAAAAGGAAAGATAAAGAAAATAGAGGAAAGAAGGAGGAAACATTGCATTAAACATAAGTTATTAGAATTTTTCAAAATGTTGAGATATATACGGTTTCCACCGATAGATGATTTACCTGGAGGATCTTCATGAGGACGACTTCATCAGAGCTAGGATCGGTCCCGACGAACCTGGTGTGTGTTACAGCATCAGCTATGTTCTCAATGCCTTGTGCTGCTCCTCCTATACTGGGATCTACATGTAGAGGGGAATAGATAAAAGAGGGGGCATGATGACTCGAAGGAAATGCAAAGGTCTTGAAACCCGTTTCAAACAATATCTATCAATTTATGCCATTTGGTAAGGCTCCTTGAAATATGAAAGATAAACAAGGAGGAATTATGGTTTGGCTCAATAGCAGAGCAGTGGTCTTGTAACATTGCCCTATTAAAAATGTAGTTCTACTTTAAGCAAGTCTTTCTTAATATAGTGCAAGAGTCTCATCAGATCAAAATATAATATTAATAATAATATTTCACTTTTATATAGCACTTAATACATCTACAATGTCTTTTATATTAGATTTACATATAACTAGGAACCATCATCTGCATAACACAGATAATTATTTTAGTCTGCATCATAATTCTCTATGAACATACATGTATGTTCTAGTTTATTCCTTATAAAAGCCCAAATCAAATGCCCCTATTCCTCTTACGGAGTTGAACTATTAGTAAACTTCAGTTGAAGCCCGTCTGCACTAGTTTGGCCAGGGGGATTATACCTCCCTGCAAGGTCACTGACAGGTGGTTATCTCATCAAATCAGCTCTCAATTAACATAAGAAATAGGGGATCATGGGGGACCAACAGGCACCGATTAGGCATTGTTTGCTTATATAGAGGGCAAAAGTAGCTTGAAGTAGTGCAGTGGGGCTTTAATACAGCTTAGGAATAACAGTACTGTAGATTGCGAGTCTTACCCAAGAGACCATACGAGAGAAATTTGTTGACTGAGGAAAGCGCCAAACCGGTGATAGGTCCAGTCGTGTCATCTGAGCGTATCACATCAAGGAATGGGCCTAGAAATACATTAGGCTCAATGGCACCAAGTTCTATAAAAAAGGTGAAACAAAATCATGTTAATGTAATTACAATTATTACAATGTCTTTCTTTACTGGCATATTGTCTATATTTTGAACGAGCAAACAGATTATGTTTCATGATTTCTTGCGCATCTTAGTTTTCATTTAAACAATTGTGCTGATTCAGACATTCTTTCTTTGTTTTAATCACTACTCCATTAACTGGCATCTATTGAAAGATAATTTTGTGAGGAGCAAAAACTATTAATAATTATAATAATAAAAATGGTGCTTATAAAGAGCTTACCACTTAAGTCTCTAAGCGCTATAACAAACAAATACAATGATAAACAACTACATATTAAACAAAACAAAAAGAAAATGCAAATAAACCTACAAATTACAATACATATGAAATATACATCAATGTAATCAGAGAAAGTTAATCATCAAAAGCAATTTTGAATAAATGTGTGGTTATGTGTCTTAAAAACAAGTTTTAAATTGGTTAACAGTCTGACAGAAAACCAGAGGTATACAACCCAAGTATGATGATAATGGGTTTTATATTCAGGGCACACCTCTCAAACAGGAAGACTCAGTCTTTCATCAAATACTCTCCTTGAAACTCATGTGCAAATATAATGCAATCTACTCCCACATGAAGTGTTCCGCACCATTAATTTCTGATGGGTCTGTCTCACCTTAATGCCCTATTTTTGTTGATCTCTTTCTCAGGGTAATAACTCTGAAGTGCTCTAGTTGATGAATCGACTGCATACTACACACTATTTGCCTTGTCCCCCACCCCCTCCCCTTTTTTAAAAACTTGATTCATGACATACTTCTACTTTAGATTAGCACGTGCAGGAGGAAATGACATGAGCATAATTCTGTCAGGGAGATATTCATCAAAATGCCCACATTTAAAACCAACACAATGTAGCTGAAAGTATACTGTATTCTCATATTCTAAAAAAAAAGAAGATTATGGACATGACATGAATTACCTTTCAATTCTACCTCTACTTTTACTGCTTTTAGAATGCCGGAAGAATTAATGCATACAGCGACTACAGCCCGATATAACAGCATATGTTTTTATCATTCTTGCATTGATTGACAATTATCACTATACAAGCTGTGCAAGTAATTACATGTAGCATTTGGCATACTGGCATAGGTATTCAATCTTGACTGTTTTTGTGGGTTAATGTTTACATATTTGTTTGCACATGATGTTGGCACCATGGCGCTAATATTAGCTACAATATACTAGCTTTGTCACGTACATGTACTGTATATGAATGCAATAAAAAAACTTATACATTAGTCTCCCTTCAATGCAAAGTCGTTTCATTTTTTATTGTAGTTCTAAAATAATTATGAAATCACAGATTGCAACTATTTATTTAGTTAATCTTTTTTTAATGAAGTGCTCTTTGGACATTCCCAAGCTGCTGCTCCATTGGAGTTTTAACAGACAATACAATATATTCCTTTCACAAAAACAGCAGATCTAGATGGATAAAAATAGCACCAGCATGCGTGAAAACAAGGCTAGCATCCCTCTGGTAATGACAAGTCTTTTCTAATGCATATACCAGGTGAAATACTATGACATGGCCATGAACAGCACTGCAGATGACACTGTGTACCATGTGTAGTACAAGGCAGTAGTTGCAATGGCTTTTTAACACTTCAAACCATTTAAGTACCAAAGTAGCTGTTGTTACTTGTTTGTGTCAACCAATTCCTGCTCTTACATAATTACTGAAAGAGAAGGTTGAGTTCTGGGAAAGGTGGAAAATAATCTGTGAGCTTTTTCATCCCTTTTATGTTAGTTTGGAAGAGTATCATATAAAAAATTTCCACTTGAAAAGGATGGCTCTTCAAATGGCCTCATATTCGAAATATAACAAGTAACAGCTAATACTCCCTTCACATACACAGATTTTCCTTACGAGTCCTTACAGATCGCCAACCTGTAGTCAATCGCAATCATCCGTAAATTACTCGCTGGTATCCGTAAATAGCTCGTCACAACTCACAACAACTCGCAGACACTCGTAAGGATCCGTGAAAGGAGAGGCAATTTTTTTGACATGTCAAAAATCTTCTTACGATTGTCTACGGATTTATTTGTCTGTAAATAACTCGTAAATAGGTTGTAACAATCCGTAAGTATCTTAAACTGCTCGCATCACCACGTTACTATCCGTAAACTGCTCGTAAGAATTCGTAAATGACTCGTAAAGATTTCTTTAACGATTTGTTTCGGTTGGTTTACGATTTGTTTACGGATTATTTACGGACTACCTACGGATTATTTACGCATTATTACGAGTGCTTACGTGTGGTAACGAGTAATTTAAAAATAGATATGTATACTTTAATTATTCTTACGTATCGTTTACGTTTTTGGGGAAAGGTATAAAAGCTGCAAATTTGAACACTTCATTTTCAGTTGTTATTTTTTGGTTAAAAATCGTAAGGATTCGTAAATACTGTAACTATTCGTAACAACACGTTAACAGGTCGTTACTAAAACGTAAGTTGCTCGTAGTTATCCGTGACAACTCGTAACAAATCGTGAAATTCTGCCGTAAGTATTTCGTAAGAACTTGTAATAATCCGTAACAAACCGCAAATAGCTTGTAATAACTCGTAACAACTCTTAAATCGGTCGTAAAAGTGGCCAAATCGTAAGGATCCGTGAAAGATCCCTGAATTTGTGCAATCCGTAAGGACTCGTAAGAAAAATATGTGTATGTGAAGGGGGTATAAAGGTTGTGGACATCAACTTTCATGCCACATGTTTGTGTCGTCCCACATACACATTTCTGTGTACAGTGCATGGGACTCTTTGCAAGACTGAGCCAACTTCCAGTCATTTTGATGTCTCCAAACCCCACAGTATACACCAGATATGCCAACCTCTACATTCAGCTTTCAGGAAGGTTTCTATCAATTGCATACAGCATAATAGGAATAATCTTTCAAAAAATCAGGGAGGCATTAAAATTTGTGTGGAGTGACGTACAACAACAACAAAACAATTTCAGGGAGCCTCCCGGCAAATCGGGGAGGGTTTGAATCTCTGTATACACCCATACTATGTGCTACATAATCAACCTTTCCAATTGCTTCCACACAGGAAGTATTGCATGACCAGAACTCGACTTTATCTTTAAACAACTTTTCTGTATACATGAATATAACATCCCTTTCATATGCTGAAAGAGTTTTCATTTCCTTGTCTCATTATTGACTCGTGTCATTTGATCTGATCATTGCTCTAAAAGCATTACTTCTATCACTTCAATTATTTTATATATGACGTAAAACTTGTACATGAATCATGAATACTGTTGGAAGAATTAAAGGGGGTGCAGCATGACGAGACTACATGTACGTGTCTTTCCTGTGGCCTGACTCGGGGCCAATCGGGTATAATACGACTATGAACGACATGACCGCAGTATTCATGTGCGTGCAACATACACAATACGTACAGTTGTCCAAAAGAAGTCGTAGATGGCGTTAACCAGTTTTTGCCATGCTACACCCCCTGTAAAATAAGGGGGAAATGTCAACATACCTGCAATACTGTTAAGGATTGCTTTCAACCTTGAGAAGTTTACCAAGAATGGATCTTGCTCTTCCTCCTGGAGATAAAACAAAAGAAACAAGAGCAAAGAAGAGGGCATAAAACAACTTACAAACAGCAATATTGTCAATCTACTTTGGCAGAATAAAAACTTTAAGGATCTTGCCATCCAGTTAGTTTTCTACTTTAATAACTAAAAGTGATAACATTCTATAATTTCTCTCCAGTTGCATTTTATTTGAAGAATACAGGTAAAGCTAGATTTTCACAAGTCATTTTCAACTAAAATTGGCATCACAACTAGTTATTGAATCTGACACTACCAGGTACCTGAATCTCGATATTCATCCCTCTTCTCTTTAAACATGACAAATGTACACCATAAAACATCCCTATTTTACAATCGGGGGGGGGGGGGGGGGGGGGGGGGGGGGGTCTTTTTTGTTGTTGTCTGCTTCATCTAATTCTAAATCGATTAGTATTACCACTTGATTTATTCACTACAATTGACAAACATTGCCAATCATTTCACCAGTTTGTTCTTCAAGACCAATTTACTGCATTCACTGACCTGGGGAAGATGGGTCGTCCATCTTGAACTCCGTCTCATCGCCGTGACAACCAACTGCATCTCTCCTTGGACGACATAGATGCCATTCTTTGGTGGGGCGATCTTAAATGCTGCCATTTTTTTGCTGAAGACGCCTTCTTTCAGCTGGAGCTAATGAGGACCAGGATTTGGTTTTCTTGTCCTCTAGTAATCAGTGCTGGGGTAACTTGGCAACTAAATTGGGTCAAAGGTGACGAGGTCAAAGGTGAGGACAGAGAGAGAAATAGAGCACTACACAGTGCAATGACCCGTTACATCCTTGGAGCTTCTCTGTTGATCTGAATTCAGGAAGAGAAAAGAGAGAGAAGAGAAAGAGAGTAAACATCTGCACAATGGCTCATTGAAGAAGAAAAAAACATATACATGTATGATTTTCAAAACAGAATACTTGCAATAAGCAAATTTGATATGTCTGATAAAAAAAGGATTTCTTCTAACCTGAACTGCAAAGGGATCACCTAGGCTCAAAATAATATGAGCAGATTCCTCATGAAATATTACCTTTTCGTCCATCTACTTTAAAAAATCACTGTCTACTACTCTACATTTGTTTCAATAACAAGTTTTGTTATGATTCACACAAGAAGACAATGGGCTATACTGACTTTGGAAAGGAGATATTTTGGCTAGGAAAAATAGCCTTCTAGGTAATCACTACTACGTTTTTTTGTCGATTCTTTTTTCTTTTGTAAGCTAAATCTGAATGGCTGTGCACCTCTAATGTTACTACTGCTTGTCAGCTTGCATTTGTATGGTAGTATGACCATAATTTGTGTACGACCTCTTAAGTTCCCGCACTGTTCCAATCCATATCTCAAAAAACGGCAAGATTTCATGATTCTGATACCAACCATTTCTGATTAAATTGAATTGAATTGAATTGAACCATATAAAGAGGAACCTAAATTTACCAAATGACAAAATTCCCTTTAAATCTGGGTAAGAAATCATGAAAATATCAACAGAAGATCAGCAAATTTTGCGTCCATGCCAAACAAAAGAGAAGATGTCATCGAAATTGTGATTAAAAAGGGATACTAACTGATTTTGTCTTCCAATTCAAGTAATTATTTTACTTTTTTGGATCTGCTCTACTGGAGAAATCAGATGGAAACTTTTGTGGCTGCCGATTGGACATCAAATTTTAAGATCGCGATATTGCTGGAATTGATGGCTGAAAAGTGAAATGACACACTGAACAAAACACCTTTTGTAGTCTTAAATGTTGCTATCCATTTGGCAGTAGTCTTCTAATTGATCCAAATAGATTTGTGTAGAATTTGAGAAATTATAGATCGAATATCACATTCCTTTTCTTTTTTTCTTTTTTTTTGTTGAAGTGTGCAAACTTTGGACATCCCATTCATCCTAGTTCCTATACCTCGTTCGTATGAGTGGCAAGTTTGATGACAAAACCATGAAAACTATGTTCAACTTCACGACTTTTATTTTTGGCCCAAACAAATTCTCTCATTCCCAGTTCCACACAATCAGAAATGACATACTAATGACATGTTGTTATGTCTGACGTGTATTTCCACAATGCTTATGTCATGTCAGCTAGCGCCAGCGGCAGTGCGATGTGCATACAGTACTAGTTACTACATTGACGAAACGGCAGCCAATCATACCATACAGACAGTGTCAATCACCAAGTCGGTCACACACTCGTCAAAACGATTATCGTTTCACAGTTCTTTCAAAACAGTTTTCTGAAAGCTTAACACTTATTTAAGTCAACCACAGTGTAACGAATATAACTGTAATTTATTTCACAAATTCATACTCACCAGCTCTCATAAAACAGCAAAATATGGTGAAAATACGATTCTACATTGACATCCACAGTGCGAACGAATACCGGCGGCGATTTCGCATAGCATTATCGTGTGTACTAAATTATCAATCGCCTTTCCGAAAATGACGTGGTGCGCATGTGTACAATATGGCTGACGTAGCGAGGAGACTGGTGCAGAAACATAGTTCAATGACAATAGTGCGTGTCCTAGCCACGAAGCCGAGTTTCAAACTATGCGAAAGATGGGTTTTATTTTGTATTGACAGAATGATCTTTGAGTGGGTAGTGAGGGGAGGCATGGATGGGAGTGTCTTGGTAGTTTTGGGGTAATACCACCACGCACTTCCCTCCGAAAAGGATTCCCCCAAAAACAATATTTGGAGAGATGACCCAACCACCCATGTCAATAATTCAATTTGTGTTATTAAATTCGTTTCATCTGTATAAAACAGAAATTGCACGATTAAGTTTCCAAAAATTCCCTATTTCAATCAATCAGGAATATATTTCCATGATATTCCTATGGGTTTTGTTCATCGATAAACATGTATCAAGCTGCTGTATATAGATGAGGTGGTGTGTTTTTTGTATCTTGGTATATTTACCCGAGGCATTAATCTGCCACTAACCGGTACTAGATAAAAAGTTTGTCAGATTTTCAGTTTTGAATTTGATATACTTTCTTAGAAGTTAGGCCTCTCATTTTTGTTTAAAGGTAATACAAAGTTTTGGTAATATTTCAACAACTTTGAAAATAATTGGGCTCTAAAACGCTAAGGATTTCGGGAAATTAAAATATCAAATTTATCGGTGCTCCCGATAAATTTCAAATAGCGTCTACGCCGTCATATAATGGTACATTCGACCATGAAAATCTCTGAATATGCAGTTCTGATATAAATTTCCAAACGGGAAAAGAAAATCGATTTTAGTCAAGAAACTTGTTTTGGAGCTAAAGTAATATCAATCTTGAGAGCCTGAAGCTATACAACATGGGATTTTTTTTCTCACAACTTCATCACTTTAGACCCGATTTCAACGATCAATAAATATTTCAGGATCGCATCTATAATGCTTCCAATATCATGATGTTCGTTTGAACCTAATTCATGACCCCATACCAAAACTTTGTATCACCTTTGTAATATTACAATGCAAGTTCTGTATCGCATAATATTAGGCTACCATCTTGTAATTCAAGAACACGAAATATCTGATGATTGCAAATTTGGAATGCAAAACTAGGTTGTTGTCTGACCAGGTGAGAGCGAATCCGACGCATTTAAACACTCAGTATTGATTAACGTGGAAACCTTTGGACACCAACCTTCATTCTTTCATGACTGCTCGTCCCGGGCCCATCACAAAATGTAGGCCTACATATTTTTACTCTCTATATAATTCTCTGGATTGATTATGTCTCCCGTGTTTTGTCATTGCCTGTATGCTTTCTTTTTATGTCTTATAGTTCTGCCCCATAACTTTATCTTGTCATATATATGCTCAAATTGAGAAGAGAAGAAATATATAAAAATAAAGAATTTAATGGTTATAAATTGGAAAGGAGGCATAAAAAGAAGAAAAGACGACTTCCTTCTTCACCCGCCTCACCCTCCCTTATAGTTGCCTTGGTCATTCATATTTTATTCAGTGAATAAGATGCCCCCCCCCCCCTCGATTATACGTGCATATAATGCAGAAAGGGAGGAAGGTTGAGTGAGAGAAAGAGAGAGAGAGACAGAGAGGGGGAAAGAGAGACAGACAGAAAGAGAGGGAGAGAGAGAGACAGACAGACAGACGGACAGCCAGAGGAACAAACAGACAGAGATAGAGACAGAGAGACGGGTGGAGGGAGATAGAGAGTGAAGGGGGGGGGGGGGCAAACTCAAATATAAAACATTAACAATTGTCCTCCACATTTGAATATACCATATTTATTGATAACTCTTCAAGATTTATCATCATCCTGCCCTGCATTTTCAGCTAAAATAACCAGATATCTGAATAACAAATACACCTGAACTACATACATTTGCATATTTATATTCAAAACATGATTAACTGAACAAATATTTTCAAACAATAACATGTTTGTTATCTGTAGCTAGGCCATTTTCAGTTCTTTTTTTTTGGACCTTGAAAAGCATACTAAGCGAGTTTTTGTATCAAACATATCATTTTTTAATACTTTTGAATGCAATTCCATGTAAATAAAAATAAACATCTCAATTAAAGGCACATTTCTTTATTGTGGATACTTTCACAGAATTCTATTCAAGAATAGAATATTCAATTCAGGGTGTATATCTTTACTCTAAATACTTCAATTCTTTACACATCCATATACAGTAAATAGAATTTAAATATATTCCAATTCTAGGCCTACATCAGTCTGACTACTTTCTTTACATTTCCAAATAAATTGAACGTTTATTTCAGTTCAAGGCGCATATCTTCTTTCACTTACAAAATTATTCAGAATGGTATCCTGAAAGTACAAATTTATTACAATATGTTGACATTATAATTTTATGATAAATGAACAGGAATGGACGGATGATTAGAAATTTCACTCATAATTATTGTAGCATGGGAGAATCAATAATTTCCAAGTATCATAAGATGTTCTTATCTTTACAACAATGGTATTCTGAAAGATATAAGAAACAATTTCGACAGGCATAATAGTCATACCAACTTCAATTTCTTATAATATTGACAGGCATAGTATAAGTAGTCATACCAACTTCAATTTCTTATAATACTTTATTAATAAAATATACTGATAAGTTTGAAAATCACTAAAGCAACAATGAAATTATGCTTTCACAAGATATATATTTGTTACTTTCCAACGCTTATAATGATAAATTGGGTTATGATCAGTATTCAAAAGTGCTACACATTAAACTTCTTGTGGAAATGAAAAATATAAAAATGTCAACAATTCTGATATAATTCTTCTAGATATGAGGTATGGATTATGTTACAAATTGTGTGAGGTCTGTGTGTACTATCTGACCAGATTCTACTGCAGGAAGGAAAATAAATTTGCATATTTTTAGAATTGCAATGACAGTTTAAATACTGTAAAGTTAAATTAAAAATAGATGCATAGGGCCATAGCTAGTAGAGAGACAACTGTGCCATGCACGGCTCAACATATGCCCGGTCAAAGGTCAATTCATGGATACAAAAAGAGTTCTCTCTCACTATGTCATCTATATAACCTATGCCAAGCATTAGCAGGATGTTAAGACAGGGGAAAAAAGAATTGTCTGATAGCAATTTAAGGCCATTTTAAAGATAAGTTTAAAAGAACTAATTTTAAAGAAAAGCAGAGTGGAACCTGATGCGCCATGTACATGTACCGGGTAGGTGAAATTCTTTTAGAACCACTCCCCATCTTTTTTTAAAACATTTTCAATACTCAACTTTATAGAAAATAGACAATTTTACAAAAATGATGTACACAAAATTTATTTACATAATACAACTTTTAATCTTAAATTACAGGTATAATATTACACAAAATGCTCTTGGGATGTCCTTGTTGACTTGCATGATGTAATAATGTTTCATCACGTCCTCAATGATTTCCAAACTGAGTAGAGTGGGGGAGTATGAGTAAAGCTCACATTTCCCGGAGAAGAGCACATGATTTCCATCACAAAATGAGGTCCATTTACTAAATAAATATTTTCCTCTGGTATTTAGTAGGCTTTCTGAACTGCTTCCAGGGCTTTGTGGCAGTGATCATCTAGCTTTCCGTCTCCTCCTGCATAAGACAGAGATTAAAAAGGGATACAAATGTAAAATGCAACATTTAAAGTAGTCACCCTAAGCAAATCATGACAACTGATATTTATGGACAAATTATATATGGGTTGAAAGATTTTCTCTTGAAAAACACGAATAATTTGCTGAAAAAACATGGAAAGGCGTAAAATGCAATTTTGTGGCTAGCTGTGTCTCGCATGTGACGTCACAAATCTTGATGTCTATGGAGGACCGCTGAAGCCTGATTACTGCAGGCCCTAAACATATTTTGAAGAGGAAAGTTGTTATATTGGATCAGTAAGGCTTCCCCTTTGCAATGATATGAATTTTTCATCAATCCAAAACACTTTTGATTTTTCAGGTGACTATTCTTTCAGAGGTCGGGGCTATGGTCTTGAAAAATGAGGGCCCTTGGTTCAATACCAACAATCTAATTGTACTGCATTATTGTTTCCAAGAATAGCAGGTAAAAATGAACATCTTGCATCACTGGATGAATAATTAAACGATTGCTATCGACTTGGAAGTAACAACCACATCAATGATGATTATGATAATGAAAATGACGATTCAACAAAATCAATTCAACATTCAACAACAAGGAATAAAGGTGTTAGAAGGTTAAAATGTGGATAATCTCTTTACTTTTTCTTTGGTTTCCCCCTATCTTTTCCTTTTTTTTTTTTTTTGTTGGACTAATTTAAACGTACAATAAGGTTTCTAAAAGTATGCAGGTTTTTTTCTAGATATGGATTTAGTCTTCCTATTCCTCATTTTTCTATCTTTTTACAATCAAATAAGTTTTTTTTAAAGGAGACTGCTCTTCTTTCAGGACTACAAACGTAAACTCATTTAATAACATTATTCTTAGAATATACACTATGATAGAGGGATATTGAGAGACATTTACCATAATCAAGTTCCAGGATATCACAATTGTAAACCTGTTCTCCATTCACGATTAACTCAATAACATTCCAGTCTTTGATCTCTTCCAACTCCACAGTGTGACCGTTCTCCTCAAGAAGGGCTAGAGTGATATACAACAAAAAAGTTCAAGATTAATTTGATTTGGTTCGATTTGATATGTTTTATTATAAAAAGAACATACTGTTTTTCAAAATAGCAGTCATAAGTCTGAAACAAATTAGATTTAAAACTTAAGAGAATATGGTGTATTAAAAGTTGATTTGATAAGATACAACAATGCACACTCAAAAAGTGCCATTGAATAACAACATCGACACAGAAATGAAAGCGACAGATCAGACAAAAGTAAATATAGAGACCACAGTAGATGTAAACAACTAAATTCAGGATTGAGATTTCTCTTTTATCATTTTATTCCAGCCAGTAGGTCATGATAATCTTGTCCTATTGTTTTAATTCTAGTAGACAATCTAGACCTTTTTAAATGAAAACAAAAAGTTGATGGCTTCCTGAAAAATACAGGGTGGCAGAGCCACTACTCTTGGCATTGAGAGACTGTCTCTATTTTTGACAGATATTTTTGTCAATATTTAATTAAAGGAGAAAGTCTCCCAATAACTTATATTTATTTAAATAAGGATCCCATTTAAAAATTAAAGGATTTGCTTGTACTTGAATCAACTTCAAGTTGAAAATGTGATTATTCTAATTTATGCTACGGTCTCAAAGGTTTGTGCGAACGATGATTTCGTACGAATCTCTGTTTTTCCATTGTCTTCCCGAATTTCCATTGTCTGAAAATCGTTCGTACAGCGTTCATAGCAGCTCGTAATGGCATTTGTGACCGAGGCTTAAATAAAGCCCGTAATTAATTAGATCTAGTATTACTAGATTACCAACAAAATCACTTATACATGTACAAGGTTATTGGAAATGCCACAACTTTGTGTTTTAATAAAAAAATTGTGTGTGACAAAAATAAAATAACAACAAAGTAATAAAAAAATATTTTAAAAATTGGCAAAAACAAAAAAGGCAAAACTCCAAAAGGCAAAACCAAATAACAAAAACTAGATCAAGGGTCTAGACCTGTAAACAAAATCAAAACAAAATGAGGCCTCTAAAATTCCCAAGTTATTACGATTTTTAGAATTTAATAGGCAACAAATTAGAAGAATAAGAAAGAAAATGCGATTAACTAATTTGAAACTAAATTGAAATGTGAGGGACAGATAACTAACAATATTTTGAACGTATGGGACTGGGTAAAAAAAGAATTACCTCGTAAACCACTCAGTCTTTGTGCTCTGTGAGCTGTTACTCCACAAGCGTGATATGGCCCATACCTAACCGTCACAACAGTGTTTTCAGGCATTTTAATAGCACAAAATCCAAAGTTTTTCTTCTTTATTTACAGCTAGCTGTGAAGTTTCCCAATATTTTTTCTTTCTCGGCGTTGTTGTTGTCAACGGTGACGGTCAGATCAAAATTCTATATAGCGCCATCTGATGGCGTAAATAAGCACGTCTTTCACTGAGCTAGCTCTATACGTGGGTCATCGGATACAAACTAATTGCAAATTAATTTTAAAACATGTGCATGGTTGATCCAGGATTTTGTAGCTGGGCAATATCAGAGGCGGCGCTCCGGGGGGGGGGGCAGGGGGTACAGTGCCCTCCCACTTTTTCAAGTACCCCAAAAGTGCCCCTTTTTACATAGGAAAAGTGCCCCTTTAACTTTGTAAGAAGTGCCCCTTTTTACATAGGAAAAGTGCCCCTTTTACTTTGACAAGTGCCCCTATTCATTTATAAAGATACCTCTTCCCCTTTCCACCTCTGATAAGTGCCTGTTTTAATCTCTAGTAAGTTCCCCTTTTCAGGTACGAGAAGCGCCCCTTTTCATTTTTGATAAGCACCCCCTTCACCTATGATAATTGTCCTATTCAAATCTAAGTGGCTCCCCTTTTGCTTTGACAAGTTCCCCTCTTCCTTTGTAAAAAGTGCACTTCCTCTTTTAATAACTACCCCTTTTTAACTTAGATAAGTGCACCTTATATTTTCACATGTGCCCCGTTTCCCTTCTCATAAATGCCTCTTTTCATTAATGAAAATAATTCCTTTTTCATTCTCATAAGTGCCTCTGATAATTACCCTTTTATCAATGACATGTGCCCCTTTTTCCTTTCTAATAACGGGAACCTATCTCTTTTTCATAATTGCCCCTTTTCAATTCTTATACATGCCCCTATCAAAATCTGATGGGTGCCTTTTTTTCCGTCGACAAATGCCCATTTCCCATTCTCATAATATCCCTTTTCATCCCTGGTGCATACCTTTTTTTTTGGGTGTAAGAAGTGCCCCATTTTCACCTCTGATAGTTAGCCTTTGTACTTTTACACGTGCTCCATTTCATTTCTAATAAGTGTATCAACCATTTCGATAAGTGTCCCCGTATCCTCTCATCGTTAAACGTGTCCCTAACTTCAAGCGAATAGGAGCAATTTCCACCAAAGCTCGCTCGCTCGTCGTTATAGATGTTATCAGGTGCGTACACAGGGGGGGGGTTTGGTGGGTCAAACCCCCCCCCCCTCCCTTTGGTAAATTTTTTTTTTATTTTTTTTTTTTTTATTTAAAAAAAAAAAAAAAAAAAAAAAAATTGCCCATGACCGACCTCAAAAAGATGACCTTACCCCCCCCCCCAACGGAGCAAAATGTCAAATTTTCAAATTTGGATACCAAAAAAAAAAGGAAAAAAAAGTCCCCCCCCCCCCCCCCCCCCCCCCCCCCCCCCCCCCCCCCCCCCCACTGAGCGACTTTTCGGCCGGCGCGATTTTCAAATTTTCGGGAGCAAAATATTTTGGGCCATATTTTAAACCCCCCCCCCCCCCTTGAAAAAATCCTGCGTACGCCCCTGGATGTTATAATTATGTAACTTTTCAGTCTTCCATTCAGAGAATGTGCTTATAAGCCCATGTCTAATTAGAAATATCTCACCTCCACCCACCCCCTTCCCCATGAACAATATTTGACTCTAGGCAGGCTGCAGTGAAAGCGAGTGATTGTACATTACGATAAAGAAGACGGCTTTTAACAAATCATAATGACGACGCCAGTCACATTCTTTATACATTCGAGCAAACAAAGTTATTAAAACCAACTTTGCTTGAGATGATAAACATAGAAATGGGCACGCTTTTCTTGATCTAATTACATTTTTTTTTATTAAAAAAAAAAAAATCTTGATAAGTTTTATTGGTCAGAAAAGACAATTATTTACAAAAATTATGAATACTCGTATTGTTTCACACTTACGACATTGTGGTTTCACATTTCAGTGTAACATTAAAAAACATAGCATGATACTTCTGCATACCCCGGCCGCACAGACGATACGACCATCAGACCGACACTAAATGGAAAGAGAGAGGCCAAGAAGTAAAGAACATTTATAGCCCCTCCGGTCCGTAGTCGGTCCGTAGTCGGCCCGGCGGGGCATAACGCATGATATAATCTGACCTAATTACAATTATAATGATAGGGTTAAACGCCGATGATCGCTTGAGCGTGACAACTTGAAACCGTTGACCTCCGGCTTTGATGTCCCATCATTAAAACTTGATTTTTATAATAGAGTATTCCTCCCTGGAGATTAATAGTAGTTAATTACAGTCAAACATAGGGTTTGTTTGACTGATGTCAACTCGATTCGTTCTTAAAATAAAAGGCCGAAAATGTTAATGCCTGGCTTGACAATTTACTCAGCTGGAAAATATACACAAAAGTAAAAATTCGTTGAACCCACCTGGTAATAAAGATACAGAGTAAATTGAGAAGAATAAGATGGGGGAACCAGTGAGACAGTGAATGTAAACTAATTGCTTTTAAACTGTATCAGAAAAACTACTGGTATGTTTTTTTTTCTTACGCCTGTTTCACTTTTAACTGATCGTCTTCTTCAATCTATGCTACATTCATTACACTCAAGTTTTCCCCATCAAAATAATTGTTATTCCATCATACAATATTCTCATTTTAGAATTTGGACAAGATACATAAAGGATCAGTGGCGTACACAAGATTTTTTCAAGGGGGGGGGGGGGGGGGGGTTCCCAAAATTTGAAAATTTGACCGATTGGCATTCCATTTCGTTGGGGGGGGGAGGTCATCTTTTTTGGGTCATCCATTACGATTTTTTGTTTTAAATTAAAAAAAAAAAAAAATTAGTTAAAAAAAAAAAAAAAAAAAAAATCAACACTCAATAGGGGGGGGGGGGGGGTTTCCCCAAAAAACAAACACATCCAAAAAACTCAAGGGGGAGTTAACCCCCCCCCCCCCTGCGTACGCGCCTGCAAAGGATCATGGCGTCTATGCATGAGATATGTTTTTTAAAGCTTATTTAAGTAGATAAGCTTCTATACAAAATAGTTTGGTTTACCATTTTAAAGATTGCAGTGAAAGAAAATCAATCAGGTCTATTTTAATTATTGTTTAATTAATTCATAATAACCTCGTTCACGTTTTTTTTAAAGCCATTACATGGTACTGTAAGTTTTACCGTTTATAATGAGAGGTTCATTTGTATAAAAATTCCAATAAACAATATCTGTGGAATGATATCTGGTTCACCCCAAAAAGAAGGAAATGTGATTTTCCCCTCATTTGCACACAACATAGGTGCAATGTAACTCCATTTTGGGCTGACATTATGGTCACAAAATGTCATGTGACTTTGGGGATGACATGTGGTCACAAACTTGGTAAGTAGAACATTTTATAGAAATTCTTAACTGTGATAAAATAAGCAAATACAATTGTATCAATACAAGAAGAAGTAGAAGAAGAAGAAGAAGAAGAAGAAGAAGAAGAAGAAGGAGAAGAAGGAGAAGAAGGAGAAGAAGAAGAAGAAGAAGAAGAGGAGGAAGAAGAAGAAGAAGAAGAAGGTGACGTGTTGATAAATATGGTCATAATTAACCACTTATTTAAGAAAATAGCGGGGTAAGAAGACTCACATTACCGATTTGCTTGGCTGCTATTCTGACATAACTAATGAAAGGTATAATGTATCTACCATGACCACAATGCTAATTACAACAAAAAAAACAGAGAAGAAATTTCTTATAAATTGAGGAGGTTTCTTCCATTGTAATCACACCACTTGGCATTCCAGAAGAGAACCAAGATCAGAGGTTAAAACTAACAGACCATCCTTCAGGTAAGATTTTTTTTTTTTTTTTCTTTAACCTCAATCAGAGGAACTTTATTATTCAAATTGACATTCCTTTTTGTTTCTTTTCCTTCAAATAAACAAATTCAACTCATATACAATCATAAACAAATAAAATATTGCAACGTCCCATTAGTTTGTTCATGAGTACATCTGTTTTCGTTGTCTACAGCATCTCAATTAATTTCTGTACCATATTGTTATTTTCTCTTTTAATACTTTTACAGTTCAAATAAAATGTCAACTCATATTTAAGACTACGATATAGAGTTCTCGCATGTGTTCTATTAAATGATTGTAAATTCTTTATGTGGTTTCTATATATTACATACTCAGCAAAATTTATTATTAAATTTACTAAATGACAAATTGAGTTTTCAACTTCATAACCAAGTATTAAAATCTGTTCAGTCATCTGAATATTTAGACCACATAAATTGAAGATTACACCTGAAACAATTCTCCAAAACAATCTTACGTTTTCACACTCCAACATCATATGCTTAGTGGTTTCTAGCGTATTACATATCTCACATGTATTATAATCTAAGATCTTCCATTTGCATAAATTGTATCGTGATGGTAAAATCATATGCAAAAGTTTAAAGTTAAATTCTCTGATTTTATTATTCCGTACAACATGAAATTTAAACTGTAGAACAGATGACCAATTAAAATCCGCATGTAAGTGTAGTCGTTGTTGCCATGCGTTTAAAATATATGGTTTTTTCTTATTTTTTTGCACAATCAGTGAATATATTATTTTCGTATTAAGTTTTGACAAATCTATCATATCCCCTGTCGAAATCTCAATGGTCTGTAAATCAATTACTTCATCACGTTCTACATCTTGTGATTTACGCAACCATACCAAGGGGAAAGCCTTTTTCAACATAGCAAACTTAAAAGCAAATAACATTTTGGGTAACCCATATCTTTGGGCAGTTTCGTCAGAGTTTTTCCATCGACCGTCATTAAGAACATGGTGTACTCTTTTTATTCCTCCTCTCTCCCACACCTTAAAATGAAGCATTCGGTTCCTTATTTTAATATTACTATTATTCCATAGTATCGTTCTCATTATGTTATTCGTCCCCTCAATATTTACATATTTTAGTTCAGACCATGTACAAAGCAAATCAAAGTAAAAATATGGCAAATTTGCGGTTTTACATAATTTTTCCATGTCTTTCTTGTGACAGTTAAATTCTAAACTTAAGGGTATTCCCCCAACCTTGTCAATCCAATAGGAAAACAATGTTTTCCATGAGGTATTTTG